AGGATTTTTAGGCAGAGAGGTAGGTAACATACAATAAAAAGAGATGATTAAGTTCTTCCCCATTTTGACACATGTCCCGTGGTTGTTTCTTATCTTTGACCACCCACTTATTCCTGTCCTCACGCCCTACCCATTTTAAAAGTAGATCTTTTAAAACAGTCCAAGGTGTTCATAGTACAAGGTAATGTGAAGAGGCTAGATAAAGCAGTATTTGAACTACTGACTCGATCACTGGTCCACAGTCACAGTCAATACGTTACTCCCCACTATGAGGCCTCGGTTTCCTCATAGGCAAAAGAGGAATAATATGACCTCCTCGCAGATGGTGGTAAAAATTATGTGAGATACAGTATCATGATTGCAATTGTTATTTCTATTTATTTATTTAATTATTTTTGAACTTTCTATCCTATCAGCCACTGTGCTAAGTATTTGCAGATACTAGCAATAAAACAGACAAAACTCTCTGCCCACATAGAACATAAATTCTATTATTATTTTTCATCCTGGGGTTTAACCATAAGGTAACAAGCAATAGAAGCAAATCTAATTCTAACAGTCAGAGAAGTTGATTCCATTCAGGTTTCCTAGCAGAGAGGAAATACCTTAAACTAGACACATCCTGTCTCTCACCAGGTTCATTCTGGCATTAACATGAAGCTTCAAACATTGAGTCTCTACCTTTATTTGGTTTCATTGTGATCCATTAATCCTAATCTCTTAGATTAAAATTTTTTTTCCATTTAATTTTATAAACTTAATTCATATCTGGCTAATTTGTTTATATTACTCTCATTTTTCTATGATATTAAATGTCTGTTGTTACTCAGATTTTTGACAGATGAAAATTCATAACCTGGGTTAATGAATTTCAAATAAGGAATCAATTTGATTTTAAACTAAGTTTGATAATGGCCTGGACTTATTTGAATTTATATGGCTGAAATCAAATTAATCAAAACAGTATGATATATCATATAATGTTTCATATTAGTAATTTGATACCTCAAAGACTCATAATACAGGCAAAAGTGCCACATAAAGATGAAAAAAGCCATCGGCATGTAACTGGCATAAATAAGGGTAGTTTCAAATAAATATTTTAAATTATCACAGATTTCCCCAGAGATATTCAATATATCAAAAATACATGATAAGCTTTTACTTCTGATTTTAAATACATATTTTATGTAAAATTAGTACATTTTGATTCAGCAATAGAAATTATTGCCATATTGTCTTTCATTCTAATAAGATTTAACATGTGAAGTACTATAAATTGTATAATATTTACCTTTATGCATGTGGAATTAAAAAAGAAATAGCAGTCATTCCCAACTTCTGCCATTTTCAACTCTTGTGCTGCTAATCCAATGTTTTTTAATAAAAATTGCAGAAACACAAATATAAGAACTATCAGTGTGTAAGGGGGGAAAAGACTTTCTTTTCCACAGTCTTTCAGGCTATCAGTAGTATTCCTTTAAAACTGACCTCCTGTTGACAGTATATCACACAATAGGTAATTCTTAAAGAAATTTAAATTAGAAGATACCTTCTCTAGCTTTCCAGAAATGTTGTAAGTGGTTGCTAGTAAGCACACAAACTCAAACTTCCAGAATTTTCCTCATTGTTACCAAATCCATTGTTTGCTCATCATAAATGACCTCACATGTAACTGTAGGTTAGTTTACCTTAGTCAATACCGTACAGTACTTCTCTTAACCACGTTTAGTATATTAACCAAAAATGACTAGGAAAAATAAAATATTTTTTTCACTATTTAGTTCATAATTTCATAACTTCAAATTAGTTTTTTCATAACTTCAAACTATTTTTTTAATATTTAGTTCATAATTTCATAACTTCAAATTAGTAAGTACTTCACAATTAAATGGCTATTTTCTAAACCTTATTTCTACATATGGTTTGAAAAAAATAAAATTTTAAATAGGTAAATATATAATCTTTGTTTCAAGATAAAAAATTGTTAAGTTATGTACTCACCGCTATCCACTGATTTGGAAAAAAACATCATTCAGATTTCAATATTTTAATAGGAACTTGAAAATAAATTAGATTACTTATTCATCTTGTAGCTATATTCCATCCATTCATTATTCATCCATCATAAAATGAGAAAGAGCTTCTTCCTAAAGCAGAAAGGTTTCAGAGCGCTTGCAAATTTTGAGTATTTGTTGAAAGCAAAATGGTGTACTCTGATTTCCAGAATGAGACAGAAAGCAGTTGAGATCTTTCTTCATCTTAGTGTCTTTACTAAAAGTACTAAAACCTAGCAGAAGTTAACAAAATTATTCACAGTAGGTGACTTGGAAGGTGTCATAGAGATGACAGATTGAACTAGATCAAAATAGCATTGTACTCTTAATTGGAAACTTAAAAGATCAAGAGATATGGATTCCCATTTTTGTCTAAGTAAAACAGACTAACTTGGTATGAACTTGTTGAATACAATGCTTTGTGTAAAAATCTAGGAACTAAAATAAAGAAAATATTTAGAAAAAAGTTGTTTGCCTATAACTATAAAATAAGAGAATAGAATGAAGTAGGCAGTTTACTACTGCCTACTAAAAGTAAATTAAAAAGTAGAGAATTAATATTAGGCTGAATCCTTTAGTATACTAGTAGAAATTTATGGAAAAGTCTAATATCTTGTCTTTTATTTTGCCCTACTAACTCTACAATGAAGTATCCATCTTAGGCACATAGGTTACTGGGAAAAACACCCCTAAGCAATATAGGTAACTAGTCTTTAGGTCCAGGTAAACTCCTTCTCCACCAATGAAGTTTTAGCTGCATTGGACTATTTCTAAATACTGTTACCAAACATCACTATTGTATGTAATGATTATATGTAATTCCCTGATTAAAGCCATTGTGAAAAATCCATGTTTTATGTTTGGAAAAGGAGGAACTAATGTTTTTACCTCTTGAAGTATATCACGAACAACTACATTCTAATAAGTAGCAAAAACAGGTCAAACTAAAATGGAGATTTTTTGTTTTGCTTTTGTTTTTTGTCATTGCAAAGAACAGTCAATAAATCTATATATTTTGGTAGTTTTATAATACCTGGGGCTCTAATCTCTCTCTCTTATTTTCTTTTCTTTTTCTTCCTTTTTTCCACCTTTTCCTTATTCATGTCTTTCCTGTTGTAAAATTCATTCTTGTCTTCCAGGGGAAACTATGACCTTACCATGTGAGTTTTTATTCCTAGTAATAGAGATACAAAATTTGCCTCTGCAGATGGGGACAGGCCCCAAAATTCTTTAAATATTTTGTGTTGGCCACCACACTGTGTCTTTCATCTTAGGTGCATGCTAGCACACTAAAACATCAGTCGGAGAAGAAAGTCTCTTCCAGGGTGTAATCAAATAACGCCATGTTAAGTGTGGGGGCTGGTAGAAACCTATAGATGACTGTACAGGTTTATGAGGATCAGGCTACTACCCATCCATATAAAAGTCTAGTTTATAACCCTGGATTTGTCTTTTGCCTTTCTCCTGACTTGGACTTCTATTTCTGCCATTGCCTTTGCACTAATGGACAAAAGCCCTGGAAATAAAGTGGTTTTTTGAAGAATGGTTCACCTACTGCTAAAATTCAAAAAAGCAAGCGGAATGTTTTTTAAGATAAGCCTTTTCCCCCAATGACAGAATGTTAGACCTAGAAGGTTCTGTGGCAGTTTGGGAAATGGCAGTTGATAGTTGTGAGGGTTACTTAATTGTTGTCCCCTTGAGGCTCATGAAACAAGCTGCTTTTTAGAATCCCTTTGGAAGAACAAAAAAGTAACTAGCTCTTGACTATAAAATGCTAAGAAGGTTCTGGTCCCAAGATCTTGCAGCCAGTATCAGGTGAAGCCCTCCTCCAACCCCCTTAATTTTTTTTTTTTGCCATGTTGTGTTTTCCTATGAGAAAATCAAAGATAGCAGAAGAGAAAGCAAATACTTTAAAATGACAAATCTCTTCTTTCCTCCCTCCCCTCTGAATCTAGCAATCAAAAAACTGAACTAGTTGTTGTTAGGGATGTTTCATTCTTTGGTAACTCTCTTATATGTAGATACTCTAATGAGACATAGTTGTTTACTTTTCCAATGGCTAAGTCAGGAAAATGCTGAACAACATAATACTTGCAAATAAGACAATTATAGAAATGAGACCACGTCTCGTCAAAGCACATAAAAAAATGGCTGTAGTCAAAACTCCCTCACTGAGAGATTGCTAGGTTCAATGAGCTAGAAAGGCTATTACCAAATATTTAAATTTTAATTTTATTCAGTCATTGACTGTCTTATCACTACCCTCCACTATTCTTTTAATAGTCAAAGCTGTTTCAGTTCTGCAGTTGACTGCAACTACTCAAGCCATTCGGACTCTGTTGGATCTCATATTTAAGATAAATGAGATTCCGGTGAAAAAACTTGAAATTGAAACCTGGTTATACGTATTTGTGTGGCTTTGGATTAGTTTAAGGCTAAACTTTGCACTCACTCAAAATCAGAACCAATTTCGGCTGTATCACGGTTCCCAATGAGGGTAATCCAAATGGTTACTATTTTGTCTCAGGTGTTTTAATTATAGCGTTTCCTAACGTTCTTACTGGGAAATCAGTTTTCATTCCTTGAGATGTTTCTGGATATTTCTAAACTTCTACAATGCGTCCCTAGGTACTTATTAAAGAGAACAGGCAATAAGTTTCATGAAAATGGTGTTAAATCTCCAAAGAAAAAATTCGTTACTCATAACGATGTTATTTAATTATCATGGACATCTTCGTTGAATGTAGTACCAACACCCCAGAAACGGATCTTTGTTTTTTCAAAGTGATTAGAACCAGGGAGAAGTCCGCGGGACAGCCTGGGGAGGTGTGTCGGCTTCCGCACTACAACTCCCAGAAGGCAGAGGGGCCAGGTACGCTTTTGGGCGTACTGCGCAGCCCCACGCTCCGTGTGGTAGAACGTAGCGCTGAGCGGTGCCTGAGCGTGAAAGTTGCGTGACTAGCGTGCGACGGCTTACTTCACTCTCTGCCAGGACCAGACTGAGTTCTGAAGTCCGCTTTCCATCCCTTCTACCTGTCCTGCTCATCATGAAGCGCCTGGGCTCTGTGCAGCGCAAAATACCGTGTGTGTTTGTGACGGAAGTGAAAGAGGAGCTCTCCACCAAAAGGGAGCATCAGGTAACGGGGTGGTCGAGTGGGCTTCTGTGGTGCTGGCTCCGTTTTGACCCGGCGAGGGTGCGCGGGCGCGTCGAAGCCGCTGTGTAGTTTTTTTTCAGGTTTCGCTGGTGAGGGGTAGGGTAGAGGTCTCATAGACGTGAGCTCCATTCAGGTTCTTGTACCTTCTCAGTTGCAAGGGAGGAAATCCACAAGAGGATTTTTCTGGTCAGGCGATTCAAACTTGTTCGCGTGGACACTGAAAACCACATCTTAAATAATATTCCTTTCTTTGTAGGTTACTGCTTTTGGGGAAAACCCCTTAAGTATTATATATACATAATCACCGCAATCCAAGCTTTCTTTTCAAGAGAATGGTGACAAAAAAAAAAAAAAAAGAAGAAGATGGGGACAAAGTGGAGTTTTTGGAAGACTTGCTTTACATGTTCTAACTAGCCTAATTTGGTCTTAGAACTCTTATATCGGTAATTCTAAGGTTTTCTATTCTCTTGGCACCGAGTTTTACACCTAGAGGGCCCTTAGTATAAATACTGGTGAATTAGATCAGTAACCTGTGACGGGATAATTCTTTAATGTATAGCAAAGCCCTTTATAGTAGAGCCCCCAGTTAACAACTCATCATAAAAACCACCATGTATATTTGACATAGACCTCCAGCCCCCTGACATGACTCTCACCAGCCTTCTTGGCAGTTTGTAGGACCAGACACTTGGGCTCCGGATAAATATTTGTTGAATAGAAGAATGAACCCTGGAGTCATTTCATATCAGTTTTCCATTTACCTTGATGCTTTTTTACGTATAATTTCTCTTTCTATTCTCCTTTCTACTGGTCCTGCATATTACACTGCCTTAACATTCTTGCCACCAGAATGACCGTCAGTACACTTTTTCTTAGTTAAAACACAACAGTAACTACTAAATGTCTGTAGTAGTTGTCAAGCTTTTATTTTTTCAAGCCCTGATGAAGCTAATGTATGAAACACTATCATCCTGAAGAGTGGTTCACTCTAGCTGTGATTCTCAACTTTGTATGTTGGATGAGGAGTGTAGTTTGTAAATGTTCCCTCCACCAGGAAAAATAAGCCTTTCTCTTGCCCATCTGTCATTAAGAATAGCTTATAGTATTGCTTATAGCAGTGATTTTCAACTTGTGTGCTGCAATAAGTTTTAAAGCATGCAGTACCTGTCCAGTTAGGGGCACTGGCCTCTTTTCCCTTAGATTGTCGAACAAAAGAAATGATAACAAATGACAACAGCCAACACAATAATAGCCGTCTGATGTGAATGCCCTGTCTTGAACCATAAATATATAGGTCATATAATAGAATTGCATCTCATTGGTCATGTCCCATAATAAGGTTGCATCTGATTGGTTAATTCTTGGTACCAGAAATCCTTATATACAAGTATAAGCACCTGATTTTTAAAGGTCACTTTGGAGCAAAAAGAATAGGTAATTACTGTTATTTTATTTTTTTGTAGTAATCAAAATTATACAGGTTATTTTGTCAGATTGGCAAAAATACTTTTTGGTGTGCCACATAATTTTAGTAATTAGTTTATGTATGCCATGAAGTGAAAAAGGTTGGAAATTGCTGGCTTATAGCATAGCATACAAATCCTTACTATAATTAAAGGCTTCCTGTTCAGCAGGCCCAGTCTACTCTCAGGCATCACTACAGTGAAGTCTTGTTCTAGCAAAGTCTGTTTTATCCTGTGAGCATACCAGGAACAATCCCGCCTCTCTATTTTTACAAATCAATCTACTCAACGTAGATCCCCTACAGAATTTTTAATTTTTTGAATCAGACCTTCTCTTTGAAATGTTAGTTATCTCAGTGATTTTGCCTGTCCATAAATTTTTGAGGACCACTTTACTATTAGTTTTTATACACACATGCCTTGTTTTTCTCTTTGTGGTTTGTCTGTAATGGCAGTAGAGGAGGAGAACTTTGTGTGCTGCTCTTTATCTTAACGTTGTCCTTTGAACATGTCCATAGCAGAGAGCGGTAGATAATTTATTATGCAAGGCATATTTGTGTTCATCAGGAGCTTCACAGACACAGTGATCTGCTCTCTAGGATCTGATAAATTTAAACATACACTAATGAGCCAGACCTTGGTTCTGCCACCATAGGTTAAATTGATATCCTTAGATACTGATGTCACAAATTAGTAATAAATTCCCCATTCAGTTTTATGTTAAAAGTATTGAATCAGTACCAGAGTAAGGCTAATTTTCTAAGTTTACTCCACTCTGAAATAGTATTTCCGCTTATTAGTCTTAAGCCTATGCACCCAGGCGTAATGTTTGTATTTGGCAGTGTTTTTTTTTTTTTTCACATTATGGAGGTGAATGTTAGATCAAATAGTTTAGACTATAAAATAGTAGCGTAAGCCTTTCTCAGAAATGAAAATACATTACACGTGAAAAGTTGATAGGAACACTAGACACGGTCTTTTCCTCCATTATTGATAGTCTTTTGGCTTGTCTTCCTGACAGTGTAAAAATCATAACTTAAACATGCACTTTATTCCTCAGAAAGCTGAAAGGGACCTGCTTGTTTTTCTCCTTAGTACTTTTTAGACCTAACATTGTGTTACGCATTTTGTTTTTGTTGTCTCCCTTGTTAAAAAAAAGTTTCACGAAAGATAGGTACTTTTTGTTCATCTCTATATTTCCCAGGCCAAGAACAATGCTTAACCTTCAGGAGGCATTTAGCAAATAATTGTCAAGTGAGTGAGTGAACACACTAAACACCTATGGTAGGAGAGCAGCGCTGCATAGGACATGGTTCCTGGTGTTGAGCTCATTATGGCGGATAAAGGAACGTGAAAAATCAATAATCTGTGGAAAAACAGGTATTGCTGTGATAGCATGGAAAGCAGGGAATGATTCCTGAAAACTTCATGGACAATATTTTTAAATGGTCTTAAAGGGTAAACAGAAGATTGGCCCTTAGAGCTAGTGAAATCAAGAATGTCCCAGGTGAGAATGTGTGCAAGGGCATACATAGATGGTATCTTTGTTAAACAAGTTTTTCTCTCTCTCTCTTTTTTAAGCCATTTAAAGTTTTGGCAACTGAAACTGTAAGTCACAAGGCATTAGATGCAGATATATACAGTGCAATTCCAACAGAAAAAGTGGATGGAACATGTTGTTATGTTACTACCTACAAAGGTAAAATAAAACTAATACAAATGCTGTTCATTACTTAATACCCATTAAGGGTCATATAATATGATAATTGCATTGTACGTTATCTCTAATTTGTATAATAAGCTCTCTATTTCACACATACGGAAACTGAGGCTCAGAGGACTTAAATAATTTGTCCCAAACCATATAATTAATGAATGGCTGAACTGGTAATAGAACCTAGGTTTGTCTGACTCTAAAGCTGATCCTAGTGCTGATTCCATGTTTTCATTACTATTGCCAGTGTCTGTAATTTATTTTATTTTAAAGTACTTTCAAAAAATGTAAAAATCTGAAGTAGAAATTGTCTACTATGTTAAGGAAAATAATACATTGAAAAGAGAAATAATCTTTTAATTTCTTTTGGATGGTGAAATTACCTCTCAGTTCAAGCAAAAGAAATAGAACAGTTAAATACAAATTGGACATATTTCTGGTATCAGGAAATCGCTTCTGAAATGCATTTTTTCACTTTTAATTGTGATAAAATATACATAAAATGTACCACCTGAACCACTTCTAAGTGTATAGTTCAGTGATAATACGTACAGTCCATTTGTTGTGCTGCTATTACCAACATCTGTTACTAGAACTATTTTCATCTTCCAAAAACAAAACCTGTTAAACATCTCACCATTTTCCCTCCCTCCAGCCTTTGGCAACCACCTTTCTACTTTGTATGATTTTGACTACTCTAGATAACTCCAGTACAAATACTGGAATCATATACAGTGTATGTCTTTCTGTGACTGGCTTATTTTACTTAGCGTAATGTCCTCAGAGTTCATCTATATTTTATAGTATATGTCAGAATTTCCTTCTTTTTTAAGGCTGAATAATATCCCATTGTATGTACATACCACATCTTCTTTATCTGCTTATCCATCAGTGCACACTTGGGCGGCTTCCACCTTTTGGCTATTGTGAACAATACTACGAACATGCTGTAAAAGGTCTTTTCCAGACCCTGCTTTCTTGTTCTTTGGGGTACACCAGAAGTAGAATTGTTGAATCATATACTTATATTTTTAGTTTTTTGAGGAACTTCCATATTGTTTCCCATAAAATCCTGCACCATTTACATTCCTACCAACAGCACACAAGTTTCTAATTTCTCTACATTCTTACTGGTACTTGTTACTTGTTTTTGATAGTAGCTGTCTTGAGGTAAGTGAAATGAATTTTTGTTTACTAGAAAAAGAACAAAAGGTCCATTCAGCCAGAAATGACACTATAATTTTAATCAGGTTCTTCTGTATTTACATTAAGAAACTTCAGTGTGCATCATTTTGTTTGATTATGTATAATGGTAGCAGTTGAATAAGGTTGGATTGCTAAAGAATACTTAGCAATGACAGTGCTTACATATCCACAGTTTATTACAGGTGAAGGATACATAATATAGCAAAGGTATTAAAAGGAAGGATTTACAACACAGCCAAAAACTGTGTCACAACAAAGGGTCAGGAGAGGTCAGGTGAAAGCTCCTGTTGCCCCCCACACTCTACACTCCAGGCCCTAACAGGACACACACTCTCAAATCAGGAACCCCTGATGTATGCCTGGAACACCTTTGAAACACAGAATCTACAACAGAGTCTTAGCTGGGGATTTCTTTATTTTGCTAGTCACAAAGGCACCTTTCTGCTAAGTAACCAGCCTCAACAGCAGAGTCCTCCAGAAGTCTCACCCTCATTAATGAATGCAGGCACACTGCCCTGAAACTTCTCAGGCCTGTGATTACAAAGTGTCACTGTTAATCAGTGTTTTATGCTTTGACCAGGGGTCCAAGCCTTGCAGAACAGCTCAGCCTAATAATGCCAAATCATCTGAGTTTAACCCTCATAGTTAAAAAGTTTCAGGGAAGGTGTGAATTACCTGGTCATATTTCCATTTAGTATAGAGGTGACTTCAGTTTCTCACAACAGCCACCTGTAATAAAATATGGTCTTGTGAAAGGGTTACATATTGCCTTTTTATGTCATCCCCATCATTCTTTAATCAAAACTTGTCTTATAATAGCAGATACCACTAGGTAGAAGCCGTCTTCTAGACTACTTATTTTACTTTGTCCTCTAGGCTTGCTTCTCTTGAAGAAGATGACCCTACTATTTATTGAAAAAATTTATTCTGGAATGTGTTTTAAAGTAAATTTCATTGTTTGCCTTTTAATATTTTTCCTTTTCTTTTATTATTTTCTTAGGTCAGCCATATCTGTGGGCTCGACTAGATAGAAAACCTAACAAACTAGCTGAGAAAAGATTTAAAAATTTTCTACATTCAAAACAAAACTCAAAAGGTTAGTAGGTGTTTTCTTTAGCCTTTCATGATTAAAATACCTGAAATTTGTGATTTATTTCTTGGTGTGGTGTTAATATTCATTATATCCTTTTGTACAATTTAAGCACTTTGGGAAAAGCAAAAAATTAGAATTAAATAACTTTATATGTAAGAATTGAAAAGTATTCTAAAATGTTTTCCTAACATTTATGTGCCTCTTTGTGTAGTGAGTCAATTTTATTAAAACCTACAAATTACTACATATATTACAATGAGTAACATGTTTTGATTTTTTCTGCCTAAGAGACAACCATGTAATTTTATAAATCAGGCACAAATCTCAAACAGTTATTATAATTTTTTTAAAAAGATTTTATTTATTTTTAGAGAGGGAAGGGAGGGAGAAAGAGAGAGAGAGAGAGAGAGAAACATCAATGTGTGGTTGCTGAGGGCCATGGCCTGCAACTCAGGCATGTGTCCTGATTGGGAATAGAACCTGTGACACTTTGGTTCGCAGCCCGCGCTCAATCCACTGAGCTACACCAGCCAGGGCAGTTATTATAATTTTTAATTATTAAATTAAAATGCCTCTATTATATAAGTAGATTATACACTCATTACAGTCTGCTCATTCATATATGTATGTAATCTATATATATTTACATTCATAGTACTTTAAAATACATCATAAATCTATACATGGGAACATTAGCTACTTTAGTTAGACGGTTATCCTGTATTTGCAAATGCTGGTGTGTTCAGAATTGAAAACTTACGGTGTTAGTGTCCTGACCCTGAGAAGTATAGATAGTCACATTGTGGTGATAATGAAGAAAGAATAACTATATGGTACCTGTTATAATGCGGTTTATTAGCTATTCCCACTTTGAGTTTTTTCATTGTTTTATGTGTTTTTAAAGTATTGCCACATAAAAGATTCTCTAACTCTTTTAGAATTTTTTTGGAATGTTGAGGAAGACTTCAAACCTGTTGCGGAGTGCTGGATACCGGCAAAGGAAATAGAACAGTTGAATGGAAATCCAATGCCTGATGAAAATGGACACATTCCTGGTATTGTGAAATCTTCTAAAATGCAGTTTGGTGTTTACTAGTATAAAGAATAAAAGACACATTTGATCAGAGATTACAGAATTTTAATTTGATTTTTCATAGTATTTATCTGTATGGCACAAAATTTCTTAGTCTGATTTATGTTAAGTAACAGTTTATACCAAAGATGCTCATATCCATAATGTTCTTCTCTTAGGTTTAGAATCACTTCTAAGATGGACAGTTTACTACCTATGGTCTGAAAATAAAGTGTTGAGTGGGAATAGCATCTTTTCTGAAGTCAGATCTTAAGAAGCCTCTACCTTTCAGATTGGGGATAAGAATGTGTGGGGTTTTTTGTTTTGTTTTGTTTTGTTTTTCCCCCCAAGGATCCTAGAAGACTATTTCAATTAAGGGAGGTGAAAATAAGTATCTCACAAGTAGTTTTACTGGAGAAGACAAAATTTTTTGCAAAAATGTGCCAGGTAAAAGATAACCCAGATGAAGGTTTACAGGCCTGTCTTGAGTACCTAAAATTTTTAGAGTACTCTTAGGTACTCTTAGTAATACAAAATGAAGATCAGAACCCTTATCCCCAAAGGTCTTGTAGACATGAGAGGAAGTCCACCAATAATGGTATGATTTAAGAATGAGAAGCAAACGCACATGGGGTATCGTCAGAGAAAAGAGGAAGAATTCGTAGTTCCACCTGTGGTGTTTAGGAGGCTTCTAAGGGGAGTGACATCTGTACTGAAGCTTGAGAACCAGGAAGTTAGCTGGAACGAAGAGGGAAGGTCAACTTGGGCAAACTCCCATGTAGAGAGATCATGGAGTGTTTTGGATATTTTATTTAACACTTTATTCTGGCTGGAATATTTGGGTGTATGACATTTGAGATTATAAAAATTGAGGCTCAAGATGTGGAATGGGCTTAGGTCTTAAAGGGTTTCTATTCCATCTGAAGGAATTTGAAGTGTATGCTGAAGATTATTAGGCAGGGGTATAGCAGAACTAAATTTAAATGTTTTTAATGGAACTATGATAATAATGAAGGGGGGTGTTCCCATTAATCTGGGTAGTGGTGGCCAGACATATTGGTGGTCCCAATGGCATACGTGTCATAGAACAGTGAGGAACTCTACTCTGACAACTGAAGTTAAGATGAGAATAGTAATAATATTCAATAAATGTGGAATCAATATTTTTTAGTAAATATGGGAATACAATAAATCGTGGAACAGTTACTGCATGTTTGTTGTCCCTAAAACTGCAAAGGAGGGAGAGAGAGAACTTAATTAAAACTTAAAAAAAAAAAAGGATTTTAGTTTTAGAATGGTGCTCAATTCTTATTGAAAAGGTGAATTTTTCTAGTAAAAATACTGGGTGCTCTGTAGTAAATAATGAAGTTAATTTTTCAACAGAATAAAAAATGAAACCTTAAAATTAAAAAAAGATTGATTAAAAAGAGTACAATTGTTACTTTTGCTGACTTTGAAAGTGGTATTTTTTGTGTGATAAAACATCCAGAAAATAGAGAAAATTTACAACAAAAATCAAAATTAGCTCATCTCAATGCACAGAAAAACAGTGCAATAACAAACATGTTTTTTCTTTAAATGATAGGTTGGATACCAGTGGAAAAAAGCAACAAACAGTATTGTTGGCATTCCTCTGTAGTTAATTATGATTTTGAAATCGCCCTGGTCCTGAAGCAGCATCCTGATGATCCTGGTCTTTTGGAAATTAGTGCAGTGCCTCTGTCTGATCTGTTAGAACAGACACTGGAGCTTATAGGAACAAATGTTAATGGAAACCCATATGGTGAGTAAATGTTTGTTCAGTACAGTAATTAATTTATAAAGAGAACTTTCTAGGTTCATCCTCACACACACAGAAATGACAAATAAATTTGACTTAAGAAGCCTAGGACTATAGCCACTTTATAGCTATTTCTATTAATTTTATGTCTGTGGAGAAATTTACCTAATCAATTTATTAGTCCATAATGTTCTTTTTTAATCTTTTTCTTTCCTATAATAACATTATAAAACTACGTAAGAAAGGTGTAACTCAGGTGTAACTTTGCAATGCTTTTTAAAATTTCGGTGAACTGAGCTGAATGAAAATCATAATGTGCTTTCTACGGCTAGGTAATTAGTGTAGGATTAATTAATTGCTAAGTGTAAAGTGACTAAAGAATTGGCAATGAATAGCAAGCATATCAAGCTATGATGAATTGCGTACCAGTCCCAGTGGCACTGTGGAGTACACTATTGACAAGATTGATGAAGATGGGCCTAAGAACATTATAGCTTGAATGGCAAAATCCTATATAAAGATTAGAAGCAGACTGACAGGTGGAAAGAAGCTAAGATAGTAATTAGACAAGTTAGCAGAAATATGGCATGGCTGTTTGGCAAACATTGAATAATAGTGAATGTGGCTCATGGTGTAGAGGAGCAGGGGGTGGTCTTTTTTTTTGTAAAAAGCCAGGAAAACTCTTAGTCTTATGGATACCTCTAAGACAGGCCATAGATAGTATATTTAAATGAATAGATGTGCCTCTGTTCCTTTGAAAGTATTTACAAAACAGACATGTGGCTGGATTTTGCCCATAGGTCACAGTTTGTGGACCCCCGATATGGAGTAGAAAAGGTAGAATTTAGATTTAATGGGATGTGGTGCCGTTTTTGAGTGAGAATACTTGTGTATCTCTGCAAAGAAACCAACTAAATTAAACAGTTGTTTTTTTTTAAATTTTTACTTTGAGAGGTAGATTTTCTCATTCTTGAAACCTTTGACTAATGGCAAAATTTTACCACTTTAGGGTTAGGAAGCAAGAAGCATCCATTACATCTTCTTATACCACATGGAGCATTTCAAATAAGAAATTTACCAACCTTGAAGTACAAAGATCTGTTGTCCTGGTTTGAAGGTTGCAGAGAGGGTAAAATTGAAGGAATAGTGTGGCACTGCAATGATGGCTGTTTAATCAAGGTAATGGCAGAAAATAGCTTGTGTGATTATGTCCTCTTACGTTCCTAAAACAAAGTAGGAGTGGCACTAAAATACTCTACAAATTGCAGTAATTCCGATGGTGTGATAAAGAAATTTATTTGTTCATCTCACATGTTGTCTTTTTTTTATATGATAGTGTTTCCCAGTGTACTTATTCTGTGGGTCATGAGTTCTTGTAGATGCGCTTCAGAATTAAAGTGATGAAAGCATCTGAAAAACCCTGCATACTACATATTCCTTTCTTGGAAATTCATGCTGCACATTAGTGTTCTTTCAAACGTTCTATAATTATAGCATTTAGTCCTGTTTAATTCAGCACTCTGATCGTGTTCAACTCAGCATTTCCCAAACTTACTTGGTATAGAATTTGTTGCGTTAAAAGAGTGCCAAGGGTCAGTTAACATATACAGAATTAATTATTTTGTATTTTATGTCCTTTTCTGTCTGCGTACTTGATTTCTCACAGGTTCTTGAAATTTGTCATGTTCAAAACCAGACCTAGTTATAACCACCCCCTGACTCCAACAATTCATTAAAGCCAAAACTTAAAATACCATTTTTTAACCCTGCTCTCCATTACTTCATACCTCCAATTACCAGTTCTTAAAGGTTCTGATCTATTGACTGCATCTTTCTCCCCAACTAAGTAGCTGCTAATTTAGACATTCATGTGAGTAATTTTACATCACCCTCTTAAATGTTAACTTTCAGTGTTATCTCTTTTCTATCCATTCTTTATAAATGAATGTGAATATTAACTTCCCTGCATAAAACTGTTTAATGACTAAGATTTTTCATGATCTGGCTCCTTAACTTTCTGGAACTGCCTCCACCCCCATCTCCCAAGCACATTCACAATGTGTATGTTCTAACCATACTTAAAATAACTAGAGGGAGGCCCTGGCTGGTGTAGCTCAGTGGATTGAGCACAGGCTGCGAACCAAAGCATGACAGGTTCAATTTCCAGTCAGGGCACTTGCCTGGGTTGCAGGCCACGGCCCCCAGCAACCGTACATTGATGTTTCTTTCTCTCTCTCTTTCTCCCTCCCTTCCCTCTCTAAAAATAAATAAATAAAATCTTAAAAAAAAAGAAATAAAAAATAACTAGAGGGAAAAAAGAAACCCCATTCTGTCACATGATACTCCTTTTGGGTAGAATGTCCCCGCACCCACCATTAGCTAGCTTCTGTATTAGCAGCAGACTCCATTATTAAAATTTTTGGAGCCCTTGATTACGTTCCTGGCATGTTTCCAGGTGCTAGAAATACAGAGTCCACTTAGCAGTGTCTCTACCTTCATGAAGCTCACATTTGATAGGGATGACAGACAATAAACAGCTGTGTATTATGTCAGAAGAAGCAGCTATGAAAAAATAAAGAGTAAGGGACAGTGGAGCCTTAAATAGTGCCTGGCATAGGTAGGCACTCAAACATTTTTAAGCAAATGAAGATTATACAGCCTAAAACTAATACCCTTTTTTCTTTTTTTAGGTCCATCGCCATCATCTTGGTTTATGCTGGCCAATTCCAGATACTTACTTGAATTCAAAACCAGTTACTGTGAACATGAACCTGGACAAACATGACTATGCTTTTGATACTAAGTGTTTATTTTATCATTTTTCAAAAATAGACCATCAGAAATTTAGTAGGCTCAAAGATATAATACTTGACGTATAATCTGGAAATGTAATTAAAAACCAGCTTTATTGTTATATGTGAATCTTGAATATTCTGCCATTTTTAAAAGGTAAAGATATGTCAAGGTTCCTAATTATCATTTAGTGTCTGTAGTAGCAATATCTCTTGTAGCATTTGATGAAAAGAATTTTCCATATGGAAGTATCTATTTAAAATCTTATTTGGAATCAGCAAGTAAATTTTAACTTCTGTACTTAAAACTCTAAGTAATAGTAAGCTTCCCCACCTTGTACAGAGGGTTGGATTCTGCCTATTTGAAACTGGATAGTAATTTAATGAAAACAACAAATTTGGATCACTTATTTTCAAAGTTCAATAGTTTATGCTGAATTTAATGTAATTTTGCTAGACATTTAACAAAACATACAGCTCAGCCTTATATATCCAGCTATATATAAAATAGGTATACATAAAATTTAAGTGTCATAACACATATATAAATGGGTAAGTATATATAAAACCTCAATTTTAAACATTAAAATTGCTAAAGTTTACTCTCATATTCTTTAAAAACTTAAAACATAATGTATAGATGTTCACCATAGCTCATTGCTTATTCCATAGTTGTAACAGTTTGAAAATCTTCAAATACATACTTTTCTAATGTTAAAAATTCCATATAATTTTATTTACTAAAAATTCAAATTTAGGTAAAGGTATATGGTATTAGACAGGAAATCATGTAGGTCAGAGACTTGCTTGATTTCCAGATGGAATTTTAACTTACAAAATTAATGAATAATTTAAAACTACAGGTATAGCTGTCCCTTAATAAAGGGGGAAATTAACAGGACTTTCCTCTTCTTCGTCTTCCAGCTGTTCGGAAGCAGCAGTAGGACTAGTCAGTTGAATTCCAGATTGCTCAGAAAGTTTTTTTAACTTCTCTTCTAAAAGAATATTTTTCTTTACTTCTTCTTTGTAATTATACTTCAGATCTTCAATTTCTTCAAAAAATGAAGGATCAAAATTTTGTAGTTCTTTCTTCAGCTTTTTTATTTCCTCCTGATAGAAACATTTTATCTTTAAAAGCCATATATAGGTATATAATACACTCTTTAGGTTTGAACTAAAGAGATATAAATATGAAAGCCAAAGTAATCTGAATACCCAAATATACTTATAAAGACAGAAGTATTTTCTTAAGATTTTGTTAATAAGGTTTCATTGTGTAGTATAAGTAACTACCATATTTTTGGACCATAAGACGTACCTAGGTTTTAGAGCAGGAAAATAGGGAAAAAAACCATAAATAACATAATATTTCACCAATGTAAATGTAAACAGAACTCAACAGCAGCATTAACAGCCATTATTCCTCCCAAAATAGGGGAGGAATAATGTACAAAATGGGGGGGGCATCTTATAGTCTAAAAAATACGGTAACTTGTTAACTCAAATTATTTGTTAGGTTCTAGGCTTTGACTAAAATTTATTAGCTCTTAAACTAGAGGGGGATTTAATCTTTTTCCAAAAGCATACTCTCAGATAGTGAGACCAGCAAAAAGATGTGGCTATTCACAGCATTAAGGTTTTGGTTAAGATTCTTTGGCTTAGGCTTCATTTATATTGTCTTTACAAATAATGTAATTTGTAATGAATTAATGATCAACTTCATATAAATATATTTATGATCAGGGAAACCCTAGGGCTTCTGCCTGGCTAAAGAGTTAATGCATCTGGTAAAGAGACAGTTTGAGCTTTAATGACCAGTTTAGAATAGCCAGTGATCACTAGTTAACTTTCATGTTCTTTTGTTCTGTTTACAGATTCTTAAAGAAAGAGATAAAGCATAGTAAATATCTTTTTCTTAAGGGAAGGAAACTATTCCTAAAAAGAATTTCAAAAGGAGATAAAAGACACTGTTCACAATGTGACCAAAAACTTAATACTAAAACTGAGCTCTATATTTGTGGCAATTACAAAATAAATTTACTTTTTAATACTATTTATTTTGTCTCAAAATTTTTGATAGCTCTTGTATAATAAATAGTTTTAAACACAGCTAAATATAATGAACTTTGTAGTGTTAAGGTCAACTATAAGTATAAAATGTAATCCTAGAAATTTTTATGATACAAACTCAAAGTGATAATTTTCAACAGCTGTTTTCACAAAACATAATACTATAATTAGATATATATTTATACCTTCAAATGCTGCTTTTCTAGGTCTGAGGTTTTAAGCTGTGTCTCTAGATCTTTTAATTTTTCCTGTAGTTGATCAGGATCTGCCAAAAAAAAAATTAGGTTCAGCTTTTTCCACTCTTAAGTTTAAGACAAAGAATTTGTTTTAGAGAATAAGGAGAAAAGTTATGAAAAAGCCTGGAGAATACATCATTTTGTGGCTGACATGTTTTAGGCAGTGACTACTATATGCTACCTCTGTCAGGACGGTAATTTCATAGCAGACTACGAGAAAAAGCATCTGCCAGATATGAGAGGTATAGAGTGAGGTTAATACTTTACATGGAAGAAACTTATTTTACACAGAAAAATTCTAGAGCCAGAAAAATCTGCTGAGTACTCAAAGTATAGCAGGAAAGTAAGTGAACTGTTAGACAAGGGACTACAACCATAAGCCAGCCCAGTGCCCCTGCTACCCAGCAGCATTGGCTATTCCATGTACATCACTACATGTATAATTACTAATGCATTAGGTGGGATGGATAACACAGGTGGTGAGTAAGTCCTCATAGGTGGAAAAAGTAAGTACACAAACAGCACAGAGGCTTTATTTTATGGATTTCCTCTCCAGAGTGAACATGTCCCTAATTTTATAATGAGAACCAATGGGCAAATGGTATTTTTGCTTTACCTGCCATCTGCTAGAAACATACTTTTTTAAATTAAACAGTATAATGTGCCATGTGGTGGTCATGTTGCAGCCATTGAAGGGTAAAATAAAAGTAATACAATAGTTTAAGAAAATGGGCAACAAACATTTTCATGAATGGGATTAAGTATCGTCTACTAAGGTGTCTTGAAATGGTCCTCTGTAAGTGGAGATGGGAAATATTTTCCTTACCCTTTTATGGAAGTAGAGTCAGCAGAACCCATTTTTCCTCTGGAAAGCAGAGCAGAATTGTACTTTTCAAAGCTTCCCTCACCTTTGCAGAAAGTGCTAATGATTTTTTACAGAACTGATTCTTAATCACTGGAATGCTATATTGAGATGAACTTAGTGTAATGACCACTTACATTAACAGTGCTTTAGAATTTCCAGAGCAATTTTCGTTTGATTTTGAGCCTTAAGAATCTTTGAAATATGATAGGTACCTTATCTCTAAAGGAGATAAGGAATATGGGGGTTCAGAAATTCCCTCTCAGCAGACTGAGGATTAGAACTGCCAATGTCAACAGCATTAATGGGTCTTTGGTCTATTGTGCCTAGTCCAGTACATCAAGCTAGATGCTATGAGAGAGACAGAGAGATTATGTGTACTTTTAGTCACTGAGAGGCAGCGCAGCATCATGTGCAATACCAGAGAATGGAGAGGAGCTTTGGAGTTCCCTAGATTTAGGTTTCATCCTGCCTCTTGTCATTTCTATCTGTGGTGACCTTAGGACCAGGTAAATTAAACCTCTTTCGATATGTTTATCAGAGGTCAAAGGGAAACAGCACCCACCATACAGGGTTATAAGGATTATAAAATGGTCATAAAGCACTTAGCATATGTGTAATGTCTGGTACAACTCATACCTGAGAGCTTTAATGCAAAGTAGCAACAGGACTATGGTAAGATAATTGAAACAGCTATATAAAATAGTCAAAGATTGTTCAGATATAAATTGGTATAATTCTTTGGCACAGAATTTGGCATTTCTATCAAGCTTTCAGACATACAGTACAAATAACCAATTCTCATCCATGGTAGTTACAGTCTATAAAGTCAACACAATGAATTAATAAATACTGAACCATTGCTCTTAGAAGAAAAATACAGTTTAGATACAAATATAGATATTTAAGTATACTTCTATCTAAACACACATGTATCAGATTATAATCTTAAATCCTGGAAACATACAAATATAGATATTTATACTTCTATCTAAACACACATATATCAGATTATAATCTTAAATCCTGGAAACAACTTGTTCTGGTAGATTCTATTTTCTTTGTTTTACAAAAGAGAAAACAAGGTTTAGGAGTGTCAAGTTACTTTACTGAGGCTGCCCCAATAAGTGTCAGACTTGGGATTTAAACCTAGTCCAACTGTCCCCAGAACCAGAGCTTGCCCTAAACTGCACTGCCCCTACTGTCTCCATCCTCTGGTCATCTCCATGTGAAGGCTGAAACTGCCTCACCTTGTTGGATGTCATCTGGGAAAGTGTGGGTCTGAGAAATTTTTCACCCTCTGTGTATATTCATAGAAGTGCCATAAGTGCTAATTACAGGGTTACAAGTAAAATTCAGTGAGTAGGTGAATTAACAGGTACAGAATCTGCAAATAATGAGGATCACTTATTGTGGGTGTACATGAGGAAGGTTCAGGAAATACCCAGTCATGTAATATGAAAAATAAGATACCTTTATTGAAAAAGATACAAGAAACACTACATAGGACAATGACACCTCAGTCCCCTTCAAAGTAGGTACCTTGGGACCTCACACAGGTTCTCCCAGTGTCTCTTCCACTGTTCAAAACACTCTGCAAATCTTTTGTTGGAATTGCCATCAGTTGCCCTGTTGTATTTTCCTGAATTTCATGGATGGTCTGAAATCACTTATGTTTCAAAAGTGATTTTAGTTTTGGGAAAATCCAGAAGTCACAGGACATGAAATCTGAGCTGTAAGGAGGCTGAATCACCTGGGCGATTTCATGTTTCATTAAAAAACTGCACAAGATGTGGCGTGGTAGACATGATGCATTAGTGGGTGTATTGTTACGATGCTGCCAATCACTGCTTGCCCATAGCTGCGGCCATTTTTGTCGTATTGCATCTCTCATCCAATGAAGAACACTGAGGTAGTACTCAGTTTTTGGCCTGGAGGGCCGTGCTATTGATGGACAATACCATCTCAATCAAAAAACACAGTTAATATGGTCTTGATCTTGCTGTGACTTTGCCATGCCTTCTTCAGGCATGGAGAACCAGGCTATTTCCATTGGGATGACTGGGCCTTCATTTCCAGATCACAGCCATAGACTCAAGATTTGTCTCTGGTCATGACCTTTTTTAGGAAATCTGGTTCACTGGTTACAGTTTGAATTGTCACTAGCAACTGCAGCACAATGTTTCTTCTGCTCTGCTCCAGTAGCTGAAGCCATGGAATGCAATTTGCCACAACATGTTTCATGCCAAGATCCTGCGTTAAAATCTCAGACACGATAGTTTTTGGAATACCCAGACCAGCTTCTAGTTCTCACACTGTCAGTCATCAAACCCATACATATTCAACGTTCTCAGGTGTTCTGTTTGTTGCAGGCCTCTCAGAACGTGGATCACTTTTGACATATTGTCTACCACCTTTGAAGCATTTGTGCCACACTTTTATTTGCACTGCACTCATCCCTGAAAGCCTTCTGAATCATCCATATAGTTTCTGTATATGAATGGTCAAGCCTAACGCAGAATTTGATGGAGATTTGTTCTACTCGCTCAGTCATTGTGAATGCAATGGCCACAGTACACATGCTCACTCAACAGTGTCTACTGCCCCCACTGACTAGTACAGTGAAGTTATTGCATGCACATTCTAGTCCACTCTCCTTGGCTGCCAGGTTACATCAATGTTGTGCAAACAGCTCTTATTATATTAACAATGGCTAGCCTTTTACCAGACCTCAGATGTGCATATAGATTATGGATATATGTATATATGTATATAAGCACATAAGAATAGGGGAAAGACTAGTAATCACTTCTAAATGCAAGTGAAAGGAGGTAAACGATAGACATTCTTTGTAAAAAAAAAGTATTCTACTTGTTTATGTAGTTTTAAATTAACAAGGATACACCAACATCTAAAATAATATGTAGAGGGTTTAAAATGGACTATACTTAAAAACTGGAAGCAACAAATTAACCTAGTATTCATTGCTCAGCACTGCATCCTGATTAATCAGTAAACACCCATATAAAGCACAAGGAGAAAAACACTGAGTACTTGCAAAGGGCTTGATGGTAATAATAATATTGCATGGAGGAAGAGACAGCTCCAAAAGTTTATACTGGGGATTTGACTTTATAGGAAGACAATTATCAGAAGTTTGTGAACAACAAACAAGGCAAGTCCTCATTAAACAACTTGGGTTACCTAAAATGTTATAAAATACATTACCATGCATGGTGCTCTCAGCTCCACTTTGGTCTTTCTGTGTTTCTATCTGATGGATTAATTCTGCTTTTTCTTTTTCCAGCTGATTATTAGCTAATCTAGAGCACAATGATAATGTTATTAAAACAAACCAAAAACATTGCTCCACAAAATATATGGACATTTCCTATGAACTGTGAGGTACAGTTCTGATATTCATAAAGTCATCAATTTACTTTGTTGCAATGCTACCATTCTCAAAGAGAGATCACAGGATCAAAATTCTTCATGTTTTTCTTAAAATTGAACCTGATGTCATTTTTAAGAGTAGTTTTCCCATTGGATGAGCCTCATTAGGGTAGGCTACAGAACCATGGAAGTAAAGGTGTTTTTCCCTCTTTTGTTAATTGTCTCTGGAAAGTTAAGGTTTAATACATTTTATGCTACTAAGAAAATGTAAAAAAACACATTAAAAACTAGGTAACCTATATTAGGATCTGGTTTACTGTTTTTTTTTCAGCATCTGTTATGTAAAAGATAGAATGATTGGAATTAGAAGGATAAAATAAGGCTCGTAAGCCTTTTAGGTAGCTAGGTTGAGACATCCTACCTCTCTAGATACAGTAAATATATTAAAAGATAATATTATATTAAAAGATAATAAAAAAGAAAAAAACACCGCCACAGGAGAAGAGGATATACCTAAGAACCTGAAGCTCCCGTTGAAGGCCCGGCTCTGTCTCAACACCCTCAGGGACGTGTTTCAGAATCTCAATCTTTGGACACAATGAAAAGTTAGAAGACAAAGTTTGACATGAAAATAATGAGATTTTATAAAGATACATTTTCAATAATACGTAATATTAAAAGTTGGGTTTTCAAAAGCATGCAAGCACACATCCATCATCTTCTGTTTACTATTCATTCAATAATTACTTGTTAACTATTATTCTAGGCATAGAAGACACAGACGTGAAAAAAGCAGGCAAAATCCCTTTGTATATGTTCCCATGGCCCTTACATTTTTAGTGAGGAAAAACAAACAATGAGGATATGGTGTGGTGTGCTGTGATGTGCTGACAGTGCCACATGGAAGGAGGGTCTATCAAAAAAATTAACCCAGGGGAGAGGATAGAGAGTGACGGAAGGTGCCATAGGCTCAGGGAAGGTCTAAAGCGCCTCCATTTAAACAGAGAAATAAAGTGGGTAAATATTATTCTAAAGAAGGGAAGCAAGTATAAGGCCCTGAAGCTTGAATGAATTTGATTTGTTCCAAAGACTGAAGGTCAGTGTGGCCACAACACTGTGAATGAAGAAGGGAAAGTAAACATGAGGTTAGGGAGGAAACAAGATGCCAGACTATGTAGGTCCTCAGAGAGGCTATGAAAAGAACTTTACAATTTTGTTGCAGTAATGTGGAACTATCAGAAGACTATAAGATGGGACTGCTACAATTTGCTTTAAGGATTACTTGGAAACTATGTGGAGAATAGATCAGTGATAGTGAGAGGTAAAAGAAGGCAAGATTGGGAGCAGGGAGACCAGTGAGGAAATTATTGCAATAGTTCAGGTGTGACAGAACAGCTTGTACTGGACTAGCAGTATTGGAAGTGCTAAGGCATTACGAGATTTAGGATATATTTTGAGAACTGAGCTGACATGACTTAATGAAAAAGGTGTAGGGCATGAGAGAAAAAAAGAACTTGATGATCCCAGGGTTTTGGCTTAAACATACAGGTGAATTGGTGGTGTCATTCACTTAGATGGGCCTCCTGGGGTAAGAATTAATCAAGAGTTCATTTTTATCTGCACAGGACAATATGAAGGAATAGTTTGAGATATAATACATTATTTTATCATGTAATATTACTTGCCTGTTGCTCAAGGCCTTCAGTGTATTTCTTAATTTTTTGTTCCCTCTCTGTTGCTTGTCTTACAAGTTGTTTAAGATCAGTAAGGCTTTGGGTTTTTTTGGCAATATCAGTTTCCAATTCTTTCAATTTGGTTTCATACATTCTAAAAGAATAAAGGAAAATAACTGGTGTAGACATTGAAAATAATTCATCCCATTGATTTAAGTCAGTTTAAATTATTGCACTAAAAATAACAAAGAATATCTTATTACACTGTTTCTGTTAGTCAAATCTTTTGCTACTTATTTATTTAGCATTAGATGACACCTAGGACTAAGTATCCCCAACTAACAGAGGGGCCAACTAAAAAGAAGGATTTAGGTGCTTCCCAAGTATAAACAAGGGTGGAGCCTAAACTATAAAATATTAAAATCCCCTTTTCAGTTGCAAAAGAAAAACCTGAAAGTAAAATTCATCAGAGTATCAAATTCTGTATTATTGGATATCCTTAGGAATAAAGTAAAAAATCACAAATTAAACCATTTTACAGACACACACACACAAAGATTTAAAAAAGGAAGTATCCAGATAAAACGAAACTAAAAGGGCACTGCTGGGAGAAGGAAGAGAATGAGCAAAAGTGTGGGTGGGAGAAAGGGCCTATGAGGGGGAAGGGTGAAGTTTGTAAAAATCTGAATGGATTTGTAACCTTTAAAGAAATGATCGATAGTTAAAAAAAAATCTAGATTTCAGTAGAAATTTTTAAAACATTGAGCCAAAATGGTTTTACAAGCACATCGTAACACCTTAAAGGGAAACCATACCAAACTTTTCCAGAGAAAAGAAGAAATCTTTTGGCAATGGAATCAGGTAAAGATAGTACAAGGAAGGAAAATTATTATCTTAATACAATTCAAAAAGCTTTTGATAAATCTTAGAAACTCAGATTAGAAAGCAATATTCTTAACCTAACAAGGACTATCAACCCAAGTGGTGAAATATCAGAAGCCACTCCTTCATTTCATTCAATTCCCTGCTCAAATGCCACCCAGAGAGGCTTTCTCTGATTCCCCCAATCTAAAACAGTTCTGCATCACCCTGGCCTGTCTCGGCAGGCACTATAAGGGTTGATATGAATCCCAGCTAGAGACCTTAGCAATTTTTTGGTGTATGTAGACAGGCTGGAGCCCAAGGATTAGAATGAGTCTTCTCTTGACCTAGGATTCTACTAGGACTTACTTTTTTTTTCAAGAGGGTTGACTGAAGGCCTACTATATGCTTAGTTACCTGTACAGTTCTCATACTAAACACATAAATAATCTAAAAGACAAAGTCATCTTCAACTAAATATTATCACCTGTCCCAAGTGTTTATAAACTTTGTAAACCCTTTTCACCATACTCTTTTCTGCAGGCTCACAGAGACATTTTTAGAAAAGGAGGGACAGGAATTATCATTTCTATAGGCATAAAAACTTGAGCTCACAGAATAACAATGTAATTTACTTATTGGTCACAGTGCAACTAGGTATTTTTCCATGGAAACTACTTGGCTATCTGAAGGAAACTAGGCAAAGTAGGCCTTTTATAAAAACACAAAGCAGAGTCTGGCATGCAGCAAGTACTGAGTATATATCTGCTGAATGAATGCAACTTAAAACAACTCAAAATTCTTTGAGGCCATATGTCATTACAGAAAAAAAAAGAACCAAGAAATCAACTGAGAGTGCTACTGGTTGTGAATGTCAGCTGGGGTCCAAGCAGACACAAGAAATGCCTTCTCCCCTTTACACCATCACGCATTATTTCATTTAACCCCTCCCTACCCTAGCCCTCGGACAGAACTAAGAGAGGGCTAGCATGAGGAAGAGTGGCTTCTGATTCCTCAGTATATTAGGACTGGAACCAAGGACCCTTCACCCGGACTGCCTGGCTACATGGCCTACTCTCCAATTACCTGCATAACCTTCCTCTTTTCTCCTTATCCTTGGTTGTCAAGGGCCAAGTACAGTGCAGCAGGTCCACTACTGGATGTGCTATCACCTCACAGTGCTAAGGCTCCCATTCCAGTTGTAGTAATGGTGACTGCCACCCCACACCCCCTCATCATATCCATTCTAAACAGCAGGTAGACACTGCAAGGGGGGGCTGGGGAATGCACGGACATAGAAAACTATATGAATATGTCAAGATAAATATGAGTTTGCCTTTGAAATGGGGCCAGCAGAAGCAAAAAACACAATGTAATATTGGATGACTTTAATGGGAAAGAACATGGGCAGGATTTCATTGGTCCCTGGCTTTTATACTATTTTTAAGCAGCTGCTAACAGTTGGAAATGAGAATGAGAGCAAAGCCTTTTACTGAGACATCCGAGTCATGATGAAGCACTGTGGTGAGAGTAGCAATGAACTTGTGAATTCCCATCACCTCCTTCACAGGCACAAAGTTTGACAGTCAGGAATCACACATACTTGTAGAAAAGGTTCACGAAGTGGGAGAAAAGCAAGTGCCAGAAAGCAGAGGCCAGTAAGACACTAAAGCTGTTGCTGAATTCATCTGTTGGGGTTATTCGGAGAACAAATTGCTAAGACTACACCACCAAAATTTCAGCCCAGCCCAGATCCAGTGTGCTACAGGTGGTAACAAAATAGCTCTACTGTGCCTGGCTTATACTTGAGGTAGAAAATGCACACCACAAAAAAGATGAGGTGTAGCTGGACGAAGCCATGCTCAGGAGAAGCTAGGCAGCATCAGTCGAGGCTCATGGCTGAAAGCAGCTTCATAATGAATGTCCATCTAGCTCCAACACCCAGCTCCAACACCCAGCTTCATGCCCTGCTCTGTCCCCATGCTCTGCCTCCCAAATTAGTTCAATACTTAAAAGAAGAGCAAGACTCTTTGGCAAAAAAAGTCTTTAGGACAAAAAAAGAGTAAGAATCATGTTAAAACAAATTGCTGTTCATCAGGAAAGAATTAAGTTAATGGGAATAGTGTCATATTCTTTTAAAACAATAATGGCAGAATTACAACTGATTAAACTTTGTGCAAGTTGTGAACTACCTGCTCATACCTTGTAACAACAATTGATTTCCAGCTCTTGCTGTCAGCACCTTCAAGCTGTGGGCCTCTACTTTCTGCCAGCTGTAATCTCTTACCAGTCTCTTCTAGCTGAACTGTCATCTTCTCATTTAATATCTCTAAATTATTCTTAGCTATCCGCAACTTCTCTGCAGCTTCAGTTTCCTATCATTAAAAGCTAATTAGTATATTATGACAAAACATAATACTGTTGTCACAGATGCAATATATTCAAAATTTTTACTCTAAGTTAGAAATTTAAAACAATCTGGAGTTCAAATGCTGACTAAAATTCCAATAGAAATCCAATATTTTACTCTAAAACAGCAATATAATCGTAATTAGAACAGATCATTTAAATGAGGTTAGAAAAATATATTTACAAGTATTTTATTTCAGTCATTTCTTTAAATTTGTCATTACATTTGGTTATTTTAAGTCTGTCATCTTTAACTATAATATTTACAGAATAATGGAGAGTTTATGACTTTACACATTTAAAACTTTTTTAAAAGATTTTATTTATTTATTTTTAGACAGAGGGGAAGGAGAGAGAAATATCAGTGTGTGGTTGTTTCTCATGTGCCCCTACTGAGGACCTGGCCCACAACCCAGGCATGTGCCCTTACTAGCAATTGAACTGGTAACCCTTTGGTTTGCAGGCCCACACTCAATCCACTGAGCTGCACCAGCTAGGGCTGTCTTTATACTTTTAAAAGATGTTCTGTTTTGACTCGCTATACTTGAGAGACCCACCTATAAGCAAAAACTATGTGTAAATACCACAGATTATTTTCACTAATAATCATCTACATTCAAAGCACAGTATAACTCTGGCCTCAGAGTACATTCAGATAACTAGTTTAAAATACTAATTTTAATTCATTCACTGGATCATCCATAAAAATAATTAATACCTACTTGTCTGGAAAAGGAATAGATTTTGCTACTTAGAAAGGAATCTTACTGTTCATTTAACAAAACTGTTTCCTATATTCCTTATTGCACAGCAGGCATTGTTCTGTCATGTGCACAAATACTAACTCACTTAAACCCTACAGCAGCTCTGTGAAACAGATACACTAATTATTCCCAAGTTTATAAATGAGGAAAATGGGGAGAGAGAGAAGTTAGTAGCTTCACCTAGTTACCATGGCTAATAAACGATGGGGCTCGGATATAAATCCCAGCCATGTATCTTCTATATTACATTACACTGCCCCTAAATTTATTAATTTTTTGTTTTCAATGTTTCTCATTGTGAAAGGATGGCTGGAATAAAAACGTAATTCCTAAAAGTCTTAATAACTGCTTTGAATAAACATGATCATCAACTTTTTCATTCCATTTTTCCAAGGTGTATTAGTTCTTAGATGTATTATAAAAAGTAATTATAATCACTAATGAAAGTTGTACTTTTTTAAGTTCTTTACGAAGCCGTTCATTTTCAGCAACAATCTTCTCTGTGCCTTTGGTCTTGGATTCATAGTGCATGCTCAACTGTCGTCCAAGATGTACTTTAAGTTTTTCTAATTCAGCCTAGCAATAATAAAGTTGTACATTATTAAAACAATTAAATAAAGTAAAAGATGATCTTGTACACTTACAAAGCTTAACTGAAAGTAGTTATAGACATCATATTTGATATAATTAGAATCAAAATCTTCCATCTAATACTGGTCGTCTACAGCACAGCTTCCCAAGCTTGGCTACACACTAGAAAGAACAGATGACTTGGAAAAACAAGTTTAAATCACAATACCTGTGGTAGAACCTGCCCATGAGGGATCTAATAATCTCGGGATGGGGGCTTAGGGATCTGTATTTTTGAAAATAAATAAGATAATGATTTAATGCTGCCAGAGTAAGAATCCTTGGTCTTGAAATAATAAAATGATAAAGTGGGATTACTCTACTCTTAGTCTTGTTTCCAATAAATTTTTTTCTGTATGTGTAAAATATCTACTGCAGCCATTAAAGCCATTTTGCATAGTTGGAATATATTTAAAATTTTCCTAAAATGTTAATAACAATTACATATAGCAGTAAAATATTCCATGCAAATAATCATATTTAAAATATTACCTTCAACTTTTCATTTTCCAGCTCAAGATTAGCCATTTTTTCACTGGTCAGTATTCCTGATGCTTTTTTCAACTGTTCATTTTCTCTTTGGACTTTTTCAACTACTTTTTTCATTAAACCAATGGTTTTCTCTAGTTCTGGGATTGTCTTTCCACTTCTACCAGACTAAAAAAAAATATATTAACTTCTAATTAAATCAAATATTTTAAAAAGATTTTATTTATTTATTTTTAGAGAGAGGGGGAGGGAAAGAGAAAGAGAGGGAGAGAAACATCAATATGTGGCTGCCTCTCATGTGTCCCCAACTGGGGACCTGGCCTGCAACCCAGGCATGTGCCCTGACTGGGAATTGAACTGGCAAACCTTTGGTTCGCCAGCCCACACTCAATCCACTGAGCTACACTCGCCAGGGCTAAATCAAATATTTTAGAAAGCACATTATATAAAAAGTATCAATAACAACAGGCTCATCATTATACTCACATTACTGATTCCTCACATTTGAAGCCAAAGCTTGAATTACTTAAATTTACCATTATATTAACCCTCTGAGAAAGGAATTATAATTCTCACTTTGCATACAAGAAAGTCAAGATTCACATAATTTCATAGTCCTAAAGTCATATAGCTGTTAAGTAATAGCTTAAATACTCTACCCTTGATGTTTATTTTCCCTTCCTCCCTCTCTAAAAGCAATGAAAAAATGTCCTTGGATGAGGATTTAAAAAAAAAGGAAGAATAGCCACTGATTAGAAATTCAGTTTGCCTCCAATATAAGTACAAGATATGTCTGAAAAAAAAAACATAGTATAAAGTTATCAAAAGACATGGGTCAGCAATTAACATGTTTAACTTCTTATAATTTAATATAAAAAGTTTTTTTTTAAAGATTTTATTTATTTATTTTTAGAGAGGGAAAGGAGGGAGATAGAGAGAGAAACATCAATGTGCAGTTCCTGGGGGTCATGGCCTGCCACCCAGGCATGTACCCTGACTGGGAATCAAACCTGCAACACTTTGGTTCGCAGCCCACGCTCAATCCACTGAGCTACGCCAGCCAGGGTAATATAAAAAGTTTTTTAATAGTTGAATACAATAATCTTGCTTTTTTAGCATTTTAGTCAGTATTCACACTGCAGTGAATAGCCCTAAAATATAAACTTTTACACAATTTTAACACTGTACACTTTCATAATTAGATTAAAAAAGGTTAAATTAACAGATTTTTATTTATAAAAATGAATGTTGCTAACTCTCAACAAGATATTTGTCCTGAATACTTTTCTAATTGTATCACTATTTTTACCAAATCCATCATTACTTAATATTGTTACTTGAAAAATTTTTTGTCCATTATGATTACTTCCTCTTGTGCTACTTAACAACATTTGGCCTTGACCTCATAAGTAACATTTACTCATTGTAAAGAAGCAAATACAAAATACATGGAAAGAATATATAAGAATACAAAAAGAAATGGAAAATATACATAGAGCATTATATTAAAGAGTTGCCATGGACATCACAAAATAATTACAAAACATTAGAATTGGGCCAAGGAGCACTCAGTAGTTACCTCAGTCAACAGAAAGATGATCCCTGCAAGTTAAATGCTGCCAAGGTGTGGGGGGATATGCAACAACAACAACAACAACAAAAAGAGGTGATGTGGAGTACAAGTAGAATAAAATCCATGTAAGGGTGACAGATGATAAAACATATGAACTTGAAACACAGAGAAAAGCTGTATAATGTTTTACATTGTGGATGCAGCAGAATAAACATTGGATTTGCAGGCACTAACGAGTAAAGGCATATCACTACTGCTATGACATATCCAAACTTACTTTTTAATGTCCTGCTTATCACTTCTGAAACCAAAACAAATATATGGCATATTCTCCCATACTCACCCCTCTAACATGGCCAAGCTTCCGCTCAAGTTCTGCTTTTTCTTTTTTAAGAAACTCACACATTTCCTTCAAATCTCTTACTTGATTCTGTAAGGTTAAAGTAAACATGTGACATAGCTATAGTCACTGGAAAGAAAAGACAATTCATCTGAACTAGCAATCTCTGTAACTCGATGGCCAAACTAAACAAGGAAGTTTTTTTTTAAGATTTTATATTTTATTTTTAGACAGAGGGGAAGGGAGGGAGAAGCAGAGGGAGAGAAACATCAATGTGTCATTGCCTCTCATGCACCCTCTACTGGGGACGGACCTGGCCTGCAACCCAGGCATGTGCCCTGACCGGGAATTGAACTGGTAACCCTTAGGTTTGCAGGCTGGCACTCAGCCCACTGAGCCACACTAGCCAGGGCTACACAAGGAGGATTCTGAATTAAGAAATATATTGAATTAAAGTATGAGGTCTGTCCAGAAGGTATCCAGGCCATGTAATATGAAAAATAGACACATTTATTGAAGAAGATGTAAGATACAAGAAACACTGTACATATGACAATGACACCTCAGTCCCCTTTAAAACAGGCACCCTGCGACCTCACACAGTATTCCCAATCGCCATCAGCTGCCCCATTGTATTTTCTTGAATCTAATCAATGGTCTGAAATCTCTTCCCTTTCAAAGATGATTTTAGTTTTGGGAAAAGCCAGAATTCACAGGGCACCAAATCTGGGCTGTAGGGGGCTGAGCCACCTGGGTGATTTGATGTTTCACCAAAAAATTCTGCAGGAGACATGATGCATGAGTGGGCATGTTGTTGTAATGAAGCTGCCAACCACCAGCTGCGTGTAGCTGTGGCCTTCTGAATCATCTGAATAGTTTCCTTGGAGGAATGTTCAAGTTTAATGCAAAATTTGATGCAGATTCATTGTGCTACTCACTTAGTCATTTTGAATGTGACAGCCACACAGTACACATGCTCGCTCACTCAATGGCATCTACTGCTCCCACTGACTAGTACAGTGAAGTTGTCATTGTTCTTGCATACGCATTCCAGTCCACTCTCCTTGGCTGCCAGGTTACATCGATGTCATGCAAACCATTCTCATTATATAACAGTGGACAGATGTTTTTCCGACATAACCTCACATATAAAAAGTATTTTGTATATGAATTTCAAGAAATATTTTCCACATTTTTGCCTTAATGTAAAATATAAATTTGATTTTAGAACTCTGGTTTTAACTATCCCATAAATTATAAATGTAGATCCTTATGGTATGAAGAAAGAGACAACTGAACTTGTAACACTGGCTCTAACACAGTAAAAATCAAAACCAGAAGCAGAAAATAGTTTAACTATATGATTACTCATGGAATTAACAGATTGCTAATAATCTAGGTTAAAAAAAAGAAATGAAAAACCAGCCAAAAAAAAAAAATTCCCATAAATCCTATAAATAGGATAAGATTTGAAAATCAAAGATAAACTTTTTACAAACATCAAAATAAATGAAATTTCTAAAGGAGACAATTATCCTAATACATATTTAATTTAAAGCCTTTAGTGTTTTAAAGATATTGTAATATTTTAAAGTGTGACAACTGTTAATGAAATACACCAGCCATCCGCTTACCTCAGAACATTTGAACTTGCTATTTCTGTTGTTTAGAAATTTTTCCAGTATTAGCAAGACCTACTTCCTTATCTATCCCCTAGATCTCTGTTAAAATGATACCTTGAACAAGGGTTTGATCTCCCAAATATATAAAGAACTCACATGACTCCAATCCAGGAAGACAAAAAAAACCCAGTTGAAAAATGGGCAAAAGTCTTGAACAGACATTTCTCCAAGGAGGACATGAAGAGGGCCCAGAGACATATGAAAAGATGCTCAGCATCACTAGCCATCAGAGAGATGCAAATTAAAACCACAATGAGATACCATCTCACACCCATCAGAATGGCCAACATAAACAAATCAACAAACAAGTGTTGGAGATGATGTGGAGAAAAGGGAACTCTAGTGCACCATTGGTGGGAACGCAGACTGGTACAGCCACTGTGGAAAACAGTATGGAATATCCTTAAGAAAACTAAAAATAGATCTGCCTTTTGACTCAGCAATTCCACTGCTGGGATTATACCCTAAGAGCCCTGAAACACCAATCCAAAAGAACCTATGCACCCCAATGTTCATAGCAGCACAATCTACAATAGCCAAGTGTTGGAAGCAACCTAAGTGCCCATCAGCAAATGAGTGGATCAAAAATTATGGTCATTTGCACAGTGGAATTCTACGCAGCAGAGAAAGGAGCTTCTACCTTTTGCAACAGCATGGGTGGAACTGGAGAGCATTATGCTAAGTCAAATAAGCCAGGCGGTGAGGGACAAATACCATATGGTCTTACCTTTAACTGGAACATAATCAACAAAAGAAAAAAGCAAACAAAATATAACCAGAGACACTGAAATTAAAAACAATCTAACAATAGCCAGAGGGGAGGGTGGAGGGGACAGTGGGGAGAAGGGTTTTCAGGAACTACTATAAAGGACACATGGACAAAACCAAGGGGGGGGGCGTTGAAGCACGGGAGGGCGGTGGGTTTGGCTCGGGTTGGGGGGAGTGGTGAGGGGAAAATGCAGACAACTGTAACTGAACAACAATAAAGTAATTTAAAAAATCATTTTATTAAGGAAGCCTTTTCTTTACTACTGTATTTTAAGTAGCAATTCCTCATACCCTCACCTAACACACACATGCCCCCTTCCCACCAACCATGTTTTTTCTCCTTAGCACTTAATATAAGCTGACATACTGTTTATTAACTTGTTTATCACTCTTCCTCACTAGAATGTAAGTTCTATGAGTATAAGAATTTTTTTCATTGTTATTTCCCAGCATCTAGAAGAGTGCTTTAGATAAAAGAGGCTCTCAACAGATAACTGTTAAATGAACAAATGTATAAAGAATAATACTACCATGATATTTTTATGAATATGAGTTTTGAATTTCTTCATAAACTAATATGGTAAGTATTTCAATTAAATGGAGAAAAAAAGGTTTTCAGGCATTAGATTTCTTAACCATAATAAAGAACATTAAATTTACCTTCAATCTTGGCAAATCTTTATTTGCTTGTTCAAGCTGAAATTTTAGTTCAATATTTTCAGATGACAACTTTAAGTTTTCCCTCTGAAGCTCCTGTTCTCTTTGCCAATGATCATCGGACTCTATTTCTGAAGTCTTCAGGAAAATAAAGTTAGGAATATTTTTAAGACTTAACAAATAAAAGCTGCATAAGACATATTGAATAAGGAAACACTATGTTAAAATGGAACATTTTTCCTCAAAGGAATATGAGAAAATTAGAGAGTTCTACAGAAAACAACCAAAAATAAATAAGAATATAAAACTTACGGGGAAAAGGTAATAAAGTATATTTTAATTTATACTGAAAGCAAAGTCAAGTAAGTACAACTTAACGTCCACACGTTTGTTTTTTTAGTCCAAAAATAAAGTATGATTGTTATCCATTATAGACTGTATTATATCCCACCCACAACCCACTCCCAAATTCAGTATGTTGAAATCCTAACTCCCAATACCTCAGAATGACTTTATTTGGAGACAGTACCTTTTTAGACATAATCAAGTTAAAATAAGGTCATTAGGGTCACCCCTAATTCAATGACTGATGTTCTTATACAAAAAGGAAATCTGGACTCAGACATGGAAGAAAGAAAGACACTGTGAAGGCTCAGGGAGAAGACAACCATGGAACAGTAACGGGAGAGGCCTGGAACAGATACTTCCCTCACAGCCTAGAGAAGCAATTAAGCCTGCTGATGCCTTGGTTTTAGACTTCCGGCTTGTAGAACTATGAGAAAAAAATTATGTTGTTTCAGCCATCAAATCTGTGGTAGCCATAGCAAATAATACACACAAACCTACAAAAAGAACTGCCTCAATTCCTGGAGCAAAAGTAATCACTCTGCCCTTGTAACATTGTACTTGCATTTCTCTTGGCATGAATTCATCTTGGGTTATTATTTATGTTCATTTTTACTTCTCATTCTAAACTACAAGTTATTTGAAAGAGAAATCTGTGCTTGATTTACTTTTTTCTATAAAATGGAGAATTTCAAATTCTCAATTAAATATTATCCAGCAGAAAAAAAAATATGAACCTGAAAAGAGTAGTTAAATAAGAATCAACTTTCATCCACTTCTCTTAACATTTAAATGTTGGATTGTGGTCAATGTTTTCAGGACGCAGGCAACTGAAATGTGTGGAAAGCATAAAGAAAAAAATGCTGTTTGATTTCAATTGGGAACAAACTTGTCTTTATCTGTACTGTAACATAAATCAAACTGCCCCAAAGTAGTGTGTACGTAGGAAGTTCATAAACTGTAGAGTCAGGCCTTTAGGTCTGCATTTAAATTCTGTTCTGCATCTTCTTGATCACTAGAGATGTTATTTATTCTCCAAGCATCTATGTAAATTACAAATAATACTCTGCTAAATATTGTGGATATTAAATGTATGCAAAAATACTAACACAACATAGCAATAAGCTTGCTTTTCTCATTATAAAAAAGTAGTTTTATAATACACAGAAAAAAAACACTAAAGGAACTTGTTATGCATGTCAGAATGTCACACAGCATCATTAACAAATTTTCACTGATATTATTCACCATATAAAATTTTACTTGCAGTGAGATTGTACAGCATAGTACATTAGAAATTTCTAAGGTGAAACAAACACCTCTAAAGTGCCTCATTTTTTGTTATTCTGTGATCTAATCTAATCATTTTAAGTAAGCACCAATGTCACAACAGGGAATATTGAAATGAATTAGGAAATGAATAACCACTTATTTTGTCAGAACTAGGCAAATGCTAGGGTTTAAGGAAACGTTTATTAATAGTTAATATTTTTACAAAATCTGTTTAATTTTTTTCCACTTCCACATATCTATGCTACTTGCTATAAGAACACTCAGCTAACAAAGAAATAAAGACTGTCACGTCCTCAAACCTGGGGCCCGCCATTTCTCGGCTGGACTGGTACATCAGTCTCAGAGTTTGCCTGTGCAGCCTCCTCCGCACATGGCTTCGCTGCAGCAGCAGCCGTGGCAGAATCAGGGTCCTCCCCGGGAGATTCTTCTGGATCCATGACGTGACCTACATCTTCAGCTATGTGTCCTTTTCCTTTCTCATTCTTGCCTAGTTCATTCTCTTCCTTGATTTTATATTCCTGCTTATTTTCACAATAGTCTTGATTAATTTTCCCAATTTCAGGATCTGGGTCATTTTCAAAACTGGAGTTAAAATCTGCCAAGTTACCATTATTTAGCCTAAATGTACTTGATTTATTGTTTGGTCTTGCCTCAGATATATTTGGCTCAGTAGGATCTACAATATCGTCTGCTTTGTGTTTTTCTTTGTTACCGGAATACTGTAGAATACTTCTAGGTTCCTCATGACATATGTTGTCACTGGTGTCTATTACCTTCCCATTTTTAATTTGGAGCACCCTTAGGGGTTTTTTTTTGTTCCTGTGTAAAGTATTCTTTTTGTGAAAAATGTTGTGCCCATATTTATTAACACTGGTAGAAAGGGTAGAAAGTGTAGTTGTGTCACGCAACAGATTCTGCTTGAAGCAGAAGAAAAAGGAGAAACATGAAAAGAAAAGAAAAGAAAAGAAGAATAACAAACATGTACACACTAAGTGATTTAAAGTAAGATAAAACAAACAATTCTTCATTAATGATTCTTTATAAAAAAACCATAAACATATCACATATTTGATAGAAATAATGCAATAACATATTTTTCTATTTTATCTAATTGCACATCCTTGCCACAGTAAACTCGTATCAACTACATTTAAAACCTCTAGACTTATTCATAAGAAGTTCTATGTGAAGCATAAGAATTTTAAGTTTACTGTTATTACATAAGAAGAATTAAAGAAGTTAAAATATATCAGTAACTACTAAAAATAAAAGTTTAATTTACTGTATAAATACTAAGGATAGGGATCTACTCGTTTTGGCCAGATAAAGGTAAAAACTGATTTCATTTCTATACTTTAATGTGAAAAAAATAAAAAGGAATGATGTACACTTACTGAAACTCTGGAATAGGTATCCTTTGAAGACTGTTTTTCTAAAGCATGAAGTTTTTCTTGGAGGTATCTATTTTGTAAACGTAAATCTTCTATAACAGAATCTCGAGGAAGAGCTTGGTGGGTCCTATGAACAACAACCACAGACTCTTTACCATTCAAATGTCGACTTTTCATTATTTTATTACATTAAAATACAGGAAAGAAAGAAAATATATTCATTAACATATTTATTTTAAATTATAAAAAACTTACAAATTTTATGAAAATTAAATTTTGTTTATGACTATTTACTGACATGACTACTTACATTATAAAATGATCCACTACAGAGGATTCATTGCAGGCCTCCTTTAAACTTTGTGTTAAAAAGTGCTGCTTGATTTTTAAAATTACATTAACATTTTTAAAGAACAGGCACCAATTTATATGAAATTATATATAAAAGTTGAATTAAATTACCCACTTTTAAAAACACATATAATAACTTCATAATATCCATGTGCTTCTCAAGGAGCACAAGGATTTACAAAGGCTCTTATTGATGCCAGATAATAATCTGTTCTTCATGTCTACACTCATCTGTGTGCCCTACAAAGTCCTCCATGACCTGGCACTACCACACTTATTCAACCTGATTGTCCAGTTTGCCTAGTTTACTAAGGCAAGCAAACCCATTCTTACCACACATGAAAGATGCACTCCTGCCTCTATGTCTCTGCTAGGGGTCCCCCTTCTTGGAATATCCTTCCTCCCTTTAACATCTAGATTTGATTCATAAAACTCAGAAATTTACGCTTGTGCTGGGAAAGACAACTAGTTTAATCTTCTACAAAGTCTTATCATTACTCCAGCCAACACAGAATCACATTATTAAGAAAAAAAGAACAATTAAACCTCTAAAAGTATTAGAAGGTTTTAAAACTAAAATAGTTTGATTCTTGTAAAAAATGCAAAGGAGAATTAAAACATTCAGTTTAGTTTTTGCACTGAATATATATTTAGACTAAAGAGGGAAGGGAAAAAGAGGGAAGAAGCCACTGCTAGGACCAGGTAGTAACTATAAATAGATATTTTAAAAAAAAAGAATTCTTCAATCACAATTTCCTTCTCTATCAAGTGAAATTCTGAAGGATTTAAGAAACCATGGCTTAGAAGGGAAGCACTTGGTATGTAAGTTTGAAACTCATGAATGTTCCTATAAAGGAGTTCTACTTTGTATGTACACTGCATTAATACACACACAATAGTGTATGTTCATAAAGAAGCACTAATGGTAGTTTTTGAAGATTAACAGGAAGGAAAACAAGACAGAATAAAAAGAACGGTAAGTATCTTCACATCTAAATGTCATAGGTAGGTACCAGACTTTGATCATTCAATCTGATTCCAGATCATTTGTAAACACTTAGAAGGGGAAGAAACAAATTAGGTAAACCTAATCTATGTTCATCTTGAAAGATATGAGTGAAATAGAAAATTATGAATACTTTCATTTGCTGTTGTTGGGACATAATTTTATTTTTCTTTGCATTAACACGATGATATCAGAAGACAAACCCTGGAAAGAAACAGCAATAGAAGAAAATCTCAAAGGCTCTACTGAAGAAATGACCTTGAGGGTTCTGGGTCTAGGTACAATACAGTAAACTCATCCAGTGTTTTCTCTCACCAATGCACGGAGCATATACTTGAGGACTTTGAAAAGTAAATAGTTTATAGATTAGGATAAAATGCCAGAATTTGAAGTATCAGCAAACAGGTGGTGAATTTACCTCTTCTTTTCCTCTGGTATTTATCAGCTTGAATGCAACATTGCTTGAAATGCGTGTCAACACTGAGGGAGAGAGCTCTAGGGATGCCTTCAAACTCTAGCACCAAGCTCTAGCACTGAGTACAAATAACCCTCATTCTTTCTTTCTTCTATTTTTTCATGCCTCAACCCTCAAGCAATCCCATAGACAGTAGTGGCAGAGACAGCAATGGGAATCCATAGGTGGCTAAATTTTTAGAGGAAAATCACCTTCTCCAATTAGTAGCAAGCTGTGATCAGTAAGGCAGTAGGGTTAATGGGTAGTCCCCTGCCTCCCCTCACCCTCTTTCTGTCCTCCTGTTGTCTGCTTGGCTGCAGATGTGCACAACTGCTGAAATGCACAGGATGCACAGGACACTAAAGTGCCAGTTTTGGTTCCAAGGACCTGAAGGGGAGCCCTAGGGAAATTGAGAGTATCAGAGAGATCACAAGAAGGAAGAAGCTCAAACAACTATACAGCTGTTTACGAACTTCTGGGCTCACCCTCACAGATCTGATCCTATTCAGAACACCAAAGACTGAGAACCAAACTAACAGAGAGAAGACAGACCACGTACAAAACTGTTAACAGAGAGGCAGGCAAGTGTAAGGTTTTCTTAGACCCCGCCGAGGAAATAAACAGCCAATTAGCCATGGAAACAGGCAAATGAGATTTATTTTGGAAGTTTGTGCTCCTCCCGGGCGACGTTTTCCCCGCACGGAGAAGAGGCTAAGAAAAGACCTGCACTGGAGAAGGGAAAGGCTGGGAGTTTTATACGGCTGGACATCTCGCGCGGGAGCCAAGGATTGGTTCTTGGTGAACAAAGAAGCAACTTAGCATTGGTGGCTCCTGGTCTGATGTCAGTCACCTCTTCTGGGTCAGAGTTCAGTTGCCATATTACTTGTAGTCCAAACAGTGGCCATATTTGTAGTCCAAAATGCTAATTGTAACTAGATTCCCACTTGTCCTACCTTGCCCATCCTGACAGCAAGCAGGACGGATCCCAACGGCACTATAAAGGCTTAGAAACAGAACTGATATTGGAATCATAGCCCATAGACAACAAGTTGGAACTTGGGGTCTCAATCTATCTAGACCAACTGCCTGCTAAAACAAAAATAACAACATTTTTTCCATAGAATTTAAGATCCAGAAATTCACAACATAATATTCAAAGTGTAAGAATATAATCCAAAGTTACATGACATACAAAGAAACAAGAATGTTTCAACTCACAAGAAAAGACAATCAACAGAACCCAAGCTTAAAATAACATTTACTATGTCAGTTTCTATGGGTCAACTAGTTTCCTTTGTTATAACTGATAGCACATTTCCATGTAATAGCTTACCTTATATATGATATGTCATTTTCTAAGTCAAGATTTCTCTTTTTTAATTCTTCCAACTCTTTTTCAGACTCCAAAGCTCGCACTCCCATAACCTGATTAACAGTCATGCCAGTTGTTTTTAGTTTCCTCTGCAAAGTAAGTTTCTCTTTATCGGCTCTGTGGAATTTAATAGAGAAGCATGAAAACACATCATTCACTGTTCAGTTTGTTCAGTTTCTTAAACTGCAGGTTACTCATTGCAAGACCAATGTATAAAAATCAGATTATTCTGTATTGGCTATGAGCTAACTTATTTTAAATTTATAGAAACTCCACTTATAAATTGTTAAAATATATTTAAAACACATTTTCAAGAAAGAAAATAAAAAGTAAATCATAGATAATAAGTTATAATTAAAACTAAAGAATCTTATATTATCAAGTATAATAAAACTATATAACTTCCAGGTCAATTAAAGACTATATATAATTAATTAGGTTCACATTAAACTCACTTGGCAAAAAGATCCTTCAAAGTATTCAATTGCTTTGTTAGAATAAAGATTTCTCCCTCTTTCTCTTTTAACTTGTTTCGAATTCCTTCTATTTTGCTTTGCCATTTTTTACCTTCTTCCCACCTAATTAATTCTTCTCTAGCACTCTGTGAAAAATAATAGATGAAGAAAATTACCAATATTGTTTTAACTTCATCTTAACAATTATAAATTACAGTTTATTACAAAGATGGTAAAATAATACTTCCTAGAAAATAAGTAAATAGGTCCTAACTTCTACAATTTTTAGGCCTGCCAAGCTATTAGCAAAAATGACCTTCAGTTTAAGTATTCTGTATTTTCTAACTTGACAAACAAATTTCTAGGGAACAGTTTGAACCAATGCTAATACCCTTAAGTCTCTACATGAAGATTTTGATGTAGATGATCGTGGCTACAGTAAGCCTGCAACGAAGAATCCACAATATATGTATAAGTGGCCAACCCAATTCTGTCATCCCACAGCAAAGGCTTAGCACAGGGCCCCTTCAAGTCTTCAGTACACATTACTTTTCTTATCCAACAAATATTTATTTAGTCCTAGTCATGTCCCAGGTACTACTTTAGGCACTAAGAATAGAAGCAATGAATAAACCAAAAAAAATATGTCTGCCTGAATACTAGAGTTCAGTTTATGTTGTTTAAGTTGATAGATTAGGAAAAGGGAGCAAAATATAGAAAAAAACCCCAAGAAAATAAATATTGTGGTTATGTTAGTGTGATAAGTGCTAAAAAGGGGGTGGGCAATAGGGAAGGAATTCAAGCCTTTTAGAGACAGGTGTCATGGCTTGTTACAACAGAGACACGGCAATCAGGAAAGTGGAGAATAGCCCGTGTACTACACAAGTTTCGGATGTGCTACTGGACATTCACATAGTTAAAATTTCTGCTCACAAATGTCTGAGCTAAGAATTTACATCTTCATTCTACCAAGCAATTTTTAATGATCTTACTGTGTACTAAATTTTCTAGGAATATAACAGCTGTATAAAAAGAAAATCTGTAGAAATCATTTTGTTGAGAATTATATCAACAATTGTTTACCATTTTAGAAATGACATTATAAATGGAAATGCCAGTGTGATATATTAGCTGCCAATAGGACATATTTTGTATCAGATTGCATTTGTAGCTCTGAATTCATATTAACACCATGTAAAGGTGAAAGGACAAGACTACTTCATCATGTTTTCCGGTGTGCTCATGCCAGAGCATTTACATGTTGGAATATAGAATGTATATGAATACATTATGTTTATAAAGTATTTGCCTTTTATATTGCTCCTTTATCTTTTATCTTGGGAATTTATAATGATAAATTTGAAATTATGCATATACATACTAGTTTATAGTAACCATACATATCATTTGGAATAGTAAAGGGGATATTATGAAATATTGTATTCACTATAAAAATGAATGTTGGTTCCATATGAATTTTTTATTTCTTTTAGATCTGTGAAATATGCCATTAGTATTTGAACAGGAATTGTGTCAAATCTACAGATTGCTTTGGATGGTATGGACATTCTGATGATGTTAATTCTTCCAATCCATGAACAGGGTATATGCTTCCATTTATTTGTATCTTCCTCAATTTCTTTCTTCAGTGTTCTGTAGTTTTCTGAATACAGGTCTTTTACCTCCTTGGTTAAATTTAATCCTACATACTTTAACTTTTTTGTTCCTATAGTAAATAGGATTTTTCTTAGTGTCTCTTTCTGATAGTTCATTGTTGGTGTACAAAAATGCCATTGATTTCCGAGTATTGACTTTGTATTCTGTTACTTTGCTGAATTCACTTACTACGTCGAGTAGTTTTTTGGTGGAGTCTATAGGGTTTTCTGTGTACACTATCATGTTGTCTGCAAATAATGCCAGTTTTACTTCCTCCATTCTAATCTGGATGCCTTTTATTTCTACTTCTTGCCTGGTATAGTACTAGCCTTGAGTACTATGTTGAGTAAGGGTGGTAGAAGTAGACAGCCTTGTCTTGTTCCTGATCTTAAGGGAAACACTTTTAATTTTGGACCATTGAATATGATGTTGGCTGTAGGTTTTTAGTATATGGCCTTTATTATGTTGTGGTATGTTCCGTCTATTCTCACTTTGCTGAGTGTTTTTATCATAAATGGGTGCTGGATTTTAGCCAATGCTTTTTCTGCTTCTATTGATATGATCATGTGATTTTTTGTCTTTTATTTTATTTGTCATGTATCACATTTATTGATCTGTGAATACTGTACCATCCTTGCATCCCTGGAATAAATCCAACTTGATCATGGTGTATGTTCTTTTTCATGTATCGTTGGATATGGTTTGGTAGTATTTTGTTGAAGATTTTTGCATCTGTGTTCATCAGAGATACTAGCCTGTAATTTTCTTTCCTTGCTGTATCTTTACCTGGTTTGGGGATTAGGATAATAGTGGCCTCATTGAAAGAGTTTGGGAGTCTTCCCTCTTCTTAAATTTCTTGGAATAGTTGTGAAGGATCACTGTTAGTTCTTCTCTGAATATTTGGTAAAACTTGCCTGTGAAGCCATCTGGTCCAGGGATTTTTTGTGTTGGTAGTTTTTTGATTACTGCTTTAATTTCACTAATAGTTACTGGTCTATTCAGGTTTTCTCCTTCTTCCTGATTCAGTTTTGGAAGATTATATGTTTCTAGAAATTTACCCACTTCACCCAGAAATTTATATGGAACCAAAAATGACCCCAAATGGCTACAGCAATCTTGAGATAAAGGAACACAGTTGGAGGGATCACAATACTTGATATCACACTATACTAAGGCTACTGTAATTAAAACAGTCTGGTACTGGTGTAAAAACAGACACATAAATCTGTAGAAAAGAACAGAGAGCCCAGAAATAAACCCACATCTCTGTGGTCAATTAATACTTGACAAACAAGGCACAAACATACAATGGAGTAAAAAGCGCCTCTTCAACAAATGGTGCTGGGAGAACTGAATTGATACATGAAAAAAAATGAAACTAGACCACCAACTTACACCACACAACAGAAAAAACTCAAAATAGATAAAAGACATAAATATAAGTTGTGATACCATAAAAGTCCTAGAAGAAAACATAGGCAATAAAATTTCAGATATCCTATACAGCAATATTTTTTAAAGATTTTATTTATTTATTTTTTAGAGAGGGAAGGGAGGGAGATAGAGAGAGAGAGAGAAACATCGATGTGTGGTTGCTGGGGGCCGTGGCCTGCAACCCAGGCATGTACCCTGACTGGGAATTGAACCTGCGACACTTAGGTTCCCAGCCCACGCTCAATCCACTGAGCTACGCCAGCCAGGGCTATAGCAATATTTTTGATGATATATCTCCTAGGGCAAGGGAAATAAAGGAAAAAATAAACAAATGGTACTATATGAAATTTAAAAGCTTCTGCATGGCTAAAGAAACCATCATCAAAACAAAAAGAGCATTGACTGTATGAAAGAATATATTTGCCACTGATATATCAGACAAGGGTTTGGTCTCCAAAATATATAAAGAACTCATATGACTTAACACCAGCAGGAAAAATAATCCAATTAAAAATGGGCAGAGGCCCGGCTGGCGTAGCTCAGTGGATTGAGTGCAGGCTGCGAACCAAAGTGTCGCAGGTTCAATTCCCAGTCAGGGCACATGCCTGGGTTGCAGGCCACGGCCCCCAGCAACCGCACATTGATGTTTCTCTCTCTCTCTCTCTCTCTCTCTCTCTCTCTCTCTTTCTTCCCTCTCTAAAAAATAAATAAATGAAATCTTTAAAAAAATGGGCAAAGGCTCTGAATAAACACTTCTCCAAGGAGGACATATAAATAACCCACAGACATATGAAAGGATGCTCAACATCACTAACCAACAGAGAGATGCAAATTAAAACCACAATGAGATACCAGCTCACACATATCAGAATGGCCATCATTAATAAATCAACAAACAAGTACTGGAAAGGATGTGGATAAAAGGGAACCCCGTGTACTGTTGATGGGAATGCAGACTGGTGCAGCCACTGTGGAAAACAGTATGGAATTTCCTTAAAAAATTAAAAAATGAACTGCCTTTTGACCCAGTAGTTCCACTGCTGGGAATATACCCTAAGAAGCCCAAAACCTCAATTCAAAAGAACTTGTGCACCCTAAGGTTCACTGCAGTGGTATTTACAATATCCAAGTATTGGAAACAGCCTAAGTGCCCATCAGTAGATGAGCAAATAAAAAAACTACGATACATTTACACAATGGAATACTGCACAGCTGAAAAAAGAAGAAGGATTTCCTACCCTTTTCAACAGCATGGATAGAACTGGAGACTATTATGCTAAGTAAAGTAAGCCAGTTGGTGAAAGACAAATACCATATGATCTCACAAGAGGAATCTAATGAACAAAATAAACTAATGAGCAAATAGAACAGAGACATGGAAACAGCGAACTGACAGCTGCCAGAGGAAAGGGGAGCTGAAGGAATAGTGGAAGGGGAAGGGATTAGTCAAAGAACATGTATGAGTGACCCACGGATATGGACAACAGTGTGGGGATGGACTGTGGGAACAGGGAGAGGGCAAAGAAGGAAAAATTGGGATAGCTGTAATGAAATAATCAGGAATTAAAAAAAGAATGTTTGGACTGAAAAGGTTAAAACCGTAACTTTAAGCCAAATACTCAGTTTATTTAAAATGCCCAACTAAGATATTGCCCTCTCAAAACTAACTTTTCTGCTACTGAATTAGTTTTTACCTTTTTTATTTAGTAAAGCTCACAAGTATCCTTTTCAAAAAATGTAAAAACTTCGCTAAGTATTTGATAGTCATTAACTTCTTTTTTTCTGAAATATCACAAGAAATTTTGTGTACCTCTAGAAGCAAAAATAGTTGGGGGCATAAGGTAAGTAAATTTTTCTGCAGCATATAGTAATTTCTAGGGACTGGGCAGTTCTATTCCAATTGACATTGCCTTTTAAGTAAGACTGAGGAAAGAAAAGCCAAAATAACTTAAAAATGAACAAAACAACAACAACAACAAAATACCAAAGGCAAATGTCACCAAGGGTCTTTTCTGGACTGGGGGAGAAAAGATGAAAAGAGAGGATGGAAGAGAAGTTCTATTTTCGTATTTTCTGTGCCAACAGCCTCCTAGGCATAGATTTCAGACTAATGTTATTGTATTTTAAATTTTTCACTCATTCAACAAACACTGAGCATCTACAATGTGCTAGGAACTGTTCTGGGTGTTAAGAATGCAACAATAAGCCCTGGCTGGCGTAGCTCAATGGATTGAGCGTGGGCTGCGAACCAAAGCATCGCAGGTTCGATTCCCAGTCAGGGCACATGCATGGGTTGCAGGCCACGGCCCCCAGCAACCGCACACTGATGTTTCTCTCCCTCTCTCTCTCTTTCTCCCTCCCTTCCCTCTCTAAAAAATATATAAATAAAATCTTAAAAAAAAAAGAATGCAACAATAAATCAAACAGGCAAAGTTTCTGCCATCAAAGCTTGCAGACAAAAAGATGAACACATGACTAAGTAAAACCCCCTAGTCTGTCAGACAGCAGTACCATATTTTTTGGACCATAAGACACATCTAGGTTTCAGAGGAAAATAATTTTGAAGCAAAAAATGTGGTAAAATATTAAATAACATAAATAACATAGTATTTCACCAATGTAAATATAAACACAACTCAACAGCAGCATTAACAACCATTATTCCTCCCAAATTGGGGGGTGGGGGTGCACCTTATAGTCAGAAAAATACAGTAAGTGCTAAGGAGAAAGGTATGGCAGCATAAAAAAAAAACAGACTGCAAGGAATAGGGGTGGGTTTTGTTATAAAGATGGGCTTCAAACTTTGTTTTCAGAGAAGAAGGTACTGAAATTTCAATATGAAAGGATTCTTTGATTATAAAAACATTCACAAATTAGAAATGCCCTGCACTGTATAATCTAAAAGAACACTCTACCTAGATTCTTAGATATACATTTAATATAAGTGTAACTTCCTGTGTTCTCTCTTTTTCTAGTTAGTATAATGTACATGGGGATGAACTTCCTGATGGCTTACAAAAGACTAACATATTATTTCATTGTCCACATAATCCTGAGACACTGTCAATGCAAATAGTATTATCAACTTTAAGGAAAAATAGGCTAAACACAGAGGTTAGGAGTCCAGGAAAAGCCATGAAGCTATTGAGGTATTCTGATAAGAATCAGATGAGGAACTGGTATCTAAGAATTAGTTTACACCTTTGCTCAAATAGGGAGACAGAGAAGAGAGCTATCTAGAAAAGTAAGAACATTTTGATTTGCATTTTTTAACAACAAAGCTTCTGAGAGCAAGTATGTTGTGGTTCCATGTATGTAAATGTAAGCATTTTAATCAAAATTATACTAACATTGATAAATTTTATAGGAAAAATATTTTTGTAACATACTCTGTTAAAACATTTAGTTCCATTACCTATTTATTTCTATATGGAATCAATAAAGATATGTAATTTTCTTTTTTCATGTTATTCAAATTATTTTACAGATATTGAATATTTTCTGTGTATACTTTTTCTTACCATAGTTCCTCCACTGTGATTTTCTTCAGGGGCAAACATTACCACTAGCACAAATATTTGCCAGGTCACTTTTGATGTTTTCAATGCTCCCAACAAGATATAAGTCTTAAGTTTATCACTTACACAAACTTAATTATATGTATTTTAGCAAATTTTACTTTCTCTTTGGGTTGATTATTTCTATCAATAATTTTGTTATAAAGTAGTGTACTATTTAACTTACAAGGGAATTTTAAGCAATTTTCTCAAATTATAGAATCAATTTATTGAGTGGATTGGTATTATTAATACCAATATTATAATATTGGTATTAATAATAATATTCCTGTACATACTGAACATATCCCACGGCACATTGTTTCCCCTGAAATAGCCAACAGTCCAGACTACTGAAGATAAAAGAACACATTTGAGTCAAAGTAGAAGACTATAAATGCCCAGCTTTTTCCCCTCAAAGGACAAATCACCAAAGTATAAACAATTACACTGGAAGAAGTGATAAATACAGTGATTAAAAAAGTGTAAGATGTGAAGATATTTTGGAGGTATTATAATATCAGGAAGGTGACATGGACACGATGTAGTAATTTCCAAATGAGAGTTATATTGTAGGTATCTCCCCAAGTTCCCTTGTAAATTCCTACAGAATGGAAACTTGTCTTAGACTTCTCTACATTGTTCAGTATCATTTACAGTATGTGTTAGGTCCTCAGATTAATACAGTATATTGGCTATTCATCAATTACCTATTTAACTTTGTCTCACTGCCTCAAACACATCAGTGGGTTTCTTCACATACCTTTTCTTTCACAGGCTTCATTTCTACCTCATCCGCTTTTCTTTCTAGTTGGCTTTCTAGCTTTTTAATTTTCTTTTGGAGTTCTTCAATTAAACTTTGTTTATTATCAATCAGAGTTTTGCCCTGAAAAATAATATGCTTTTTAACATATATAAGTAAAATATATCAAACAAAATACACAACAAATATTTCAACTACAAAAATTTCCTGAAACTATAGTTTACCATCCTTTAGCTAAATTAATCAAGGTGAGATGTAAGCTAAGTCCAGCAAATATTACATATAGAACTAAAAAGTTGCAATCAACTGTCACCTATACATTATAAATCAAAGACATCATCACAACTAAATATAAAAGTACCTGTAATCCACTGGTTAGTCTTTTTATTTGCCTTTTCAGTTCATCATTCTCTTGATCAAGCCCACCTTTCTCTCTGAGCATTTTATTATATGCTTTTTGTGTTTTTTGTAGTTCATTAGTTAAGTCACTCAAATTATCAGTTAGTGAATTTTCTCTGTTTTTACTTGTTTTAAGAGCTTCTTTCAACTTTAAAAGGTTTTCATTTAAATCTTCAATTTGTGACTAATATAAGAAAAAGAAAGGTTTAATTTTTGAATCTTCACCAAGTATAAATGATAAAAACAATAAAATATGAAAGTATACCATTAAGACTTAAGAAGAAAATTTTATTTTAAATGTTTAAATACATATAGGAAAAAAACCCTACAAACTATACATATTTTTCTATCTTCATTTCCAGTGACCCATGGCTACTTTGAGGAAATAAAACAAACCATGAAGAAATAGTCTAAAGCAATTCATCATCAACAAATACCTAGAACCAAATGTTTCTACGTATTATCAAATAAGGAAATATTTCACTGTAGCTGAGCTAACTTATTAAAGAAACAAGCATATATCAATGCGTACAGCAACGTTCTAAGCACTACCAAACATAAGAGTAGAATAAACAAAATCTATGACTCGAAGCAGTTTCTAACCTACTTTGTAAAGACATGAAAGAGTAATTCATAATACTAGACAGTATACAGAAGAAAGTACATATAGAAAGGAGTTTCTAGCTCTGTTGTATAGTAACAGTGATGGAAATACTGGTACTTAAAATATGTTTTGTTGAATAAGTTACAAGCCAAAATATCATTAATAACAATAGGAAATTAGAACTTAGTATTATGATGCAGTGAGGAGAAAAACATAAATTTTCCTGAAAAAGTCAGAAAAGGCTTCGCGAAAAAGGAGTTGAAAAATGTGAGGAATTCAGAGAAGACATTACAGGCAAAGAGAAAGGTGCTGAAGAAGACTCAACAAAAGGTTATTTCTGCAAATATATTTATTAACTAATGGATTTTTACTGTCATAGTCTTAATAGATGCAATGGAAGATTTTAAAAATCTGAGTAAAATCCAGTCCTTATACAGTTTAATGGTGGCGAAGTACATATACATATAAACCAAGAGTAAGACAAAATTACAAACAAAACAACATATAAAAAGATTTCTCATTTTACTCAAATACAGTATATGAAACTTTGACAGAAATTTGGAAATCATTATGAAATATATATTCTGGAAAAGAATTTAAATTACCAAACCTAATAACCAAGGAAGAAAATGAAATATCGCCAAAAAGTACTAAGTAACTTCAAAATCAATGCTTCAGAGTCAGGCAGCTCTATAGATTAAATGTCAAGGACTATGTGATATCCATAAACTACTTCAGGGGGTAAAAAAAGGAAAACTAACTCATAACTAGCAAAAACTAGATAGAAAATTCTGATATGGCAAAAGAAATAAAAAATCTACACACTTATTAATACAGAAGTAAAAATCATTTATAAAATGTTTCTTAAATGCAATTCTATTATGAAGAATAGCTTAAAATGGCCTATTCATTGCTAATTCCAAGGTGATAACCAGGGCAAAAGTACAATAAAGATGCTTGTTGTTAAAAAAAAAAGTGGGTTCTCTTCCAATGGAATTATCAGGAATGTTTTTATGTTTATGAATGTGTTCATATTTACCCTTAGCTCTTTAGTGTGTCGATCAACAATCTGTTGAATATTGAGATCCGCCTCTTTCTGAGAAGTTGCAGAAATAATACGTTCTTCAGCTGCTGCTGTCATTTCTGCCCGGAGTTCCAAAAGTGCTCGACTAAGTGCCTAAAAGTTTTAATAGATATACAATTTTTTTTTGAAAATTTGATATTTTATATCAGCAATATGTAAAACTTCTTTCAACTATTTGCCTAAAATACCACGTGCTTAATCAAACATAATTCACAAACTACAAGACAACCTTTTTCAAATGAATTTCCTTTAGTAATGGAACTCAATTCTTTCCAAATTGAGTATGAGAGTTCAAAATCTTGACAATAACAATTTTGGGAACCTGGCATCAAATTAGGCAATTTGGCCCTGGCTGGCATAGCTCAGTGGATTGAGCATGGGCTGCAAACCAAAGCATTGCAGGTTCGATTCCCAGTCAGGGCACATGCATGGGTTGCAGGCCACGGCCCCCAACAACCACACATTGAGTTTCTCTCTCTCTCTCTCTTTCTCCCTCTCTTCCCTCTCTAAAAATAAATACATAAAATCCTTTAAAAAAATTAGGCAATTTGTATTACGAAAACCAGGTACATTTTGTTTTCAAATATCCAAGTTTAGATATTTATCCGAATTACTCAATATGCACTTCCATATAAAATTAAATGAATTTAAGTACACTAGGAAAGTTATTAGATTAGAAAAGGTTTAAAATTTGTCAATAAATTTCATGAGCTAGCACAGAAAAACAACTTCTAAAACAATTGAGTATATCAAATCTGATAAACTTAAAAAACTAATAAATCAGAAAATCCACTGACCTACTTTTTATAAAAGTATCTATATGACCTTCTTCTTTAACTTTTCCTATTCACTGTCATATCTCCCCCTCTTAAGCCCAAAATTGTTCAAAATTATTTAGTTATTTAAATTGTTCAAAATAGTCTTGCAGTAGTATAAAATCCCAGTAGAAAAGAAAAGGAAATAATGGAATTAAGATTTCCTCTTATTTCTATTTCCTACAGATAACACACCTCTCAGATTGATCACAGCATAAAAAACATAAACTGGACTATATCTGTACTTATAAACACCATCAATAAGGCTGGTTAGAACAATTTTCTTAAAAGACCCTGCTTAACAGAAATGAAATAAGGCTCATACTCTTTATTCCAACAGAGAGATAGATACTAATCACCTTTAACAAGTCTAATCTAAAACAATCTACCACATGTATTTCCTGAGTATTGATAATTTTCTGTTGTTACTTACTTTCTGTTGTTTCTCTTTAAGGGCTAACTGGCTCTTTAACCTTTCCACTAGGTTTTTCATTGTTGTTGTTGGAGCTCTTGAATTTGCTTCTTTCTGAGCCTGAAGTTCAGATTTTAAACTCTGTGACTCATTTCGTGACTGGGCCAGAAGGCACCTTAAGTCCTCTATTTCTGCTTTCACTTTTTTAATTTCATCTTCATGGTTTTCTTGGAGCCTAATATAAGCAAACATATGTATTTAATAGAGTGGTTGCTGCAATTTAAACTTTGATTGACAGAAATTCTATACAAAGAATAAATATTTGGTCCGAAGTATTCTTATAACCTAAGTCTTGATTCAAATCCAAAAGAAATACAATTTCGTCCTGGCTGGCATAGCTCAGTGGATTGAGTGCGAGCTGCAAACCAAAGTGTCGCAGGTTTGATTCCCAGTCAGGGCACATGCCTAGGTTGCAGGCCATGACCCCCAGCAACCGCACATTGATGTTTCTCTCTCGCTCTTTCTCCCTCCCTTCCCTCTCTAAAAATAAATAAATAAATAAATAAATAAATAAATAAATAATACATAAATAGAAATATAATCCTTTATTCCACTTAACTACTCTTAAACTTAACATGAAATAGACTTTTTCTTTCTAGTTTCTGTCTACTATTTTGGTAATGACTGCATCAAGTAATTTTGTGGTCTAGACAAATTAATACAAAAAATGAACAGCACTTAAATACTATGTGCCCTGCAAGATGTGACTGTTTCCTCTTCTCCGAGTTTCTCAAAAATGGTACTATTAACTATTTAACTGAATAAATCTTTGTTTGGGGGGCAAGGGGTGAGTGGTCCTATGCATGAAAATGTTCAGCAGCATCCATTGCTTCTACACACTAGATGCCAGTGGCACCTCCTAGTTGTCACAATAAAAAAAGTTTCCAGACATTACCAAATGTCCGTGAGAGGAGAGAACAGCATAATTACCTCAGTTGAGAACCCCTCTCCTACACTGTCATGTTGCAAAGACAAAATGTAAACTCGCAGAGGAATTATGTTATTATTAATTTGTTTATGGTTCCAAAGTTACTAGTATTACATCTATAACTAATATCTTATATCTATAGATATGGAAATAGATGCAATCAGCAGACTTAATTTGGTTAATCCTACCATTCATTCATCATTAGTAAGTCAATATACCAAATTATGTGCAGTCCACTTTGTACTTAAACACTGCATAATAAAGTTAATATGTAGAGTCAAACCAACCAATGAGAAGATTGTATTAAACTATAAACAAGTACTAAACACTGAGACCTGTTGCTTACAGCAAAAAATGTGTCACTTTAATTGTCGAATTGGGAAAATTAAGGTTTTACTAAGAAAAATACAAAGATCTATATAATGTGTCTTTCCTAAGACACATTAAAATATGCACACTAGACAAAAAGGGGACACTGTAATAAATCTAACCATATGTAACCCTAGGTGATCTGATCATAAATTCCTAACTGAAGAAGCAGTTCATGGTGCTCCCAGGCTTATAACTTCTTTAGTAAAAGGTTTTATCTTTGCCTTAAGTGAGCCCTGTCCACTGTTTTTGTTCATATAGGTTAACACACCTTTAAAATGCTCTTTTTTAGACTCTTGGAAGAGAGCACATAATCTTTGTTAATTATTCTGTAACCCAATCCCTGACTTGCTTTCTCCCACCTTCATGTAATCTTCTTTGCTGTTCCTTCCTTAATTCCAAATGCAAAAAGGAAACCACAAACTGTCATCCTTGGAATTATTTCTGTGTCTATAGAAATCTTGCTTTCAGGTGTATCTCTGTTCGACTCAAATTCTCATAAACTCTTAAAAATGTCCCTACAGGTTTGTATGTTCTTATGTCAATAATACCAATTTGCACACAGAAAATAAAAGTATAATCATAGAGAAAAATGACATGGTAAAATACAAAACAACAACTCAAATATTTCAATGGCAAAAAAATTATATAAACAAGGTAATTTTAAAGATGATTATTTTCTACATTCAGACATTAGGTTCAAAAGCAGAAGCAATTTTATACTCTAAAACACAATAGAGAGTTTATCAAAAGTAACATCTCATGTATAAAAGTCAATAAAATGAGAAAAATTACATACCAAGAATACCATATGTTATTTCTAATTCTAATAATCTCTTTAAAGTGGCAGCTTCTTAATAAAATTATAGTAGTGCTAATGTTATCAGAAGTATTTTGAATAAGTGAGTCAAGAATCAAAGGTTCTAATAGTGTTTCAGAGCTGGAATAGAATAATTAGTCAAAGAGTTCAGCTTTCTCATTTTTTCAGATAAGAAATAGAGGTACAGAGAGATAGTTCTACAATGATTACAAATACATAACTATAAACCTATTTTAGGTTTAAAGTCTATATTCTGATAAATTGAGCAATGTTTAATATCTCTGATGCAGAGAATGAAAGCTGGGAACCATTTACTGCCATTATAGTAATAAAAAAAGTTAACTTTTCATTGAACAAATATCTATTAAACCTCTTTGTGTGCCAGAAACTGTTATAGGTGTATAAACAAATGTTTTATATTTACTTGTTACTTTGTAATTTTCAAATCACTTTCATATACAGGAGGATTTGGCTTTCAAATGATCACCCTAAAACAGCCAGGTTAAGTATTGTCATTTCCATGTTACAGATGATGAAACAGAAACTTAAAAAGGTTAAAAACAAGATTCTAGACAAAAACTCTGGACACTTGAATCAGGCTGACTAGGTTCAAATTGTGACTTTTCCATTTCCTCCCAGGCATGTTACTGAGCCTTCCTGTGGCCTAATTTCCCATGTGAAAAATGGGGAGACTATAACATATGTCATAGGTAGTCCTGAAGATAAACAACATAATAAAGTGCTTAGAAGGCTGCACAACACAGAAAACAGGTTTATCCTTATTCTATCATTATTGCTATTTGCCCATTATTATGATACATTTCTAAGGCTTACCGTAATTTGGTATTTTCAAATTCCTTGATTTTTAATTCAGTGATTTCTTTTTGTCTCTCTAAATCTTGAGACACTTTTTTCAATTTGATCAAAAGTGAGGAGAGAGAGTCATCTTGTTCTGCTACTGTCTGTTCCATCTCAGCAAGACGAATGAAATGCTTGTTAGTAGGAACTGGTGTAGGAGGCTGTTTTAGTAAGTCCTGTGAAATAAGAATAACTTAGCTCTGAACATGTATAACTCAATGTGATACTTATTCCATGATTTAATGTGGCTCCTCAAATACTCAAAAATATTATCTAAGGTGTAACAGGCAATGAAATCTTAAAGAAAACAGGAAATAGACATCACATTGTTTGTATTTCCAATATCTGGCAGAGTCCCTACATGCAGTGAAAGGACAATAAATGTAGATTGAATTAATGAGTAAGGCTCAAGGATGATGCGGTTTGACTGTCAGGAGACTGAAAGATCATTTCACACATACAAAAGACACAGATCAAAAGAGGCAAGTATAAACAGAACTCAGAACATGAAAATCAGTTACATTTAGGTAAACAAATAATGAGCAGAATTTGAAAAAAAGACTGAGGTCAGATCATGGAAAGCTTTGAGTATGTGGCTAAAGAATATAAATGATTTTATAAGCAGCAGTGAGATACTAAAGGGTGTGGGTCTAGGGAGAAGAATGATCAGAACTGTGTTTTTAGAAGACTATTCTAGCAACAAAAAACAAGGTGGCTTCTATTCCCCCCAACCCCCCCCAAAAAAAGGAGAACTAAATTTTCAATCATATGGTCTCAGATATCTATAAAAAATAGAACAAAGTTCTTAGAATCTTACCCAGGCTGTCTGCTTGAATTTATTGAGTGAACTATCAGCCTGTAGTTCTAATTTATGATGAAGAATCTGAAGGTCTTCTTCATGTTTCTTAACAATTTCTCTTTGCTCCTGTTTTATAGCAAATCAAAACTGTATCTTAAATTATGATTTAAATAAATGTACAATCTAAAGATATTAAATATTTTTATCTTTAAATTTTCAAAATCCCTGTGAGATAGGGAAGGAACAATGGTGGCATGCATATATTTACACCAATATGCATTTCCACTAGTACACATTCAAGTTGCCAACTTCAGCCTTAGGTCATAATTTAATATACATTTTAGAATAATATGTATCCATCATCTTTTAACTCGCTTCTAGAATTTTTTTTAAATGCAGCTTCCCCCCAAGGTTCTAGCAAATCTGATTTCACTTACTGCTAGTGTGACAAGATTTCATTCTAACTTATGGACTTAATCTTTACCTATAAACTCAGATGGTGTTTTTGAATATCATATAGTTTCACCATGATAGCTATTCCTGATTTAGTCAATCCATAAGAGAAAGACTCATTCGGAAACTGCCAGTTTTACTGACAGATCTGTAATCCAATCAATGAAAGTAACAATTTCTAAATGGAATCTATTTGAAAGCAAGAAATGAACTGCCACTTCAGGGCAGAATAATATTTGCATTTCACTAAAAAATATGATAATAAATAAAATAGCATAACATAATAAAATACCTCTCTGGCCTTTTCCAGAAGATGCTGATACTTCTTTAACACTTCTTCCTTTTGATTTAACCTTGCTTGCATGTTGGCAATCGTCTGCTGAGCAATTTTCAATGTGTGATGTGACTGTGGTTCCACTACTTTTCTGCCTAGTTCAGCTATAAGCTTTTCTCGTTCTGCAGTGGCAGGTAAATGAAGCCTCAGTTCATTGATTACTTTGTCTCTTGACAGAATATTTTGTTCTGCTAACTGTAAAGCAGATTCTTTTTCTTTTAGCTTCTGCAATGATCAAATCATAATAAATTATTAAAGTATATTTTTCTTTTAAAATGTTTCAACTGAATTTTCAATTAGTTATATGTTTTAAAAAGTTTCCCTTTATTGTTCACAACATACTTATAACAGCCAAAAGATATCAAAAAGGTTAAACTGATTGTATTTCTATGTAACGGCTAAGTTATTTATATGCATCCCTTATTTATAAGACTCTATCACATGTGTTAGAAATTTCATTGTTATGATGAAAATGAAATTTAAGTTACTTCATTTAGATCTTGTAGTTTTAGAAATAGAAATGTGTGGTGGTGCTAAATTTGGAAAGAAAATGTAATGAATCGGTCCTTTTATTTCAGTCCATTGATTATCAGATCACTAGAAGAGCAATTTATGTCAGCAGGGTAAAACAATTGGAAGTTTAGTTGCCCAAGTCAATAAATCACTATTATAAAATATGTGGTTTATGAAAACAAAAAAGAAAAAACTCAGATTAGCCATATCTATTGTTCTTTATTGGCTATTAGAAGCATTAAAGGAGAATATAAAAGGAAAGTGGAATTAGCAACAGATTCATCATTCTACACATCATCCTCATTAAAAAATATTACAGGGTGAAGCAAAAGTAGGTTTACAGTTGTATGTGAAACACAGTTTATTCTTACTATATAATAATATATTCTTTACTAATAAAGGATATATTCTTTATTCTTACTATTCTTACTATTTATGATTGTATTATTTTCCATATGAACAACTGTTAACCTACTTTTGCTCCACACTGTATTTAGAAAATTCCACATACCCAATAATACATTAATCAAAATGTAAATTTTTCTAATTACCTCTTCTAGTGATTTGCAAGTTGCCCGTGTTTCTAGAATTATTCGAACATTCTCCTTAATTTTTCTTAGAGCAATCTCAAGTTGATTTGGAAGGGGCAAACTTGGGTCTGGCATTGATCCTGGAACCTCTTCAAACTATTAAAAATATCATTATGAAAAACAGTTGTAGCATTAAAGAAAACAATATTAATTTTTACAATTATATGATAAGACATGGTTAAACCCCACTTACATTTGAAATATAAAAGGATAACATAAATTAAAATTCCATCTGACTTTAGAAAACATTTCTATTGGTTAACATTATAGGTCATACTACAGAGTAGCAAACAGTAGCCAATCACTTATACCTTTTGTGCTGCACTTAGTATTTCATTTTGCTGACGGTCAAAAATGTCGAGCTGACGTTCTAGCTCAACTTCTCTTTGATCCCAGGCCATTTGCCTTTCTTCATGAAACTGATAAAAGACAGTTTGTGTCAGACATACACAGAGACATGCACCAAGCAAATAATAGCAATTTTATATACATTTTCTTATTTAATTCTCACAACAACCCTTTGAGGTCACTGTTATTTTACGGGGAAAGGAAGCAAACTCAGAGTGGTAAAGTAACTTCCTTAAGGTCACAGAATAGGCAGATATGGAGTTGGAATTTCAATCCATTCATGTACCCAGCCATTCATCCATCCATCTATCCATCCAAAACACATTTAATGACATGTACTATGTGCCAAGCGCTATTCTAGGAAATGTAAGCATAACAGGGAACAAAGCCCAGCCCCCTTCACTATGTATTTATTAATGAGAGGGAAAGATAAATGCACTTATGTATTATTCCTTTTTTAAGGTTAAGATTATTATTTCAACATAAATAAATATGCATTTTTATAATGGTTTAGAAAATAAAAAATAGAATATTTTATATCAAAATAATGGAAGGTAATTTCAAGTAGGAGAATATTACATTCATACAATGTTTTTGTGTTTAAAATATTGCAACAAAAGATCAAAACAAATATAAAATGAACCTTGTTCTGCTGTACAATTTCTTCCTCCAGGCTGCTGATTGTATGCTCATATTCAAAAATTATATTATTCAAATATTTTATTTCTTCTTTATCTTTAACTAATTCTCGATTTAGTTTAAGCTCTTGAAGACGGAGTGCTTCTATTTTCATATGCCAATTGATTACCTAAAGATTTATATTTTATATACACAAATGTAAATGCTATATAAGGAAATAACATTTTTCACAATCCTAATGATTTTAATTCAAATTAATGAACATTTTATAATAAGATAATATATAAAAGTATCCTTTGTTATGCCACATGGCAGTTTATTTGTAATTTCCATAGAATTTTCTAAAAATATGCAAGATCTTAACATAAAACATTCTTCAAATTATGTTTTGAGTGGGTAGTGCTAACATTCACCTTCATTTACTCATTTACTTTAATGTTTTTATTGGGTACTTACTGTAAGTATGTAACTGAAAATTGGTTTTACTTTCAAAAATGAAAATCCTAAATATTTTTAGCTTCAAAACTGAAATTTAGTTGCAAGACAATTATTTTTCATTTAATTATTTCAAATAAGGGTAAAAACAAAATATTACTAAAAATAAATGTGGGTCTGCTACTTGTACATAATTTTATACAAATAATGATTACAAAGAGTAGAATTCAAGTGATCACCATATAATGTTTAAAAAATAATTACAAATTAGTATTTTATTTATATATCTAGTTTTTAGAGTATTTAAAATTATTTGATATTTTAAAATCTACATTTCTACTAAAACCATTGCTTATAAGAATCTCATTGTATTCTTACAAATAGACATTTAAAAAAGCAAAACCCCTAATTTATAAAATCTCAATATATTATAATTGGAATTTTGGTCAAATATTAAACGTTTTATACATAGGTACACATTAAGAACCTAAAATTATCTAACTCTTCTGGAAATGCTGAAGAAAAAAATCAGTGTTTTACCTTTTGGGCTCCCCTGGCATCCTTTAAAGTGCTTATTAATTCTTCTAGCCCCTTTAACTTTAATTCCAACTCCATTTTTTTGTTTTCCATATTTCTATATTCTTGTTGAGAATTTTTCATGTCTTGCATTATCTTCAGTTTGTCATTCTGTAACTGAATCATTGTTTTAGAGAACTTTTCCTGCTGTGCCAAGGGCAAAGCTCCACTAAACTGGCGTCGCAGAGACTGAATTGTTTGGCGCAGATGTTTTGCTCTGTTTCTCCCCTCCAAGCGGGCATAATAGAGAGCCTGTTCCTTTTCATCCAGTTTCTGTTCTAAGCGCAAATTACAGGCCTCCATCTTCTGCAGTTTCGATGTAAGAGACTCCAACTTACCAAGAGCAGTAACCTCACTAATTTGAAGAGAGACGATGTGTTGGTGCAACTTGGCAATTAGTGCCTTTTCATCCGACTGTGCCTAATATAAAAATTACATATATTTGTAGTAAGTCTCAAGTTCTTCCAAAGAAACTGATCATGGATTCAATATCTCTAATTTACTACATAAAATTTAAAAGTGTGCTACCTGAAGTCCTACAAACATCTAACCTTCCTGTAATACAAGTTATCAAAGAACTGTAAAAAACAAACAAAGAAAAACAACTCAAAACAGAAAATCCCAACCTGTCATCTGAATCAGTAACAGTTGGAATAATATTGTTGTTTTACTTTTTTACATTCCATATATAAATAACAGTAATGGTATAATACTAACATGGGCAATGTGTTTTTTTTTTTATTCTAAGAAAACACACGTGAGAATTTGTGAAAAGCTACATAAAGCTATGAGAGAAAATACTGGTATGAAACACTTAATATTTCTTCTCACTATGTTAACTCCAACCAACATTCAGAGCAATGCATTTGTAGGTATTTAAATGCTCTTCTGTATTATGAGTGAAAATTCAAATTAAATTGTATAGGAACCTCAATTTGATATATTCTCTGATTGAAATTATACAATCATCCAAATATCTAATGTGAATTTACGGGATAAAACCTATGTGGATGAGCCAATACTGCACACACCTGATAGTCTAACAGCTGCATCCTGATGGACTCGACTTCTTTATCCCTGGACTGTTGCTGTGCATTCAAAATTTCAACTTGCCTTTTGGCAATGTCAGAAATCTCTCGCAGTCTGGGAAGTGATATTTCAGAAACAATTAGGTACATTTTTTTAAATAATAAATACCAGGATTTAAAATTTTTAAACCCTTGGAAAAGGTTTTAGTATCTCTTCTTTGTATGAAATGTTAAAGCAAGGTTTCCTAAACTGTTCCACAAAAAATAATTCTGTGAGAGGTTAACATGTTTTTTATGGAAAAAGTCATTACTGACATCCCCCCCTTGAAAATTCATAATATATAGTATCACATTAAATATTCTGAGAAGTTTTAAAGTAAAAAATTATCTGAAACTATACATATGAGGGGAGACCACCAAAAAACCGAAATTTATTTATAAAAAATTATGTATTTATTCTCACATGTTTAAACTTCAGTCATCTTCAAAGTACTCTCTATTTGATATAATACACCTACTGAGGCATTTTTCCCACTGCTCAAAAGTTTTTGAACTCATTAATTTTGATGCCTTTTAGTGCTTCTGCTATTTTTTGTTCCACCTCTTCCATATCAGTAAAACATTTCCCTTTCAGGACTTTTTTCATCCAGGGAAAGAAAACAAAAAGTTGCTTGGGGTGCAATTGGGTAAATAGGGAGGATAGAGCACAAGGGTCATGATGTTTTTGGTCAAAAACTGTTGAACATTCAGCGCAGTGTGGGCAGGTGCGCTCATAAATCAGCCATCATGAAATGGGCAAATGCATAAAAAGAGCCTTCAAAATATTCACTGAAGCCCAAAGAAGCCCCTCACAACAATGGCAGCCCATGCACTAATGCAGATGGGTTCCTAGAACACTCACCATGTAAGGGGTAGCCTGTATTACAAGGGCCCTGCCCTCCACAACATAATTCTGGTTTTTTGGGGGGGTCTCCCCTTGTATACATTATTTTCCAAATGCATGTGACCAAAGCACTCCTATTTCACATGTTTTTGAAAAGATACTTATCATAGTTTGGCATAGCTAGAATATGGTGTTAGGTAGCTTTATTTGTTATAATTCCACATTAAGTGCTGTTGACAATATGGAAAAAGTGTTAGGTAGCAGCCAGGAATGAACAGCCAGAGGGGAAACAAAGGCAGGGCCCTCACCATTACAACCTAACAAAGAACTTAACACAGGAGACTAGAAGCAAAAGGAAGACATGTCTCACCAATTAGCTCAGCAGTCCTGAGCTCGGGTTTGATAAGATTTGCCACATTCCTGAGCATCACAAGCCAAATAGCGCAGGAGGAGGGAAGAGCCCTTCAGACTGTGCTGAGAAAAGGGGCTTCAGTAACAACCTTACTAAGATTGCCGGGTGATTTGAACATCGTAAGCGGGAACTGCACAGGAGGAAGAGGGGGGCCTATGATGGGAAAAGGGGCCTCTGTAACAATTTTACTATAATAAAGAGCTTTACTAACTGAGAAATAAAGCCTTTGTAGTTGGACATTATTCCTAAGATTTAGAAAGGGAACAAGGGGAGGGAAACTAAAAGCTGACTGAGGTAATAATAACCTCTGAATTCCAACTGTCAGTGTACTTAGATTAGCTAAGTATCCACTTGTAGCCTCAGCTCAAGTGTATAGATCAAACTCACTAACTTACTAACAGATTCACTAACAACGTTTTTTCCTCTATACGTGACACATCCAGATTAGCTGGGTGCCTGCCTGCAGCTTTGTACTCGTATGTATTTCATAAATAAATTTGCTATGTCATTTCTACTATACGTGTTTGTCTCTCTCTTGGCTTTGTGTCTTGCGAGCGAGACAAGAACTGAGTTGGGGGAGAAAGACAGCCTGACTCAGGTCTGTCTTTTCCCATCTGCAACAAAAGGGGAACATTTTTGAACTGTTGGCGGCAGACTGGTGCAGCCATGGTGGAAAGCAGTATGGAAATAACCTCAAAACATTAAAAATGTAATTACCTTTTGACCCAGCAATCTCACTTCTCTGAATTTATTAAAAGAAACCCAAAACACTAATTCGAAAGAACATAAGCACCCCTATGTTCACTGCAGCATTATTTACAATCTCCCAGATATGAAAGCAGCCCAAGCATCCAACAGTAGCTAAGAGAATAAAATAACTATGGGACATTTACACAATGGAATACTACTCAGCTGTAAAAATGAAAAAATTTTACCATTTGTGACAGCATGGGTGGACCTGGAGAGTATTATGCTAAGTGAAATAAGCCAATCAGAAACAGACAAATATCACATGATTTCACTCATGTATGGAATCTAATGAATAAACTGAACTAACAAGCAAAATAGAGACAGATTTATAGATAAAGAGCAGGCTGTCAGCTATGGGAGGAATTGGGGGTAAAAGGATCAAGCAAAAAGGTAAAAGGACTTATGGACAACAGTGTGGTGACTGCGGGGTGCAGTGGGGTATAAGGGGTCTAAATGGCAATGGAAAAATACAATAAAATTGAGAGTGAGGTTTGGCATAAAAAACGATTACAGATATTTAAAATTCCAAGGTTCTCTAAATAGACTGATGCATGTATTGATGTGCTTTATTTTAATTTACAAGTTACCAGAAATGTGAAAAAGATGATATATTTTCTAAATTTATAATAAAAGAGGGGAGCTTAATGGTAATTTATTAAATTTCATCTTTTAAAGATTTTATTTATTTGTTTTTAGAGAGTGGAAGGGAAGATGAGAGGGAGAGAAACATAAATATGTGGTTGCCTCTCCTGCACCCCCTACTGGGGGCCTGGCCCGCAACCCACACATGTACTGACTGGGAAACAAACCAGTGACCCTTTGGTTCAAAGGCCAGCATTCAATCCACTGAGCCACACCAGTCAGGGAATTTATTAAATTGCTTATATGACTATTGTGTTGAGATAACACAGGTAAGGTAAAATGAGTTTTACTCTGGGTTGGAACTATTTTAGTTCAGTGTGACAGATAAGTAAAGTTTCCTCATACTGATTACAAGCTCTCATTGACAGTTATATATGTTTTCATTAATTAAGATATAAAATGAATAACATAACTGAGCTCATTTCAAAAGGCAAGGTCCGTGAGGTGATAGGAAATATAAAAAGGAACCTTTCACAGTGAACATGGCTCAGATGACTGATATTCCCAAAATGATATCAAAGCTCCAAAAATGGCTATCACACAGATCAACTCAGGGATCCTCACACTTTTTTTTTTTTTTAGTTTTTTTGTTTTTTATTTTGTTTGATTTATTAAGGTGACTTTCGTTTATAAAATTACAGGTTTCTAAAATAGATCATCTGTATATTGTATTGTGTATTGACCAGCCAAATTGGGATCCTTACATTTTTCTACTGAAGGAACACATAATCATAAAAGAGAGTGAATATATAGCATATCTACCTGGCACACAGTATTTACACCTTACATATATGTTGTGTTCTAAGCAAATAAACTGTTTCTACACATCACATGAAAATAACAATGTTACTTCAGAGTTAAGTATAATTGTATGAGTTAGTATGTGTTTAGCATAGTATATATAGTAAATACCCCAAACTAATCAAAATTTGAATGTTTCCTTATATTTTTACATCAACCTTCTGAACAGGCAGAAGAGGCACTTATAAAGTAATTGCTCTAATAAGGTAAAAAATAAAGAACAAGTTCAAATAAATTAATGGCCCTCCCTTCTAAAAAAATGTTAATATGTAGAAGAACTAAGCCTCAGAGGGTCCTGATTCCCAGTCAGCTCTTTCTGTAAACATTATCCTTGGACTCTGAAAATTTGTGAATCTTGAAGTGATTTCCTCTTCAATATTATTATTTATGCCCATTAAAAACCACTCTAATTAGATTATTTAAGCATGTTCTTCTGAAAAGAAACCAGTATCAATTGCCACTAACAGTATATTTCCCTGTACCACTGTATTTAGGTTTCTTAAAAACAAATTAAGAGTAGATACATCTAATCAAGTGACCAGAAAGTTTACATGAACTCACTTTGACACTTCAACTTTTAGTTCCATTTCATTCTTCTCTAATTCTAGAATCCGTTGTCTATCAGCATCACTTACTGTCTTGCTCACACTATCAGCTAATTCATCTCTTAAAATCTGTTCTACCTTCTGTGCTTCCAAGTTGATTTTGGTAAGCTAAAAAAAAAGTAACAGGAAATATTCAGATATATTAGTTTTTAAAGAGGTTTTTCTTTTTTAATTTAGCTTTTAGCATACTGCAGTCCTCTTTACATTGCATTAGTCCACACATTGAATTGAGTGTGAAGAACAAAGAACAGATTAAAAAGGGTAAAGAGAGAAAGAGTTAGGAATAAATCATGCAAACTCTGGTTATATGCCAACCCACTAAAAGTCATTTTTGTTAGGCAACTCACAATCTGATAATATCAGAATCTCTGATATTTTTCTTAAGATTTTATTTTTATTTATTTCTAGAGAGAGGATAATGAAGGGAGACAGAGAGGGAAAGAAACATAGATTGGCTGCCTCTCACATGTCCCCAACTGGGGATCCAGTCTGCAACCCAGGCATGTGCCCTGACTGGGAATCTAACCAGTGACCTTTAAATTTGCAGGCTGGTGCTCAATCCACTGAGCCACACCAGCCAGGGCAGAATTTCTGATATTCTTAATGTGTTAGGAATGCAGTATACTCATTATATTTTACTTCAGTTATATCACCTGTAAATAAATCTAAATGAGTTAATAAAACATTAATATATATTTAGTGACAGTTAAAATAAAACAAAATGATGCCATACTTTGAAAATTATACTAATTCTCAAGGTAAAACAAACATTACAAGAATGCTACTTCATCATAAACTGTCAAATACTTGCAAACTGTATTTATTACCATCCATTTTAAAAATTCTGACCACATCAAAAAAGTCTCAAATCTCCTATTAGAATACAAAGTCCCTGAGAGCAGAGATTACTGTTTACAGTATTTTGTTTCCTGCTATAATTCCAGCCCCTCTACAGTGTCTGGAATGAAATAGGCACCAAATAAGTATTTGTTAAATGAATGGAAGGTAGTGGCAAGTAATTCTATTATTAAGCAAGTATTCTTTCTTTTGCATATTAAATCTAATAATGTAATGCTGGTGAGAAATAAGAACTCATTCACAGAAATATTTGTTTTCTTTTTAAACATTTAAAAATACATCTTCTATTTTTATCTATTACATAAAACATAAGTACTAGATTAATACGCTACTTCAGAGATATAAACAAACCTCTTACATAATACAATGTCTACCACAACTAATTCCTTATTTTTTAATTACATGATAAAAACTGTAATATCAAACCTCAGCGAATTTGGTTTCCAATTCAAAATTACGTTCTTCCATTTGTTTTAATGAAGTCCTTATGTGTTCATACATCTTTTGGGAATGTTCAGCCCGCTGCCGTTCATTTAATTCCTTCATCTCCAGCATAGTGATTTTTTTTGAAATAGAAGCAATCTCAGTGTTGGTTATTGATTTCTTGGCCTTATCCATATTAGATTCATTTCCTATATACAAGAATATTTAAGTCAAACTTATGCTGTTCTTATAAAAATTATATTCCAGATATTTTAGACATTGTGTTCAGTAGAAAACACAAGCCCTCTGAATTATGGCAGGTCCAGATTCTAGTCATAGCTCTAGACATAACTCTTCCTGTTACATGCTGCCTTTCCCATTTAATCTCTCCGAAACATACATTCTTCATCAATCAAATGATAATAAAAACTATTCCTCATGGGATTACTGAAATAACAATGAAAAAAATATAGTGTAAATGGTGTCACATACAGAGAATCAAAAAAGGGTAAATAACTATATTTTGATAACTGAAAGTAGATAAATGATATAATAAAATCTTATTATGATATAATAAGATATCTTACTATGATATATATTATATAATAAGAAATTCAAAGAATAACACTATTTGGTGAATATAAGTGCAATGACTTTATTTTAAAGTCTCACAGAGTCAAGTTAAAATTAAAACATGAAGCCATATGATTTAGGGGTCTCACCAAGTATCTATCCTCTATGAGTATTATACTCATTAGTTAAGTATTAGTTAAGTATAATATAGCATATATAAACCTCTAACACCAAACATTTTAAATTATTTTATTAGTTACCACAAACTAATCTCATATACGTGTGATTATATATGTGTATATACATGTATATATGTACATATGTATACGATACACACACACACATAGTATGGCTTGTCTTTGGACAAAGAAGTCTGTGGTTAAATAAAATAAAAAGATGGAGGCACAGGTACACATGGCTTACCTCCTCACACAACCACATCAAAATCATAACAAAACTATAGAACAACCATCACTCAGAACCATCGGAAATTGAGTGGAATGGAAGTACAACAACTATGGAATTAAAGAAACTGCATCCACCCAGACTCATAGGAAGAGCAGAGATGTGGAGATGTGGAACAGGCTGGTCCCACAACTATGTGTGGTGATACAAAAATCAGGAGGGAATACTCTGGAGGAAGGAGTCCCAGCCCAACACCAGGTCCCCTGCCCAGGGTTCCAGTCCTAGGAAAATAAGTTTCCACAACTTCTGGCTACAAAAACCAGTGGGGTTTGAGTTGGTGAAAGAAACTTCTAGAGTCTCAAAGCAGTTCCTCTTAAAAAAACCCACACAAGGACTTACTCAGACTCACTCCCACTGAGCCATGCTACCAAGACAGGGAGTCACAGCAGCTCTACCTAATACATAGAAACAAACATAGGAGGCTCCCAAAATGAGGAGACAAACATGTCCCAAATGAAAGAACAGATCAAAACTCCAGAAAAATAAACAAACAGAATGGAAATCCTTCAAGGATTAGCAATCCTTCAGGTCAGGAACTCAAAACACTGGTTATAAGGATTCTCAACAAACTTAAGAGAGGACCTCAATAGCATAAAAAAGATCCAGTCAGAAATGAAGGATTCACTAATTGAAATAAAGAACAATTTAAAGGAAAACAACAGTAAAGTGGATGAAGCTGAGAATGAAATCCATTGGAACATAAGGTAGCAAAACAACTAATCAAGACAATAAGAAGAAAAATGAATTAAAAAAAGTGAGGATAGTGTAAGCAGCCTATGGGACAACTTAAGCATCCCAACATTTGCTTCACAGGGCTGCCAGAAGGAAAAGAGAAATAACAAGAAATTGAAAATCTATTTGAAAAAGTAATCAAAGAAAAATTCCCTAATTTGGTGAAGGAAATAGATGTGCAAGTCCAGGAAGCACAGAGAGTCCCACACAAGATGGATGCAAAGAGGCCCACTTCAAGACACATCATCATTAAAACACCAAAGGTTAAAGATAAAAAGAGAATCATAATGTAGCAAGAGAAAAGCAGTTAGTTACCAATGTGGGAGTTCCCATAAGACTGTCAGCTGATTTCTCTAAAGCAACTTTGCAGGTCTGAAGTTATTGGCAAGGAATATTCGAAATAATGAAAAGCAGAGAACGCTGGCCAAGATTGCTCTACCCGGCAAAGCTATCACTTAGAATTGAAGGGCAGATAAAGAGCTTCTCAGACAAGAAATAAACTAAAGGAGCTCATCATCACCAAACCATTATTATATGAAATGTTAAACGGACTTATTTAAGAAAAAGAAGATTAAAACTATGAACAATAAAATGGCAAAAATACATATCTATAAACTATTGAGTATAAAAAATGAACTAAGCAAACACAAAGAACAGAGACAAAATCATGGATAAGTTTTGATGGTTGCCAGGTGGAGGGCGGTGTGGAGGAATGGGTTAAGAGGTGAGAGGATTAAGAATTACAAATAGGTAGTTACAGAATAGCCATGGGTCTGTAAAGTAGTAAATGGAGAAGCCAAAGAATTATGCGCATGACCCATGGACATGAACAATGGTGTGGGGATTGCCTGAGGGAGTGGGGGTGCTGGGTGAAAGGAGGTAAAGGGGGAAAACCTGGGACAACTGTAATAGTATAATAAAATATAATCATAAATAAATACATATGAAAACAAAATAAAAAATTTCCCATGAAAAGGCATCACGTAGGATTAACATTAGTTACTAGTCGTTACTGAAGAGAAAATTAATGTTTTTCTTTGCATTACCAACATGTTTCAGATAAGAAACAAAATTTGGTATAGTGTTTTATTTTTTGGAGAATCAATTAATCACATGTTCAGTGAAGTCAATTATTTCAAGGAACTAAGAAGTGATTCAAAACACCAATAACGTCCCCTCTTATATTTTTAGCTTCACAAGCTTGAGTTTTATAACTGAATTTGCTTGAAGAAGTATATATATGTATATATTTAAAACAAACTAACAAAAAATGGTTTCAGTGTCTTCCTCAGTTTTAAGAAGTACTTCATTTTGTTCTGCATGCATCTATGATTTTAGAATAGCTACTGCAAGCAATGATCAAATAATTAACAGTAACAGATTACTGAAAGAAGCTAAAAGTGTTAGTCAGTCCATTATGGAATAGAGACTCATTCAGTCAATCCTGAACACCATGAATAAAAGAAAAAAACTGCATTAAGTATAAATATACTAGGAATATAAAACCCCTTCTCCGTTCAATTCTGTGCTAAACTATGATAACATAAAGAGGCCTGTCACAAAAAGTACAGCGATGAGCCATCTCTACACTCTTGCGTATGGTATTTTCTTAGGGAGAGGGTAGTGCACACCACGCTAACACCAATAAACTCTTGGATGAAAAAAGCTAATATGTGACACTTCCAAACAAAGATATACAAACAACAGAAAATAATGAAAGCTTTAAAATCTTTCATGGCATAAAGTCATGCATGGGAGAGATTAAAGTATTTGAAAATTTAAAAATTTCTATAGGAATTATTAAAAAGATACAGCATAATACTCATTTTATTTATCTTAAATGGTATCTTCTTTGATGTAGGAGTTACATGGATGTCAACTCATTTCAAATCTCTTAATGAATTAAAAATTATATTTTTAAAAGTAGCTTATTTTATTTTAAAGAATGTATTTATTTATTATTAGAGAGAGATGAAGGGAAGGAGAAAGAGAGGAAGAGAAACATTGATTGCACGCCCCCAACTGAGGATCTGACATGCAACCCAGAGATGTGCCCTGACCAGGAATTGAACTGGTAACCTTTCAGTTTGTGGGATGACACTCAACCTACCGAACCACATCAGTTAGGGTTCTAAAAATAGCTTATTTTAGACTTCCCAATGTTAGACCTCTCTAAACTACATATCTCAGTTACCAATATAACAACACAGTTTTATTTAGCAACAGAACCTGTGAACAGCATTAGAGCTCAAAGGTCCAGAAAGGAAACACATGAAAACACCTTAACCAAAGTGGCAAATTTATCTGAAAATTATAAAGCATAAAGCTAGCAAGATAAAAAGTTTTAAATGCTATAAACTAAAGAAACCATTTGAAAAACTAGTATGGAAAACCCTAGAGGAGCAACAAAGATTTTAATACCCTCTGAGAAAATAATTTCTGTTAGATATACATGAAGATGTTCTTTGTAGCACGATAACAATAACAAAAATAAGAAAAGCTAGAGATTTCATCATTCAAACACAGAAAGATACTGCATAAATATTTATAAGTATGAATAAAAATAGCAATATTTTGATATCTACTAAATAAATACAGCTTATACTACATTTACTATAATTTAAAGTACATACAATATTTAAGCATGTATAAGGTAATACAAAAAGTGTTAATATAGTACTGGAACCATGAGTAATATAAATTTTAAAAAATTTTAATGCTATATGGTCATCTTTTAATTTAAAATGTCACATGATACAGCCCTGACATAACTTTATAGATGGTGAAGCAACTTATAATACTGTCACTACAATGTAGGTATTTCAAAATTATTGCCAGTCTTGACTGTTAAATAGTTCAAAACAGCTAATGATTAGTTATAAATTTTTAACATATGTGATTTTATTTGGAACAAATCTAATTTTATAACTGAAAACCAAATTTTGGTGGAGATTAGTAGATGGTATTATTCAACTGCCTGCTAAATTAAACTGTTAGAGTTCATTTTTATCAAAATACTTTCTTTTCATTCAGTTTAGAAAAGGAACTTTAAATGAAAAATATTCACTATTAGATCTTAATCATTTTATATTATCATAATCACAGTACTTACCTAATTTAGTTTCCTGTTCCCAGGCTTGTTCAATAGTGTGAAGTTTTTCCTTGGTAATCTCTAGTTCTTTATTTGTAGACTCTATTTGTTCTTTTAGAGATGCATTTTCACACTGAATTAAACAGAAACATCACTGAGAAACTACATTACAATTCAGACTAGTACCACAAAAATAACACTGTCTCAACTTTATATATCTCCTGAAACTCACAATCCAGTTTCTTTTACAAAACTAGAAGTTTTCACACATGTAATACACATATAGGTATATATACATATAACTTAAACCTTATTTAAAAATAATCAAAATCTTGTGTATCAAATATGTGGTCCTAGCTGCAGCCATGCTCCTTTTGATCAAGATAAAATACTCACTGCTTCATAACTTTCACATACTAGTACTTACTTTCCTCATTCACACAAATAGTTCCTGAGCATCCCTAGCATGCTGTCAATGACAGGTGCTGTATGTTAACAGTGAAAAGAAACAGAACAAATTCTGGACTTCATAGGCCTAATCATTTGGTGTCTGTGGATACATATGTGTGGCAGGAGTTGGGGAGGGTGTTTAAAACAGCAGCGAGTAAACAGGTAAGCAAACAAAAAAAAATCTTAATAATCAAGATCTAGAAAGAAACAGTATGGGCTCAGAGAATAATAAAAGGAGCCATATCTAGATAGAACAGTTAAAGAAGGCATTACCCAAATAAAGAGGTGGTATTTAAGTTGAAACCTAAGCTATGAGAAGGGGTCTGTCTTGACAAGAAACCAGCCATGGAAAGTAATCATACACTGGTAAACCCAGATGCTCTAAAGCAGGAAAGACTCTGAAGTGCTAGAGGACTTGATCATGGTGAGCAAAAACAAAAGTGAAGAGTGGAATAAGCAAAAGTTGGAAAGATAACTAGGACCCAAACACACACACACAAAATAAAGAGGGGAAAAAAAACAATGAAAGAAAGAAAGAAAGAAAAGAAAAAGGAACAATAACGAGGCTATACTAAACAAGGCATGTTATGTGAAGATGAAGAACTGAATTTAACTTAATGCATAATAGGATATGAGTTAAAGATTAAACAATTCCAGGATGCAATGTGGAGAATAAAGAAGAATGTGGAGAGAAAATTGGAAAATAGTCAGGATGATATTGTAAAGTCCAGATGAGTGATGACGCTGTTTTAGACTAGAGTGATAGCAGTGAAGATGGAGAAAAGAGGACATGTGAATTAATTATATTTGGGAAATAAAAATGACAGCAGAAAGGGGTGACTAGAGAATAACTCTAAGGTATCCGTCTTAACTAACTGAAGATAATACGGCATGTATTGAAAAAAGAACGCCTATCTAAAATGTATCAGGAGTGCATTTTGGATACGTTCAATTTGAGACCCCCTTGAAACGTGAGTTGTAAAGTTGGTAATTCCACACAGTAGGAGACAGCTCTGAGAAGTCAGGCTGGGGATGTAAATGTAGGAGTTGGCACATAAGTACATTTTAAACCAATTTATTTTTCTTTCAACAGATAAAATGCCTACACTATGCCAGGTATTCTAAGCACTTTACTTCAATGGTAAACAAATTCCATCCTAGAAATTATGTTTTAGTGGGGTACTGAGAAAAGCCAATATAGAACACGATGAATGTCAGGTAATAAGAGTTAATGAAGAATAACAAAACAGAATAATGAGGTTTTTTAACACGGGATGTTAGGATGAAAAGAAAAGCAAGTTAAGAGATTAAACTTGAATTTCTGGTGACATCCTCAATTACAACCCAGTTCTAAATATTGTAAATACATAGGAGAAAAACAAACATGGGCATGGGGTATTTTAACTATGTTTCTACCCCTTTTTTTCTTTCTTTGATTTCCAGACTCTTTCAAAGTGAAATTCTGGTCTTGCTCCAGATCCCATTTCAATCCCCCCTGCCCTTGTATTGCACCTCATTTATTACCACTCTCATCTGTAATCTTTAATCACTCTCTTCCTACTGGCTCTAAATGTTCTTTCCCTCTCTCTTCAGACTGCACTGGTCTCATTTTTTAAAAAGTGATAAAACAAAACAAATCCTCCTCTTCATTCTAATTCAATACACATTTATTTCTTTTTCTTCTATTGCCAAATTTCTAGTTTTTCAATTGCCTTATCACCCATTCAGTTTTGTATGTCCTAATCACCAGCCCTGCTCTTTAAAATTTGGAAATCCAATTTTAATAACCTTTATTCTCATAAAACTTTACTCTTAAAAGGGCTTTATGATTTCTTAGTCACCATATACGATGATCTTTGCATCATGGCTCTACACAATTAATCCCTGTCTGAGGTCAACATTAAGAACTCTAACTCTGTGCCAAACAGGAGGCACTAAACACACATATGAATTAAGCAGAGCTAATGGTATCAAAGGCTTACATAGCAGTAGGGGAGGCAGACATAGAAACACATATAATATGACGTGATATAAACAGCAGAACTAGGTACAGGGCGTAGAAATAATATAGACAGAGGGAGTTTGCTCTATAAGGAAGGATGCTTCAGAATAAAGGAGACTATCTATACAAAGTTTTGAAACATGAATAAAAATTCACTGAGTGGATGAACTGGGAGAGTGGAAGAGCTTTCTAGATAAAGGAAAGAGCATGTACAAAAGAATATATGTAAGAAAATACACTTGTGTTGCAAAGAGCCAGTAGTTTGGCGTCTAACACACACCTTGTATGACTCCTTAGAGCATTAGAGGTGATGAAGTGAAGTGAAAGCTAATCACAACAGGAACTTGACTTTTATTCTTTAAATGACTGACAGCTTTCGACAGGTTTTAAGCAAGGGAGAGACATGGTCAGATTCACATTTATAATTATCATTCAGTGTCAGTAAGGTGGGCATAACACTGGAGATACAGATATGAGTAATGGCTACCACAATAAAAATAAAGAAAAAATATTTTTTCTTTAAAAATAGGAATAGATAAGTTTTCAGAATTATAACTGAGATACGGAAAATAAAGGAGAAAAGGAGATAATACAAATTAAAAATTTTTAAATTTTGAGAAAAAATAAAAATATTCTTTGGGAAAATAGGTAAAATAAATTTAAAATTTCTCATTTATGTTATCTATAGGAGATTTCTTACCTAATTTTTTAATGATAAAGAGAAGAGGACAAAGGACATGAAAATAGAAAAAAAATGAATTACTACCACACTTATTCAGAATTTTCTATAAAAATTAATATAATCATCTCTCTTTGGCAAAAAATAAGTAAACTGATCATGATTCCTTCTAGTTAGTATAAATCAACTGTGACTCAGATAATTTTGTAGGAGTCACTGAAGGCTATTGAGAACAATGTTTTGTTTCATTGAGTGTGTTCCCCTAAGCAGTAAAGGCCTTAAGCCAATAGGATTCCATCTCATTCCACTCCATCAGAAGATCATAATAATAAGTCAAAAGACATAAAACCCCTATGTCTGATACGGAAGATAAATAAATCAGGAGCTTGTTTTGCCTACTATAAAAGCCATGGAGGTTCAGTGGCTACAAGAGTTAAGTGGCCAAAGGGTCTGGGCCATATGTACTGTTTGAATTAAACTTGTACTACTCTTCTGTCCTACTGTACTACTGTTCTTCTGTACTACTCTTCGTCCTACTCTTCTGTCTCTCTACCACAAGAAAGAATGGGAATTTGCTGAGGTCACCCATGGTCTGGGAAGAACCATTTATATCTCATCCATTCTTGGCTACAACCACCACAAGATAACAGAAAAGCCAGGGACCATGACAGAATAATTTGCTCTGGGAACAGATGTAAGAGAAAAGGATGGGTACTAAAGGATGCTTCTTCTTATGATTATAATAATCTATCTGTTCCTTTTTCTTTTTTAATTTCCTGGTGGAAAGAGGCCTGATTCAGCTATATCACACAAATTGGCTATGGAGAATGACTTGGATGAAGTTGTTCAGAAGTTCTTTGGCACTTGTAGGTAGGATACCACCAAGGAAAAAATGGCTGATATCACAAGGTTCAATGATCACACAAACTTACCTCCAGATGTTCCAAGTTATTTGTTCTTTGAACAAGCACATTATCTTTTTGCAAGATGTCCCTGTACTTAACAGTCAGTTCATTGTATTGTTTATTGGCCAATTCTAGTTCAGACAGAGAAACACTATTATCCATAACTTTTTGGAGAGCTGCAATCTTGAAAATGGCCATCTCCTATGTGAATGATACAATAGGTCAATGTATTTTTTCTTATGAGGCACTAGCCAATTTTTAAAAAGATAATACAACCAAAAACAAAACAGATTTTAGAATAGTTTAGAAAAATAAGAATTCTCAAGTAAGTAAAATATTGCAATAATAATTTCTTTCATATAAAAATGTTATTTGGAAAGTTTTATTATAATAAAAATATAAATATAGTGAATTCTTTTATAAATCATAGTAAAGTGAAATTCAGTTAATTTGAGCAGAATAAAAAAAAAGCAACAGGAAATACATCACTCAGAATGTATCTTTGGCTAGACTTTCTGAATTTCACAAGATTAAAAAATAACTTCCCTTTTGACACCAGGATGGCAAAATTAGCACTGCCACAAGTAACCTTTACAGCTTAGCTATTTCTGCTTGTTATAGTTACAAAGACTAATTGTGCAATACAATAAAATTTTTTATTCACAGAAAGAAAACATTTAGAAGGAAAAAAATTATCTCCATCCTAGCTATCTGTAATAAACAATATCAAAACCTTTAAGTTACTTTGTTTATGTTCTACTCATTAACTACAAAGCTATAAAGTCACAATTCAAAGACATAGTATTAACACCAAAAAGAAAAGTCTGAACTTTCAGTTCTCTTCAAAGTAAGCCGATGTACTAGGGCAAGGAACAACCAATTTTATGAAGTGAAAAAGATAAAGCATTTATAGTTATGAGGTAGGAGATAGTCAGGAAGGAAACTCCAGAGGCCCCTCAGGGCTGAGGTAAAAAACATCCATACATGACAAAGACCCCCCTAAGACCGGTTGTTCCTGTTTTCTGGGATAACTCTGAATCATGGAATGCGCCTGCGCACTATCCCTGATTCATTATAATATCATTATAATGAAATAACATTGTGGGACTCCCTTCTCCAGTAGCCAATCACGAAAATTATGGGAAACCACACATGTGCAGTAGCTTTGAAATCCAACTCCTTGTACCTGCGCAGGAAAAGCCCGCCAAAGGCTAGCCAGGGAGCTTCTGCTGTATAAGAATAGAATCCCCCCAGCCCACGTGTTCCTTCTCTGCCTAGAGTTGGCCTACTCCCATGTCCTGTGGAGTGTACTATTGCTTAATAAATCTCTCTTTCTTTATGCTATAAACTTTGTGTGTTCGGTTCAATTCTTTGTCCTTGATCACTAAGAACCTGGTTACCTGTGCACACCTGTGACAGTTACAATTCATTCTAAAGTAGAATAATAAGAAAAAAAATATGTTCAATGGTGCTTCAGATCTCATTCTGACAACTTCCCCATGTAAATAGTACACACTATTCTACAATACCCTTGGAATTCGCTTTCACTCTTTCTTTTGAGAGGGTGAGAGAGTTTATGTTCCCTTTAAAAAATGCCCCCCTCTTTTTTTTTTTTTTTTTTGCTTTTCCAATTGTTGCAAAAAAAAAAAAATCCAGGTTGGATAACCAGGTTCAAGAGGAAGAAAATTTGTCTTTTTTCCCTTTTATCTCAAACATTGGCTATATTTGCAATACTCTAAGAAAAGTATATTTTATAGAACTTAACACACATACACACACACAGAAAAAAACATTTCTTAAGTCTCAAAATTTCCTTATATGTCCTAGTAAAAAGTTTTTATTTTTCAATAGGTTTCTTGTTGCACCACGATTCAGCCTTAAGATTACAATGAAAATGGGTTTATTAGCATAATACTTTCACCCATTACTGCATTTAAAAGGGGATGGTAAGGCACTGGATTTCATTTTAGTTTTACTTCAAATTCTTGTGTTTATATGATGCTATATAAATTTAGACAATTCAACTGAACATACACATGCTTAAAATAAGCTGTATAATAAAATCAGATGTAAAGCAAGGTGCATAAAAGTACACATAGCATGTAATTTTTTGGGTCTTTGTTAATATTTGCAAAAGGATACATTAGAAGGATAATCAGTTACCCAAGGGGGTAAAAGGTACAAGGACAGGACAGAAGATTGCTCTGACTGTACCATCTTTTAAACATGCAAATACTTCTATATTTAAATTTAATTTAAAAAAGAAAACAAATAATCCCTGAAATTGAAAACAAATGCAAAACAAATGAGCTTAAATGTATATTAAATGTATAAATAATCATACAAAGGGAATTATTTGAAGTTAGTGTAGAATATGTTACCCCTTAATGAGAGATAGTCTAAAGAAAATAAGAACTATAAAGAAATTTTAAACTATATCTGGTAGCATTGCTGTTGTCACTGTTAATATCAATACAACATTATTATTCTCAAATTAATGTATGAATATTATAGGATAAAACAAGTCATTATTTTATTGTTAAATTTGGTATTTTAATAGATTTCCATGTAAGAAAACAGAAACACAAATACAGAATCAAATGTTACTAAAAACTCCATACTATTTACGTACCCCATAATGTTAAATTTGAATTAGTAATAACAATATGAACTCATGGTTTAAATATATACATATTTTCTAATGTGTCCACTGAAAGGAACTAGTACCAATGACAATCCAAGAGCTATGACCCATTTTTTTGGTATCTAAATTCCTTTGTTGCATCATGATTCAGATTTAAGATTACAATGAAAGTAGGTTTATTAGTATAATTTCACCTATTACTGCATCTACCTAAGGGGATCTAAAGATTTAAAGATTTTAGATATAAAATCTTTAAAGAAAAAGAATTTGCAAAAATTATGATTTTCTAATTATATTATATTCTCTACATTTATTAGCACATAGTCCCTTACTGACTCAGGCTATTTGGTTATCTTAAAGTACCGTTCCTACTAGAAGGGAAAGGTAATACAAAATCTTCATTTTTTCTTTTCTTTTTAAGAACCAGTTTTCAAAATACAGAGTTGTATTCTGCTTCTACCTGTTCCTGCCCCTGACTCCACGCCTACTTTCTCTTAAGTATCCTGACAGAATCAGACACTTTTAAATACTCAGTGTGCTTTAACAGGCATTGTTTGGAGGCATTGTTCTTTTGGCTACTTTGGCAGTGAGAATCCTTTAAAGCTGTCTCTTGTGCCCTTTTGACAAGTTAGTCAGTTTTTGAACCTAGTTTCAAAGCTTGGATTGTTTCCTGGGACAATAAGATGTCCAAGATTTATTTTATATATTTTTTCAATCCAGACATGGAATAAGCTATTTCTTTAAAGAGCCCTGGGTCTTTTTAATGGGGAAAAGAAAAAGAGAGCGGGGAAAAAAAAAAACATGTGCGCTAGAAACATAGATCAGCTGCTTCTCGCACACCCTCAAAAAGGGACCTGGTCAGCAACCCAGGCATGGGCCCTGACTGGGAATTGAACCAGTGACTTTTCAGTCCACAGGCCAGGGCTCAATCCACTGATCCACACCAGCTGATGTGAGCAAATTTTGCAACTTCTAATGAAATAATTGAGTTAGGAAATAACAATCATTAGTGAGTGCTAAAGTTATTAAGAGAATTGATGAGGAATTGGTTATTTACATGGTACCAACATTTCTCCAATTAATTAAAATCATTTAGTAATAAATATACTCCCTATTAACAGTAATCAGTTATGAGACATGGGACCACTAGGTACTCTTGAAGTGATGTAATATAAACTATTACTTATAAAGCAAAAAACATTACTTATGAAATATTCTTGCCCAAAATGTTTAACCTGAATATAATCAAGGCTTGCAAGGTAACTTTAGTAAATACAATGGATAGAGGAACAAGTAAAATTATGCAAAAATAAAAAATCATAAGTCATCAACATTTCTCAGAGAGGAAAAAAAACTAAGGTATTTTATTCTATTATAAAAAGGCTTGTGACATGTAACGTTCAAATACAATGTAGGTTTCCTGACTGGATCCTGGGGCAACTGAAGAAATCTGAATATAGTCTGGACATTAGATAATACAAGGGATTGTTATCAATTTTATTATGTATAATAAAGTTATAGTGGTTATATAAAAAAGGCAGGGTTGACTTTAAAGATATACACTAAAATATTTAGAAAAGAAATGTCTGCAATTCAAATATTCTTACAAAAAACAGATACATTGTGGCAGGATGGTAATAAATATTAACTATTCATCCAGGTGATAGGTGTCCATTATACTACATTTTCTTTCTCATGTCAGAAAATTTTCAGAGACAAAGGAAAATCAGATATACCTTAAATCGTTGTAAACGTCCAATTTTTTCACCAACTTCAGCTTCCATTGATATCAAGTCATTCTTCTGTTTCTCATTTTCTTTTCTAAGTTGGCGCTCCATTTCTACTAAAGTAGTGTATTGTCTTACGAGTGATTTTTCATTCACTTGCAAGACGGTGATTTTTCTACTATTTTCTGAAAGTGTTTTTTTCATTTCATCTGAATCCATCTGAAGAGTACTGAGCAAATTCTGCACAAAGGCACATTTATATTACTTGTTGAATCTAGCTATCTTAGTTTGTATAATATTGTATATTGGTTTTAAAAGGGTTTACCTACATTATATTCTTTTACTTTTATAGTATCTTGTTGAATTTGACTTTCAAGTTTTTTCTTTTCCTCTTTCATTGTTTCAGATTCTGTTTTCCAGGTCTCCTTTTCACTAGAAAAAAATAAAATGATGACATGGTAAACCTATTAAAATATTTAACTGCAGGAAGAGATAATAGTAATATTAGATTATGGAAATTTAAAGGTTGAATAAAACAAGAGACATCATAGCTACACAGTACCTAATAGCATAAGAATGTCAAAATTCTATTCAAAAGGGATTTAGCCTGGAAGTTATATTTTTTACTTAACAAATGCAGGGTAAAACATTTATTTCATCAATCATTTTTAATTATTCCATGAATCATCACTCTACAGTTGTTTCAATATAACAATTACTGCTGAACCTTACAAACATTTTAATAAAAATGAAAACCATTAGGAAAATAATCAATACCCCAAACAAATTCTGGACATCAGGTCTCAACTTTCTGACCCTACTCTTAAATTTGATTGTTAAATAGTTGCAATGTTCAGAATACAAACAAATTCAGAAATCATTAGACTTAAAGATATGGCATACACTGCTGCCTAACCAAGAGATATTCCACAGTCATCTGCAATCAGCTTGGCATAAATTAATTATGCTGTCATTTTCTCTGCCACTGAATGTGTAAGACTTGGATAACTCATTAGCCCAATTCTGGTAGTAAGATCTAAATCAGTCGGCCAACAGCCTCTGGAAAAAAAAATTTTTATCCAAATATAAAAAGTTGTGTGGAAAAAAATGCCCCTCTTCTTCAATGTGCAAAATGGTACCATCTTTCTTGAACACTTACACCTATTTTATAACCACAGTAGGAGATAATATGACCTACCCATAGGTCATATTAGAACAAATAATCACCCTCTGTTAGATCAGATAATCCCCCTTATGTTTAATCACCCTCAGTGTTTAAATCACCATTCATCAGGTATTCTAATCATTACTAAAAAATTATTCTACTGAGATACATGGGATGGCTGAGATAAGGAGAAACACATGAGTTCCTATGACAATTTGAATAATTATGATGGTGATGATGAATAAAGATTTATGAAGTGCTCATATCTGAGCATTCTCATATAGCTCAGTTGTTTCCCATCTCTCCTATGAAAAAGGTATTGTTACCACAGAATTTTATAGATACTAAATGAGACAGAGAAAGTGGAGAGGAAGGGGCAGGAGGGGATGGTAAAACAAAGTATCTAAACATTTTTATGTTATGTTCATCATTAACAAGAATATGCTGCAACTATATTTATAAAGTTTTGCCAACACTTATACCTTAGATATTCTTTATATAATAAGCTTTGTTGATGACGAATTACTGCAAATTTTCTGTTATAGTCTTCAAGAGAACCTTCTAAATCCTTTAACTTATTTTCTTTATATTCTAGTTCCTAAAAAATGGGTTTAGAAATGAAAAAAGCATCAGAATACACTTTAAATTTTAAGGTAGAAATTCATATTCTGACAAGATTATAGCAAAATACATAGCTGCCATGAGTCACCATAGCAGCAAAGATCTTAGTTTAAAGGCATATGGAATGAGGTAATATGTGTTAAAGAGAAGTAAACAGGTAAAATTAATTTTATCATATAAGATGGTTATAGTAACCAGCTAAATTATTAGATACAGTAGTTGCAAACTTACCTCTAGTCATTCAGCCCCACATAACCTTTCAAGAATATATACAATACACGCCCCCACTTGAATTATTCTTTCCAATTAATTATTTTCAAAGATAACAAAACTGAGACTTAGAAAGATTAAATAACTTACTCAACATTCATTAGCACTACCCTTGGCAACCATCTTGGCAACCATTTCCTAAGCACATATGCCAAGGCTGGTGCCAGGTACTTTAAATCGGTGCAGATGCAACACTGGTGGTCAGGTCTGTCTGGCTCCGAAGGCCTTGTGACTTCCCTCACTCTATGCTGCCTTAAGGATTGAGAGTCCAAGTACTTGTTTTACAATTTTGAACAGGTTTTCAGATTCTCAATCAGAGCTCTCTCCCTATTCTACCACAGTGCTTCTCATGTTTTTGTTTTTTTTTAATAAAGGTAAGACCATGCGTCTAATCTGAAGCAACATAATACTATAACGTCATTACTTGCTGATAGTGTCCCTATATTGTAAAAGAATAAGAGAAACTATAAAGAGTGCTAAAATTATGCATTTAAAAGTAATGTGTAACACTAATTATGAAGTGATATTCTAATAACTAGTTGATGTTCTACCTCTTTGATGCAGACAACATACCAAATCCAATATTCAAAAAATGATTAATGTAATACCAAATATAAAAAAAAGAATTTATAGTCTTAAGTATATTCAGAAACAGATTAGGAAAGGGAAACAAGTGCTCACAATCAAAATCGTATATTCATTTATTCTGAACCTATTTTTGTAATTATACTGTAAGGTATGTAATGTTATGGGCTTCGCACTTCAAATGAAATAATGAAAACCATCTTTCATTAGGCCATTCAGAATGACAATGGCACAAACAGCAAAACTGAGAAACACAGGGCAAACATTCTAATTTGCTGATGGATTAACCAACATTTTAGAAGATAAAGTTAAAAAAAAAAGTGAATGATTTTAATCATTACACTAAAAAGCAGTGTCAGACTTTGTTCACTTGAATTGCTTTTCTAACCATCAATAAATAAAAGTGCTTACTTCATTCCTACCTTATAGTAGCTGCATATTATTCTACCTGTTAATCGTATATTTCATATAAATAATACCTATGTGAACAGGAGTGTCAGCATGCTTCTCATGCAGATAAATGGAATAAACTGACTTTATTCATAACATTCCATCTAATATGAAAATCCATTAACATATACCTATTAACATGCTAAGAACTCAAAAAACAGATTAAGACTAAATTTAAGAACATACTACCTAGTGTTTTGGTTTTTCACATGTAAAATTTCAGTACCTGTAAAATATGTATTAAATATTCATTCAGAGAATTAATAATATTGGCACTAGATGGTGCTATCCCATCAGGCAAGTCTATCCCTTTAAAAACAACATTTGATCCTTCTGATTGCCGTAAAAGGCTGATTTCATTTTCAAGATGATCTATCTGAAAAACAAACAGTTCAGGAATGAGAATCACATCTCTTACACTCAAAAAAAGGCAGATTGAAAGCACTAACTTATATTCCACTGGGTATTTTTATTGTTTTATGTTTTTATTTATTTATTTTTTTTGAAAAAGGGGAAAGAAGGGAGAAAGAGAGAGAGATAAACATAGATGTGAGAGAGAAACATCAATCAGTTGCTTCTCATATGTGCCCTGACCACGGATCAAACCTGCAACCCCGGCATGTACCCTAACCAGGAACTGAACCAGAGACCTTTTGCTTTGTGGAAAAATGCCCAAATAACTGAGCCACATCAATTAGGGCACCTACTTAATATTTTTAAAAAGTAGATATATGAGCATCCTCTGTCAGGAATTAATTAAACCATAATTTAATTTCTACTTTGAAATGCCTTAGTGTACACTTAGAATTTTTGTATTATTTTATATTATAAGGCACTTCTTTTTATTTTTTAAAAGATTTTATTTATTTATTTTTAGAGAGAGAGGACAGGAGAAAGACAAAGAAACATCAACGTGTGGTTGGTTGCCTTTTGTACACCCCCAACTGGAGTCCTGGCCTGCAACCCAGGCAGGTTCCCTGGCTGGGAATCCAAACAGTGACCTTTTGGTTTGTAGGCTGGCACTCTATCCACTGAGTCACATCAGCCAGGGCTATTTTTCAACTTAACTTTATGTTTAAGAAAAATTCAAACAGGTGTTTTTTAAACTTTGAAAGAATTAATTTAAGGGACACTCACATGAAGTAATCATTAAAAAAAAAGGTTTCATAGCATATCTATGTCCCATGCTTAGCATTTTCTTTTATTTGATAAAATTCTCACCTTTAGATTTGCTTTTGCCAGCTGCTGAGAATAACTGATAACCTCATTCCGAGTTTCCCTGAGCTCCTGCCTTAATTCTTCATTCCTTCCAGTAAGTTGATCAACTTGAGCTTTCAAATGGAGATTGGCATCAAAGATTCCTTCTGCATTCTTTGATTCTATAGCCTAACAGATTTAGATATATTGAAAAAATGTGAAGAAAAAACACTAAAATCATAGTTAAAAAATTTATTTAAGTAAAACTCACCTTTAAGCATTTTACTATTTCCATTTAATAACAAAATATGCCAAATATATTCCTTATTAATTTAAATTTATAAAACTATATTAACTTACATTAGTATTACAAGCATAGTAACTACTTCATTATAACAATTAACAAACATCTAGCTAAATTTAGTAGACTGGTACACTAGTAAAACAACCAGACAGAAATAAGATGACTAGGGTTCAAATCTTAACCAATCTCTTACTAGCTGGGCAAGTGACTTAAATTCTTTATACTTTAGTTTCCTTATCTCTAAAGAAGAGGAAATAATATTACCTCTGTCAACTTTACAAGTATTTATATAATCAAAATTAGATATATATGAAAATTCTTTGAAGCTATGTAGCACTTGAATTTAAAGCATGAGCAAGGGAATGAAACAGCTATTACATTAAATTAAGTAAATTTCTCATTGCTTCCTCTCCACATTTAAGTATGCATGGTATCAAGTGCAAAGTATGATAACATGGTATCATCTAAGAGTGCTGGATAAGCAAAAATAATGTCAAATATTAAAATATCAAGTGGCTTCACTGGTCCTAATTCTCCAATAATCATATACCCACATACACATCTACATAATACATGCATATAAATATACTTGGACTTTAAAAGAACTATACGGAATAACCTGTTAATGCAAAGTAAAATTTCAGAAATGAAGGTAGAAGGCAGAGTGGTAAGGTGAGTAAAACTGAATGTAATCTCACACTCAGGAAGGTGATCAGGGATTTAACTCTGGGAAGCAGATTTATAAAAGTAAGCCTGTATCCTAAGGAGATCAGAGCAGGCCATGTGCAGTAATAAGTCATACTAGCTCAAAAAGGACACCAGGAAGGCAGAAGTGGGTAGAAGGGGATATTCTGATGGGTAACAAAGGAGTCTGGTTAGTTGTCTTGCTAAGAAATAGAACCACGTTGTCTACATGGTCCTAAGACTCTCACCCTCCCACATTTAAGAAGTGAATACAAAAACAACTACTTATAAATTCCAGAAAATAAACAAAAATAAGCAGATTTGGGGGAGGAACTTGAACTTTAAAAACAGGACCAGCCAGGAGTGATTTGCCATTTTTAAAGCTTTACTCTGAGGACAGCCTGCAATTTCAGTGACCTGTCAACTTTCTGTCCTAGAAAACCAGAGGACAGGGCCAGCCCTAAGTAACAGGAAAGTGAGACGGGAATCCCAGATATAAAAAAGCTAGCAAAAGGGATTTCCAAACTCTGTATAAAACCTCTGCCAGGTTTGAAGCTCACCATTGAAGCAAAAGAAGGGAAATAAATGACAGAGGAAAATATCAGTAAACTTAAAGAAAAATCAGCAACAATTATACAACTGGGAGAAGAAAAGATAAAAAATTAGGGAAAAAAATGAACAGAGTTTCAGGGACCTGTGGAAAATATCAAAAGAACTAAAATGTTTCTTTCACTGGAGTTCCAGAGGAAATGGTACAGAAAAAACAATTTAAAAAATTACAGCCCTGGCTGGCGTAGCTCAGTGGATTGAGCACGGGCTGCGAACCAAAGTGTCACAGGTTCGATTCCCAGTCAGGGTATATGCCTGGGTTGTAGGCCATGACCCTCAGCAACCGCACATTGATGTTTCTCTCTCTCTCTCTTTCTCCCTCCCTTCCCTCTCTAAAAATAAATAAATAAAAATCTTAAAAAAAAATACTGATGGAAAATTTCCCAACTGTGGTGACTCAAGAGGCCTAGCAAACCCCAAACAGGATACATACACATGTACACAAATGTGAACTGCATGCACACATGCACATCACAGTCAAACTGGTAAAAACTACAGGTAAAGAGAAAGTTTTGAAAGCAGGCTGAGAAAAAATACACATTACATACAGGGAAGAATGACTCAAATGATGGCAAATGTCTCATCAGTAACTAAGGAGACCAGTAGATAGCGAACAACATTACTAAAGTGATGAAACAACAAAATGAAACAATTAATACAAAAAAACCTTACATTAACTAGTCTTTCAAGGCTAGGAATAATTAGAGATGTTTCTCCTCCTTTATCATCAGGCTCTTTCTGCATTTCCTGAATAGCTTGCAGTATTTCTTTCATACCTTCTTCAAGTTGTTTGTTTTCTTCAACCAATTCTTTTACTAAAATGACATATTTTCCTCATTGAATGAACAAATCTTTTTCATAATTTACACTATTCTATATAGATGACAAATAATATACATATAGTAAAAATAGTCCATTTATAAAATGCAAATGCAAATAAATATATTTAAAAAGTTCAACAATAAATGCCAAGTGTGAATAGTTGAGCTGAAAATAAACCTATTGAAATCATATGCATATACATATACCACATAGCTCAAAGAAATAAATTGTAAACACATTTTGCCTTCACTGTATGTTACATTTTTTCAAAAACTATTTACTTTAACTAGAGAACAAAAGAGAATAAATTTATTTATAATCACAAAAATATTCACACTAAGAACATTCTCAGAATCTAGATATAACAAGACAAACCAAATGGATGAAAGAGACTAACATCTATATTTTATGGAGGAAAATAAGGCTAACATACATTAGAAAACAGAGTATATTAAAATAGATTAGAAAATAAGAGTGTATTTCAGACCTATGATTTTCAGTATAGGATAAATAAGTATGGAAAAATAAGAGATAATAGTAACTTACGTTTTTTCTGAAATTTGGCTATTATTGTTTTACTTTTTTCTAAATCTCTTTCTTTTTCAATTAGTTCTCTTGAAAGAAATTCACTCTGAACAAAACATAAGGAAAATAAATTTTTTTTACAAAATATCACAATAGTTTAATTTTGAAATTTCAAGAAAGTTTGATCAACTGAGATTTAACACACCAAATACAAGCTATAGATATAACAGCAGTCATAAAAATAAAACAAAATCTCAAAGGTAAAACAGATGGCGATCCTTCTCTATTTTCTCCCTCTTTCACACCCATGGCAAAAAGCAAACAGATATAATGTAGGTTTTTTTTCTTTAGTGCCACAAAAATCTCTTTTACTGTTCATACTTATCTATTCTGCCTGGCTTCTATAATATTCAAGTTCTATTTCTGCATTTCTTCTTTGTACTTCCTTGAGCAATAAATCCTATGCCATGACTTCATGCTAAAGAAATACTTAATAAATTAGGTAAGTGAATGAGTTTATATCAAATTAACTACATTTTTAGATTTTTAAAAAATAGAATGAGCATAAATTAATGTCAATGTGCAAACATTAAAAAATCTTATTCTATCCCTGACAGATGTGACTCAGTTGGCTGGGTATTGTCCTACAGAGCAAAAGGTTGCTGGTTCGATTCCTGGTCAGGGCACATGCCTGGGTTACGGCCAGTCCCTAGTCAGGGCACATGTGAGAAGCAAACTGATAGATGTTTCTCTCATACGCTGATGTTTCTCTCCTTCTCTTTCTCCCTCCCTCCCTCTCTCTTTAAAAATAAATAAATAAATAAACAAATAAATAATCTTTAAAAATTCTTATTATAATTACTTATAGAACTTTGTTAGAAAAGTACTTAAAAAAGAAAAGCAATCCTAGGAATGTAATTTGGTGGAAAGCTCACCTGAGATCTAAGAAATACTAGTTCTCTCCACATATGTTCTATAACATTTTCAAGTGGATCTATCTGAGAAAATTTTGATTGTGCAGTAATAGATACAGGTTCTGGAAGATTAACTTCAAGTCTACTTTTCAAAATCTCTGCCTGTAAGGGTATTTCACTTTTTCTTGTATCTTCTTTCAAACTGCTATCAGCATATTTTACATGGGTATGAACCTGTTCATCTTCTGATGTTACTACTTGTGATTTATCCATGTCAGCTTTATCATCATGAATTCGTGGACAAAATATTGCAGATTTTTGTCTAAGTGATAACTTCTTCATTAAGTCTGACGCTGTTGATAAAGCTCGTAAAGATGAAGTGCTTTTTAGTGTGAAACTTGTCTTCTCAGGTGCGTGATGGATTCTTAACACTTTCTTCATAGAGTCGTCAGAAAGAGAGTATAGGAGTTCATTTACTTCTTCATGACTCTCGCTACTAAAGGTATTGACTAACGATTCTAGATTTCCTAAAGATTGTAGACATGGTGCTTTAAAAATCTCCCTTATTGTAATAGCTTCTGGAAGTGTATTGTCTTTCACTTGTGTAGATGAAGAATGTCCAGTTAAAGAGACAAAAGGTTCCACTTCATTTGCTACACTATGATGAACTTCAGATAGCATTCTTGGTAACGATCCTACCGTCATATCCTCTTCTGACTCTTTCTGATATGCTTTTGGGATACTGAGTGATGCTCTCCTATGCAGCAGCTCTATTTTATCTGAACTCCTAATCTGTATGCAGGGTAAATGATATCTCATTAATCAATCTTTGAACCAACAAACTGTTTAAATAAAAAAACATTTTTCTTTTATTTAACTTTTAAAAAATGCCCAAAATGAGATAGTGGGACAAAAATAAAAGAACTGACATTTTTCTTTATTCTCTTTGCAATAGCAAATACTGTTTACCTTTGAATGTGCTGCACTGATATTTTCAAGGCCTGTGATATCAAATTTTCTTTCTCCCATTCTACTTGCTTGAGAAAAGTTTTCTGTTAGGTTCAGGTCCTCAACTTTTAGTCCTGCATATAAAAGAGATAACAAATCAGACATAAAAATAACTCTTCTATTATTTGAACACTTTCATTCTTAAAAAGTAGAATCAAGTTTTAACTCAAAAAAAGTTAGAATGATTATTTCCAAAATCCTGGATCCCCATGTAGCCTATACAACCTTCTGACTTAACTTACTTTTAATAAAGTATTAATATGAGAAACTAATATACTTTATTTCTCTATCATTCCTTATCCCTTATATATATTTAAAAGTATTAATAAGTACTAAAATAGTTAAAGACACATATAAAGAAACTATACAAGAAACATGAATGAGAAAACTAGTTAATATACTAATAAATTATGAAGTTTTGTCCTTCTAGAAATTTTTTTGATGTATAGTAGAAACCAAAATGCTAAAAAAATAAATAAATAAACGAAGAACTCAGTTGTTCATAGTTACTTATGGACTTAGAAAGTTAAAAGCAAATTTCTTCTCTATGGTCTTCAATAGCTATAAAAAACTTAACCAACTGTTCTTTTTATATCATTTAAGCTAAACAAACAAAAAATGTTAATTTTTATTCTACAAAACATTATGTAGTAAAGAATAATGTACAAAGAAAAGTTTTCAATGCAAAACTCTCTTAAAGATAAGTATTATCAGTAACATATATTAACAAAAATTGCTAAGTTTTATCATTACTAATCATAACTTATTTGGATTGTCTACAAATTAATAGAGACTTTACTATAAATTTTCAAAAGTCCATGATTTTGAAAGGTTTTCGTTCATTTGTTTTTTTATATTTTTATCAGTTTCAGATTTAGGACTGGACCCAATAACACTCATTTACATAATCTTCATTAGGCCATTATTTTCACTTATTAAACTTTTAGCAGAACCATGTAACTAAGAGATAATGTTATGCAGAAAATTTCAGATCCAGACAGTTCATTTTCTAATGACTCTTTAAAGGTTTGGAATAACTAAGTATACCTGAAGTTGCAGTTCTTTTTCCTTTTTCTTGAGCCATTTGGCGAATTTTTTTTTTCAGATCAAGTCGTTCTTCCTCTAAACTTTCAATCTACAAAGTATAAACTATTAGTATTTTTCTTTAGTTCAATCAGAAAAATAACCGACTACTGACTACTAAACTTGCCTCTTTCAAAAGAATCTGGTTTTCGGCTCTGTATTGTTGCTGTTTTAAATTTTTTCTATTTCTAAATTCAGTTAAATCAATCATTGTCTTCGGTTCAAGGCCTAAAGTAGAAAGTAATATGATTAAAACCTTATCAACATCAAATGAACTACAAAAACTTCATATAGCAACTAGTTATCATCAAGCAGCCGGTTAGAATTAAATCAGCATCACTACAGAACAGGGCACATTTTGTGCAAGAATATTCCTGATGCTTGAGCTGTAACCATAATGGAAATCCTAACAGTTTGAACTATAACTCTCCAAGTTCAAATTTTATCAAAATTATTAATGGAAGTCCTGAAAATAACTATTTAGGGTCAGTCTTTTCCATGTCTGGCACTAGACATGTAGAGGCACTAAAAATGTAGCAATTAAGGACAGAAGCTTTGGAAAACAGACTTGGATTCAATTCCCATTATTAACTAAGTCATAGGGAAAATATTGTGTGTACATATTTTATTTGGCTTGTTGTCAGGGATATAATGAAACCAATCCAAATAAAATACTTAGTACAGTGCCTGGCACATAGTAGTCATTATTTAATATTAATATCAAGAATATTGGATGTTCTGCCTATGGAATAGCCACTGTCTGTCTCAGTGCTTCACTAATTAACTCTTTTCACTTACAACTGTAAAAAGTAAATAAATAAAATATTAGCATGACTAGTGTGCCTGTCTCCTAACTTCTTATTATAATATTTAAGCAGCTATGATCTGAAAACCAGATATCAAAACTGTCCTATGTAATTATAACCAAATTTTGCAGCCTTTACAACCCAGGAAATCTCGTGTTTTGACAGCCATCTAGAAGGCTCAGTTATCTTTAGGGACTTCTAGACTGAAGTGGGCTGTGATCTGGTAGGTGAAGTTATCCAATAGTTTAACTTGAGGTCCTGGCATAACTCTAGGTCCTAGTTAGACACTTGCTTACAAATAAATAATCTGTATAACATATTTATTTTTCCTTCCTCTAGAGAATAGTTTTTACAGATGATCATGTTAATTCTAAGAAAGCATTAACTGGTATTTACGAAGTAAAATAAAATCATTATTTAGCCTGGCTGGCGTAGCTCAGTGGATTGAGCACGGGCTGCGAACCAAAGTGTCGCAGGTTCGATTTTATTTTAAGTACCCCAGTCAGGGTACATGCCTGGATTGCAAATTATGACCCCCAGCAACCGCACATTGATGTTTCTCTCTCTCTCTCTCTCTCTCTCTCTCTCTCTCTCTCTCTCTCCCTCCCTCCCTTCCCTCTCTAAGAATAAATAAATAAATAAATAAAATCTTTAAAAAAATCATTATTTAGATCTTTATTTTCATTTTAAAGTAGCAATTTAGATTGAATTGTCATAACATTAAAACCAGTAATATTCACTAATAAACTATTCGTTGAAATCAATATAAAAGCCCCTCAAGCTATACTTAATAATTACTTCTTAAAATCAATAGTAACCTTAAAAGAGCCAAAGAAAAGCATCAGCAGTCTAAATTATAAAAGTGAAGGACTTAAAAACTCTTAAAAAGGTTTAAATAGTATTTCTAAATGTCCTCATGAATTCTTCTCAAACAAGAGCAAAAATGGCATGTTGAAAAAAGTAAAGGGTTAACTTCTAACATGTGCTATTAACTTAGTAGACTTCCATTTTTTAAATGAGCAATTGTTATTAAGGAGATCCTGACCCACATAAAGCAGTGCTCCAGGCCTGCCTGCCCACACCTCATCCCCCATCAAATCCCAGTCCTACTTCAACTAGAGTAGCTACACTTTCATTTGTTTTAAATATTTTTATAGGAGAATTTATTTTTTTAAAAAAGCATTCAACTATTTAAATAATAACAAGCTATCAAAAAGAAAAACTGAAAATGACTTAACAATTAGGATTAGACAAAATACATATCTTAAAGACTACTCACCCACACGCTCTCGAAGTGCCTCATTTTCATCGAGGAAGTCATTGATCTTCATCTCAAGTTTATTGATTTCCTTTGTCAATACTTCAATCTCTTGATCTCTTATTTTAATTTGGTTTTTACAATTCTTTATTTCAATAACAGCATCTTCTAAACCGTATACTCCCTAAAAATATCCAATGCAATTTAAATATAACATGATTTATTTGAATAAATTATCAAACTCATGAATTTATTTTCTTATTAAGTCTGAGGGTAAGTACACATACACCTAGGGTTTACTAAACTCTGCTTTTTATTGTGCCTTTAAAAAACAAGTCCACTAATAATGACCATGGAAAATGGAAGAGTTGGTATTTTTCCAATACAGCATCCTAAACTCATAACATTACATGCAAATCACTTTACCAAATATACAAAAGGAACAGTAAGGGTCAATCAGCAATACAATTAGAATATTTCAATCATCAGATGACTAACTTAGTGGTAATCAGATTTAAAAATATAGAAAGTACAAAGTCAGACTGTGCTGGCATGGTAGGCAACGAAGCCGGTCCTGTTCACAACTTTTATCAAACTACCCAGGGGAATAACATCCACATGGCGGCAGCTCAATAACACAGGCTGCCAAGAAGCCAATCCTGCTGCTTCACGAAAGCTGATTATCTGGGCAAGTGATTTAAAAACAATTCTCTCTCCTGACAGAAAGTAAATGCTACTCAAAGGTTTGAATTATTTCGTATAAATTAGGATAACCTTTATCATAAGACACTTCTGGAATGTTTTAAATGGTATGCAGTAAATGACACAGAACAGCCTAACTGTGGGTGGCAAGAATCATTCTAAACCCCTTAATTGACAAGAAAAAATACATACCGATTCATAATCTTTTAATCGCTTCAGAGTCTCCACTAGTTCTTTATCCTTTTCCCTAGCATCAGCCTCAGCCAGTTCAGCTGTTCTCTCCGCCTCTCTAGTTTTCTCTTCTAAAATTTGAACTTTAGACTGAATTTTCATATAATGGGTCTGTTGAGAAAGTGTTGAAGCTCCTAGAAGGTAAATATAAAATCACTAATGAATAGAATTGAATAGTTATTCCTTTAAACCATTGATTCCAATATGGAGTGCAGGAAAAGTGGTATGTGACTAAAAATATACCACTTTAATATTATAATTTTATACTTGTAAAATAAAGTTATAATTTGGTTTTATTAACAAAACAAACTAAAACGGTAAAATTCAATAAAATCCTTTTAGCTGAAGGAGTATGGATTATAAAATATAGCAAAACACTGCAAGCATATGTTCCTAATATGCAACCTCTCTTCTGTCCACTGAAATAGAACAACAGGTTTTTAGCTGGACACATGACCACATGAAGTCACCACTAAATTTCTACTTATACTCCAGCAGCTATGCAGTCATGTGACTAATGGGGTTTAGACAGCAAAGCCATGTGTATATTTCAAGGAATGTTTTTAAAGGAAAGAAGGGTATCTTTTTTTCCTCTTCCCTCCCTCCTGGCAGCTAGAATATACATACTGAGGAGAGAACGCAAACAGTCTTCTTAGAACATGTTGGAAACCACATGTTGAAATAGGCAGAATAACAAGATACAGGGTGCCTAACATCTGGTATTTGTGCAGCTATCACACTAACCCTTAACTAGTTGCCTCACTTTTGTTTATATCATGAAAGATATATTCTTATCCTGTTTAAACCACTATTAAATCTGATACCTGTCACCTATAGCTAAACTTAAACCTAATAGCTTAAAAAATCCCTCCTTTATTATCTTTATTTTTAAAAGATTTTATTTATTTATTTATTTATTTATTTAGAGAGGGAAGGGAGAGAAATAGAGAGAGAGCGAGAGAAACATCAATGTGCGGTTGCTGGGGGTTATGGCCTGCAACCCAGGCATGTACCCTGGCTGGGAATCGAACCTGCAACACTTTGGTTCGCAGCCCATGCTCAATCCACTGAGCTACGCCAGGCAGGGCTCCTCCTTTATTATCTTACCAAACTGTTGCTAGACCAAAATATAGTATTCCTATCACTATAAAATCTATTGACCTAACTCATTCTTATAGTCATCCATAATAACCATCTACTGATTTACTGGGTATATACTTATATATAGGCATTGGGCTAGCACAGGAGATCACATCTGCACAAGAAATGAGCCCTCCTCTCTGGAGCGAACAGCCTAGCTGGAGAATGACAGACTTGAGTTGTCCCCAAAACCTATTTTCCCTTTCTTCCACATGACCCTCCCCAATATCTACCTGCCTGTCCTTCAGGAATGTACCCCTTGCCTCTTGCCCCCTCTTCCTCCATCTCGCTGTTTGGAATGTGGATGTGAATGTAAAGCTCCATTTTGGATGAGGCAGATGAAAATAACACCCTTATGCAATGGTCTAATTCCACTGCACAAGAAATAAATTTCCATCTTGACTGTGCAACCATTTTGCAGATTTGTTTCTGACAGCTAAACCTAATCCTAACCAATGAAGAGAGAAACACCATTAGCTGTCATATTTACAAGTTATATTCAAGATATAAAGCAGACTGCAGGCCACATATATGTGGGCTTTACAGGTCAGATGCTGTAACTGATTGAAGTGTCATTAGGTTAGACCTTTCCCTTATACAATAGCAGAGACCAACCGCCACTTTTTCTCCTGGTGGTTGGAATACATAACACCTGTAATATTAGTCATGCTTTTAAAGCAGTTTAAACTTCTGAAAAAGTGTAATTCTGATATATACATAATATACACACATATAGAAATATGTACATCAAGTGGGCCTTGATGCTGCTCAGCAATCACACTACATTTCCTTAGTTTGTTCATTCTTCCAGATGGCCATTTCATACTTTCACTTCCATACTCTGTCCTCACACTTCTAACACACATTCCACTGTCTTCACTTTCAGCTGAGAACCGTGCTTCCCGTTCACTGAGAAAACAAAAGCAATTGGTAAAGAAGTTCTACAAGTTCTCACTATCACGACATCTACCCAGCCACCTGCCTCTGTATACACTCCACCATCCGTGTTCTTATTATGGATGAAACTTCTGTGCTCCTAAGGCCAATTGCTCCTCCAGAGTACTGTATTACCATACCATTGCCTTCTCAAGAGATACTGCTCCAGAAGGTTCTTCTCTCCCTTCCCTACTTCATTAATTCATTATTTCTTCTTTAATGGATCTTTCCCATTAACCTAGAAGCATGATTATTTCTTCCATTTTAAAGAAAAAAAAATACTTTCATCACCCCTTTTTCCTGTCAAGGAACCACTACTTTTCTCATTTCCTTCACAGAAACACTTCTTACGAGTCTAAATCTGTTCTTTCATCATGAACCGAAAATGACCACTGCTAAGTCCAATGGTCAAGTTTTGGTGCTCATATTGACTTACCACCAGCAGTGAATACAACCTGAACACAGTTATTTATTCTCTTCCTTGATGACATTGCTCATATGGTTTTCAGAACTCTACATGCTCCTGGTTTTCCTCCCATCTTCCTAGCCAATCCTTTTCATTCTCCTTTGGTTGTTCCTTTTCACCTCCCTAGCCTCTAAAGTAAAAGTTCTCCAGGGCTCAGTCTTTAGATTTGCCTTCTTAACCAATATTTTCTCCCTTGATCTCAGCCAGCTGTGTGATTTCAACTACCATTTTTATGCACCTGGTTCCCAAATTTACATTTTTTGGCCTAGATTGTTCTCTTGAACCTCAGACTTTTATACACAAGAGCTTACTTAACACTTTCACTCAAATATCTAATAAGCATCTTAAATTTGGCATGCCTTGTTTAACGAAATGCCTGGTCATCACTGAACATGCCGTTTCCACAACATTCCCAAGTGTTCAGACTAAGCATCCTGATAACTCCCTCACATCATGCATATGATCTGCTGGCAAATTTAATTTCTATCACCTTCAAAATACAACAGAACTGAATACATCTAATAACCCCACTGCTCTAAGCTACTATTACCTCTCCAAAGGTTATTACTACTAATAATATTATTGCAATAGTCTTATAATAATAGTCTTCTTCTGTCCTTACCACTCCTATACTTTATAACAGACACAACCTAACTCAAATTACATCACTCTTGTCTTAAGAAACATTCTTTGGTGTCCCTTCTCTCTTAAAAGCCAAAGTCCTTATAATTAACTGTAAGACGCCATATGACATGGCTCCTGGTTACCTTTCCAATCTCATCACTAACTATTGCCCCACTTGCTCAAACATGCATGGCATACTCCTGCTTGTGCCTTTGCACTTACTCTCATTCCTTAGGGACATCTGCATGGTTCACTCCCTCACCTTCTTTTAGTCTTTATTCAGATATCTCCTCAAGGAGGCTTTTGCTTCACTATTTAAATTACAGCCACATCACCAACCACAAACACTATAATACCACTGACAGTTACATACATACACATAGATTCACCTGCTAGTTTCCCTTTGTGCCTTATTTTTTACCTTCAGCAATTAGAATAAATATCATAAACTTATATGAATAGTTTGCATTAATATGTTCTCATATAACTATAGTATGTAGTTCTGTGGAAGTATAAGACCACTGATGTTTTAAGGGTTTATATTCAGAGTATTTGATGTGTTAGACAAAGTATTATGACCCAGGGTAGGAAGAATATGATAGGACAATTAGATTGTAAGGTTAATTCAAATGGTGACAAGCACCAGTACTGCTGAAAACTATGGGCAATACTGCGACATTGATCACAATTTTACATTCTTTGTTAATTACAAAAAGGGGTTGAATAAGTATAATCAATTACATCACCATTTTTCATTTCTTTCATACAGTCAATCTAGTAACAAGTAAGATATGTAAAGTAGTTAATAATATCCTACATGATTTTTTGAAAATATAAAATTCAAATAGAGAAAAACCCACAATATAGCTTTGACACAACATGAGTTTGGGTTAATAAAAATATTTTAAAATGTAACAATATATAAACTATTTAACTATTAATATACTTATAAAATATTAAATTACCTTTGTTTCTTTGGAGCTCATTTTTCAAATCTTCAATAATAAAAGTACTTTTTTCCATTTCTTTTGTGTATTGTTCTACTTGCTCAGTAAGCATTTTAATATGACTATCTCGTTCTTGTATCCCCTATAAAATATTTTTGAATATTATATATTATCTTTTTATGAATATTAACATACATTTTAAGAATAAGAAAAAATTTAGGTCTTATTTTTTTAACAGAACTACAGAATATAATTTTTGTGGTCAAAACTATGTCTTTCACTATTTTATATATTTCAAGTGTACTCTACAGTGCTAAGAACATTGCTGTCACTCTAATACTTAAAGAAAATTTAATGGTTAACACTCCACCAAATAGGAATTATAGAACTCTAACATTTGTGGCTTCTTGGGACTCTTTTTATGTTTCTTTCCCTCATCATTCACCCAATCCCATTCACCATTTTGTATGTTTGTGTTTAGCCCTGTGCATTCTTATTTACTCAATTTAGATTCCCCCCCTACATTCAAAATTATTGTTCCTTGAAATTGTTCTTACTCACCAAATACTTCCAAAATTTCCTTATTTCTTCTGAACTATGAATACAGAACATTGATAATGAAAGTGTAACTTCTTTCTATATAAATATATTTGTACTAAAAATGAAATCCTTATAACCACAAATTATAACCTCACTTTTAGCTCACTTCAGTGTTACCTAAACAGTGTTTAAGATATTTTAGCACTAACGTACAATATGATAAACTTTAATAACAGAATATTAAGATATTTTTAAATTTCTGAAAGTTTTTAATAGTTTAATGTTATTCCTAACTCAAAATTTAATTCTAATTTTTTTTTTGGTGAGACTGGATAGTGTAAGAAACTTCAAGAGACGTTATTTTACATATCCAATAGTACAAGTCATTAGACGGCACAGTCACTATTAGGCACAGGTGACATAGTAAGACGCAGTGTGAGATTTCATTGTCAACATTAATAAAACTGGTTGATAAACCAAATTTTCAGAAGGATTTACCTGTTGCAGAGCCATAACATTACTTTTATCAGCATCAAGCTGGGCATTTTTCAGTTTCTCCCTCAGGTTATGTAACATTTGCTGATATTCAATAATTTCATCATCTTTAGAAGACAAAATTAACTAGAAATAAACAATACAGAATGTTACATGAGAGAAAAATTAATAAACCATTCCTCATTTATGATAAATAATAAATACTATCAAAGGATTTCAAAAAAGTACAGGAAATAAAATTCTTTGAAGTGAGAAAGTATTGGCAACTATTGAATAACCATGGATCCTTTTGTGTGTACAATCTGAGGTTCAAATAAGAAATAATTCAAAAATTGATAATGTAACTTCAGCAATCTAGGAACTGAATCTCTAAACAATCTCAAGCTTTCAAAATCCATTCCTAAAACAAGAAGTTATTAATAGCTCCATGTAATTACAAGGTTTTTTTTTGTTTGTTTTTTAAATATTTCATTTATTTATTTTTTTAGAAATGGGAAGGGAGGGAGAAAGAGAGAGAGAAACATCAATGTGTGGTTGCCTTTCATGCAGCCCCCACTGCGGACTTGGCCTGCAACCCAGGCATGTGCCCCGACTGAGAATCGAACCTGCGATGCTTTGGTTCACAGCCCATGCTCAATCCACTGAGCTACACCAGCCAGGGCTAATTACAAGTTTTATACAACCAATCTTTATGAAGAAAACATTAAAATACCACTGAGAAACATAAAATATATTAAATGAATGAACAGTATCTTGTAGTGTTACATGATAGGAAAGGTTCGCCCTCCCATTGACAAGGATAGAAGTGTCCCTTGGGCCCGACAACATGCATAGGGTTAATGCACTGCCACCTACTTCATGGGATCTAACTATTGTATTTTAATTCTGTATTGCATATTTGAAAACAGCTATGGGAGTGGATCTTGGAAGTTCTCATCACAAAAAAAATTGAAACTATGTATGGTGATGAGTATTAACTGAACTTAATGTGGTGATGATCATTTTGCTATATGTACAAATATCAAACCATTACACTGTACACCTGAAACTAATGTATGATGTATGTTATGTCAATTATACCTCAGTGTTTTAAAAAAAAGGTATCTTGTGTTCTTTGCTAGGACTAAATATCAACATCAATCTATACATTAATTTATAAATTAAATAGATACCCAATAAAATAAGAAGATATGTTTTTTAAATGTCCTCTAAAATTCACATTAAAAGTGCATTTATAAGGGCCCTGGCTGGTGTGGCTCACTGGATTGAGCATGGGTCTGCAAACTGAAAGATTACCAGTTCAATTCCCAGTCAGGGCACGTGCCTGGGTTGCAGGCCAGATTCCTGGATGGGGCTGTGTGAAAGGCAACCAATCAATATTTCTCTCACACAATGATGTTTCTCTCCCTCTCTTTCTCCTTCCCTTCCCTTCTCTCTAAAAAATAAATAAAATCTTTAAAAAATGCTTCTATAAAGAAAAGTCTAAGAATAGAAAAATTAGGACTTTATCAAATATTTAAGGGTAATAATAATTTAAAAATTATACATGGTTAAAAAATAGATCAATACAATAAAAAAACCCTCTAAAGTAAATTCAACAGGAGTTTTATATGTAATAAAAACAGAACTGAATTTAAGTAGAAAAATGATAAAATATTCAATAAATTATGTTTGGACAACAGACTAGCTCTAGTGCACCCATACATCTCATACATACCAAAATGAGTTATATATGCTTCAAAGATCTGAATGTAAAAAATGAAACCAGAAAATACTAGAAGAAAATATGAAAAAAATAATTTTATATTCAGAAACATTTCTAATTATGATGCAAAGACCAAGGGTAATTTAAAAATACAATAAATTAACTAAATAGTACATAAAAAATACTTCATAGCAAAAAATACCATAAAGCCAAAAGACAAGTGACAAACTAAAAGAATATATTTGCAGTATATATCACAATTATATGTGTAGCAATTTATTCTATAATTTTCAAAATAATAAATATACAAATATATTCATTAAAACATTGTTTCTAGCAGCAAAAAATGGAAACCTCTTAAACATCACATAATAGGGAATCAAGTAAAAAAGTAACATATCTACAGTATTCTTCAAAAGATACTTAGCAAAAACACAGTACAAAACAAATATATGTGCTACCATCTTATCTCCCAAAATTAAATATGATTAGAACAACTTTTTTTCCCAGGGGTTAGTAAGGTATGGCTTATGGGTCAGATTTGGTCTGCTATCTGTTTTTGTAAAGACTTGCAGGAAAAGAACCTTGCTCACTCATTTATGTATTGTCTATGATTGCTTTCATGCTACAATAGCAGAGTTGAGGAATCATACCAGAAGCAAAATGTTATAAAATACTTACTACCTGCCTTTTACAGAAAGTTTCCTGACCTCTAATTGATTATGTGGGTTTCATTTCCAGTGCTTCTGCCTTTGTTTAAAATATACATTATCGGAACTTTGTTACCAGATGATAACAAATTCCAAATAACCAATATGATTTATGTAAACCCTGTTAGAAACACTGCCCATAGAGTTGATAGCTTTTATAAGTAAAATTATTTATGCAGAATAATTTCAGACTTTTTTCAAAATATGCCATCAATTATACCAATTCTAGCTTCTGAAATGGTAAGGCTGGAGATATGGCTGTAGTTGGAGAACGGAGAGGAGGAAGAGACTTTTGAAAAGACATCTCAAATAATTCTGGAAGATCCCTTTCTTTACTCCCATTGCCAGAGAATGTCAAAAGCTTGATTCATCTGACATGAAAGGAGAATGATAAAAACTGACTCTAAACTAAAATTTAACCTGGAACTACATAATTAATATATAAAAGGTAACTATGATCTATGTAAAAATATTCAAATTTATTTAGAATTATCTATCTTTAGATGACAAATACATTACATTTTGGACTCAGATTCCTATCAAAAAGTTTAGTTTCAGGTTAACTCATTGACATGAAAGAGCTCATTCAATAACATATGAGCTAGAGGACTATGCAGGATAGTTCTTAAGAGTTTTCCTAGCTAAGATATTTAGTACACTTTTCTAAATGCCTAATAAAAATGTCATTAACCATTACAAGGCCTTTAAAGAAAACTAAGACTAAAAAATTGAAATCTAAACAGCAAATGAAAAAGCCATTATATCAATTGAATAAGGCACCTTCCATTCTTCTACTTTTGCATTGACAGCTACCATGATGGGATCATCTTCTTCATTTTTTGCTCTTAGAAGATCTGTAAGCTCCTTCACCTAAAAGGCAACAATTATTTCAAGACTTGTTGCAAATTAGTGCAATATATACATATTTGTTGTATATGAAAATTTATAAATACATTATACACATAATAAGCATACACATATATACACATACATTACAAGTGTATATGCATTATTAAAGCAGTTCTGTAGTTAGAGGTGAAATTTAATGGTTTCTGCATCTTTACAGTTGTATAATTATTTTTCATTACTAGAGAATTATATTTTAAGCATTGTTATAGTAAGCATTGTTAAATAAGTTTAGCATCATGTAACTGTGAACAATCTATTGATTTCTTTGATATTTATAGTATATTTATGGTGTAAAATTAAACTTTATGCTCCATAGGACTCCCAAGAGTCTTTGGCAGAAAACTCCCATAATTATTTTGCTTTGCAGGACTATCTACACATTCATTCAGGTATCACCTATATACTCTACATGAGGTATATTCAATGGGATTAGAGAAAACACATATGAAGAAATAAATCAGGAGGGCAACATGTTATAGTTTAAAATAACATACTATAGCATATGACAAAAATTCATATCGTAGAAAGATAAAGTACTATCTACTTTCAAATAATTAGTAGTAAGGCAATATGAGGTCTGTAAAAATAAGTTAGTCCAACAGAAATTCTTACTTGAAGCCGATAATGATCATTTTCTTTTTTTAATTGGTCCATTAAAGTATCTGTCTGATGCACAATAGCTTTCATTCTATTATATTCATCAGTCATCTTCTCCATTTCCTGTACAGATTCTTCTAGATTTTTTCTCATTTCTTGGTTCTGAACTTCAATTTTTTCATTAGCTTCTGTTAAAGTCTAAGAAAGTTAAAGACACTATGGTTAAAAAAATTAAGAAACTGAATTTAAACTAAATTAAAATTAAATGGAGTCCTAAGTATCTGTTGGAGAAAAGAGAATTCTTTAGAGATCTTTAGCATCAACTGCTATTGTCCTCATACACCTAAGTTGTGGGTTTGATTCCTGGTCAGGGCATATACAAGAATAAACCAATGAATGCATAAATATGTGGAACAACAAATCAATGCCTCTCTCTCAATAAATAAAAATTTTTAAAAAGTAAATACCAAGAAAGCTTTACCTAAGGATCTTAGTTCTACTTAAACAATACCCAAGAAGCATATAAAAAGAATAAATTTGCAAGATTTGCAACTTCAAAGATGCAATTTATTTCATATTTTACAAGTAAATAGTTATAGATTTGTACTGAAGAATTTAATGTAAAAAGGCAGAAAACTGTACTTGAACAATTAAAATAAAATAATAAAAAAAGAATTTAATGTAGAGCTAAATAGGTCAATTTATAATGAAATTAAAGTTTTATAGGAATCATTGTTTTGAAGTGACTTCTATCTATTTTACCTGAATTTCATCCAGATATTGAACAAGTTCATAGTTTTTTTTAGACAACTGTGATCGATAGTCACTGTCTTCTCCTCTTCTTGATAAAAGAGTTTCTTTTTGTGAATCTATTTGTTTCTGATAGTCAGTAACATCTTGACGAAGTTGTTCATTCTGAAGATAGACCAAATGCAATATTCTATTTAGAAACTCTCCAAAAAAAATTTTGTACTCTAAATAGTGATCTCAAAACATATCTTTAAAATCCCAAGATTTCACCATCCTTAAAGCCTCACCTTTTTCTTTAGACGTTTGTTCTCCAGGAAAGGACAGTAAAGGTTAATTAGAAATGAGAAAGGCAATAAATAATTAAAAATAATAACTAGAAATTTAAAAAAATTGTAGGAGGATGAGATATTTTGGGTAAACAAATTAAGCCAGAATATTAATTATTAACAAAAAAAGAACATCTTGATTACATTAAAATGATAAGAACTTTCAGGATAAACAAGGTACAAACATTATTTGGCTCAGAAGAACCAAGTAATAACTGACAAGATTTCATGAACAAAAATTTTAAAAGAATGGATAAAATAAGACAGAAATCGAGTCATAAATTCTATTAACAAACTAGCAAAGAAGCTAATAAAAGAGAAAGCTAGATTTATCCACGTAGACCTAGGAGATGAACATAGTATTTAATGACCTTACCCACAGGTTTATTTTCTATTTCCCTGAGACAAAGTCATATCATAAAATCAGCCAGTTTGAAAACATGATTTAGTTAGATGATTCCAATTCTGGTTACCATATAAATTTACAAAAACTGTCTTTAAAAGTGTATTTATTGAACCACCACCTCCACAACTAAAATTTTTTACCAACCTCTCTTCTTAATTTGCTGTTTTCATTTTCTGCTTCTTCATTTCGAAGAGCCAACTAGAAAATAAATATATAAATAAAATTCAGCAGTAATTCAACATAACAGCAGGTTTTCATCTAATCAATTTAAATTTTAAATCTTGTCCAATAAAGTAGAGATTATTTAATTACTAAGGACTTCATGTCAACCTAAGACATAAATAATAGGACAAAAATTTTGAACACTAAGTATTAGGAAGGATAAAATAGGTTGAGTTTTCTAAAAAATTCTAAGAACAAAACCTAAAAATCTCTAAGCAAAGAATACAGAAAATAAAAACATTATCCCGTTCCCCTGACCAAATCCTGATAATGAGTAGTGTTCTGTCCAAGGTCTTTATCATTTCACGGTTGTTCTGTCTCAGGACCAGAATACTCAGTATTTTCAGTGAACACTAAATTAGTTATAGGGCACTACATAATGGTTAAAAAAAAAAACAATCTTCAGTCACATTGGCTTAGGTTTACATACATTGTCCATCAATTTCCAGTAAAGTGTGAACAAGTCATTTAACATCTCCAAAATTCAGTTTTAGCATCTCATATGTTTATTTAAGTATTAAGTATGATGTATATAAAGTCCTTAGCATAATGCTCATGCGTGGAATAGAAAAAAAATTTGTATTGTTTTCTTTACCACATATAAATAATTACACTTGTTGGATAACTACAGACCACGTCAGAGCACTACCACACTGCCCCTACACAGCTGATACTCCACACAAGGTAGAGATCAGCGTCAGTGGTCACAGCCAATCCTTGCAGCTGACTGGCCTGGATAAATCCCTCTCATTGACCTGCCAATAGCAACCAAGGCTCCAATACAAGAGGAATGTGTACTCAGCCCACATGAAGGGTGTACCTTGAGTACCCAGCTTGGGTGATAGGGGAGGCTATGCCACTGGACCCTACAGGACACCTACTACATTAGCCCACACTACTAAGACATGGAGTCAAAGCAACTCTACCTAATACATAGAAACAAATGGGGAGGGGGGCTACCAAAATGGAGACAAAGAAACATGGCCTAAATGAAAGAACTAATCAAGACTCCAGAAAAATAACTAAACAAAATGGAGATTAGCAATCCTTCAGATAAAGAGTTCAAAACACTGGTTATAAGGATGCTCAAGGAACTTAGCAATGACCTCAGCAGCATAAAAAAGATCCAGTCAGAAATGAAGGATACACTAATTGAAATAAAGAACAATTTACAGTAAAACAACAGTAAAGTGGATGAAGCTGAGAATCAAATCAATAATTTGGAACATAAAGAAGCAAAAAACAACCGATCAGAACAAAAAGAAGAAAAAAGAATCCAAAAAATAAGGATAGAATAAGAAGCCTCTGGGAAAACTTCAAGCATTCCAACATTTGTATCATAGGGGTGCCAGAAGCAGAAGAGAATGAGCAAGAAATTGGAAATCTATTTGAAAAATTAATGAAAGAAAACTTCCCTAATTTGGAGAAGGAAATAGGTATGCAAGTCCAGGAAGTGCAGAGAGTCCCACACAAGATGGATGCAAAAGGCCCACTCCAAGACACATCATAATTAAGATGCCAAAGGTTAAAGAGAGAATCTTAATGCAGCAAGAGAAAAGCAGTTAGTTACCTACAGGGGCATTCCCATAAGACTGTTAGCTGATTTCCCAAAAGAAACTTTGCAGGAAAAGTTTCCCTCCCTTAGAAGGGATTGGCAAGAAGTTTTTAATGTCATGAAAAGCAGAGACCGACAACCAAGATTGCTCTATCCAGCAAAGCTATCATTTAAAATGGAAGGGCAGATAAAGAGCTTCCCAGAGAAGAAAAAACTAAAGGAGTTCATCATCACCAAACCAGTATTATAGGAAATGTTAAAGGGACTTATTTAAGAAAAAGAGGATCAAACCTATGAACAACAAAATGGCAAAAATAGATATCAACAATTGATTCTTAAAAACTAAGAAAATGCAATGAGATACCAGTTCACACCAGTCAGAATGGCCATCATAAACAAAGCAACAAACAAGTGTTGGAGAGGTTGTGGAGAAAAGGGGACCCTAGTGTACTGTTGGTGGGAATGCAGACTGGTACAACCACTATGGAAAACAGTATGGAACTTCCTCAGAAAATTAAAAATGGATCTGCCTTTTGACCCAGCAATTCCACTGCTAGGACTATATCCTAAGAACCCAGAAACACCAATCCAAAAGAACCTATGCACCGCAATGTTCATAGCAGCACAATTTACAATAGCTAGGTGCTGGAAGCAACCTAGATGTCCATTAGTAAATGAATGGATAAAAAAACTATGGTACATTTACACAATGGAATTCTATGCAGCAGAAAGAAAGAAGGAGCTCCTACCCTTTACAACAGCATGGATAGAGCTGGAAAGCGTTATGCTAAGCGAAATAAGCCACGCAGTGAAAGACAAATACCATATGATCTCACCTTTAACAGGAACCTAAACAACAAAACAAAGAAACAAGAGAAAAATAACCAAAGACACTGAAATAGAGAACAGGCTGACACTGACCAGAGGGGAGAGGGAGGGAATTTCAGGGGAGAATGGGAAGGGTTTACAGGAACAAATATAGAGGACACATGGACAAAAACTACGCAGGGTGGAAATGGGAGGGAGGTGGGGAGGAATGGGTGGGTGGGCTGGAATGGGAGTAAAGAGCAGAAAAATGTACTTGAACAATGATTAAAATAAAATTAAAACAAGAAAAAACTAAGAAAATGAAGAACAGAGACAGAATCATGGATATGGAGAGAGTTTTGATGGCTGCCAGATGGGAGGGGGGTGTGGGGGAATAGTTATTAGGTAAGGGATTAATTAGAAGTACAAAAAGGTAGTTACAGAATAGCCATGGGGATGTAAAGTACAGCATAGGAAATGGAGTAGCCAAAGAATTTATATGCATGACCCATGGACATGAACAATGGTGTGATATTGCCTGAGGAACTGGGATGTGCTGAGTGGAGGGGAGCAAAGGGAAAAAAAGTAGGACAACTGTAATAGCATAATCAAAAAATATAGTTTAAAAAATAATTTCAGTTGTAATTCTTTTCTTTAGTTTCCCCTAACAGGCACATATCATAATCATTATTACGGATATTTTTCACCTATTGTCCTTTCCCAACCCTCTTATGACCTTTTACTTTTGTTTTTCCCCCTAATACATCAAGAAGACAGAATCCTAATGGTGTGCCAATTATAATATAGTTAAAATTCTATGATAATTAACCAATTACAATATATGACCTTGACTTAACCCTGATATTGGGTAGGGAGACTATGATGGATATTATTGCATCAATAGAGAAAATATGAGTATGGACCATATATCAAATAACAATATTGAGCTCATATTATATTTCTTTAATATGCTGATTACATAGCAATTATGTTAGAAAGTACTGCACTATTCAGGTGAAACATACTGAAATACTTAGGTATGAAGTATCATGATATCTGCAGTATTTGAATATAATGTACCATAAGATCTGTACCCAATGGCTCGGTGATAAGAATGAGGGAGAGAGAGATGGAGAAAGAGAGAGAGAGAGAAATATGTCTATGTGTACAAAGATATACAGAATGAGAAAGCAAATGTGGCAAAATGGTAACAACAGTCAAACCTATATTAATAGCATACGGATGTTATTTTTCTTACAATCTTTATGAAGATGCGGAAGTTTTCAAAACTAAAGTTTAAAGAAAGTTTATAATAAAATGCAATATGCTATACAAATCTTAAAAGTTACCTATTATTATTATTGTTGTTGTTATTATTATTGTATGGGAGTTAAGAAAGTCGTCTTGTTTTGAATTTAAAAAGTTTAACAGAGAGATGTGAAGAATTTAACACTAAAGCACTTACCACTACTGATAACCGTTTTTTCCTTGGATTTTGAACATCATACTCTTGATATTTGTCCTTTCTTGAGATGTTCCTTAAAACATCTCTTCCTATTTCATTAGATATTTCTATGTCTCAGATATCGGCCTAACAAGAATTTCTATGGCTTCAATATCTAGGCAAAATACTTATCTATCCAGTGTCTCTTGTGAAGTCTATATCCACAGATATCCTTTTTGAATATGTAAATAGAGTACATGTGCAAAACTGAAATAGTAATCGCAAACCCAAATTCCTTGTGCCTCTTCTAAGCGTATGAATGATACTATCCACTTATCCAGAGGCCCAACTCAGAAAATTAGGTGCATTCCTCTTCACCAACAACCAATCATTCAACATATCCAATTACATCTCCATCGCACAAATGTGTCTATGTCCCTAACCCCGCTCAGTCATTACTTTAATTAGTCCAACATTACACTTGCCTGAAATGCCTCCTAACTAGTCTTTGCCCCCTTCAATCCACTCTCTACAAAGTAAAGTTTAAAAGCACAGAATTGATCATGATAGCCCTGTACTCAAAATTCTTCATTGGCTTCTTTTAGAAAAAAGATAAAATTCCTCAAGAACAGGCTTTTGCTTATCTCTCCAGAAGATCACACATGTTAAAATTGGAAGGTAGGATGTAGTACAGTGGTTAAGAGCACAGACTCTTAAGTAAATTTGGATTCAGATCTTGGCTTTACCACTTAATAGTTGTATAACTGTGGGCAATTACCCTTACTGTGTCTCAGTTTCTTCATCTGTAGTATGGAGGAAATGCCACCTATTTCATATAAGTATCAAGCTGGTCTGAAGGTTGTGGGTTATTGTTAAGCTGATTATCATATAAGTTATCAGATGAGGAATAATCAATTAATGCATATAAAGTGTCTGGCCCATAGTAAGGACTTTTTATCTATATTACAGCCAAAATAAATAATTGCAGTTTCCTAACTACATTATACTCTCTAGGTCTTAGCAAATACTGTGCAATCTACTCAGAATGCCCTTTTTATACTAGCTGTTATGGCTCAGTGGATTGGTCTGTGAACCAAAAGGTCGCTGGTCTGATTCCCAGTCAAGGCACATACCTAAGTTATGGGCCACGGCCCCAGTTGGGGTCATGCTAAAGCTAACTGATCAATATTTCTCTCCCTCTCTTTCTCCTCCCCTTCCTCTCTTTCTAAAATAAATAAATAAAATCTTTAAAAAAATAGAATGCCCTTTTCTTAACCACCATGAACATTCCATTCCCTTTGCCAGGTTAACTTACTTCAGGTCTCAGTTTAAAGATCACTTTCTGAAACTCAAGACTGATTTAGGTATTACTCCCCAGAGTATGCCAAAATATTCTTATATACATTTGTACCCCTAGAGTATTATCTCCATATTACAATTGTTACTGATGATAGTAAATATCACTGAGACAGAATATAATTAGATGCCCACTACATCTCTAGTATTTACCAAATTATCTGGCATGCTGTAAAATACTCAGTAAAACTGAATGACTGGTTATAGATAAAAAAGTTGTCAAAGCAACTCATAGCCATATTCCATTTAAAGGAACCTAGCAGCTGCAAAAGTATAAAGATAATAATCTAAAATATGAATGAACGTGTAGTGCTGAGTAGCTAAGGGTGTGTGGTATGAATAGTATAAAGCTGATTAATATATAGGCTAGCTACACAGAAAACGACACAGACAGAGATCCCCCTAAGCAGCTGAATTATTGTACAGCACAGGTTGAATCCTTTATGATTATTTAGAAATCCACAGGTCTGCTGTTTTACTTACTGAGTCAATAAAACAGATAATGCTCTAAAACACAGGTGGCAAACACAAGGCCCATGGGCTGAATCCAGCCCTCCACCTTGTTTTATCTAGCCTTGAACCTTGTTTCTACCCAGCAGTAGCGCCAAGCTCCCACTTAACTGTTAAGGAGTAGTTACATTTATACAGTCCTAAATTACATTCAGTCCTTTGAAGGAAAATTCAAAACTGATGTGGCCCCTGGTGAAAATGAGTTTGACACTCCTGCTCTAAGAGCTTATTCCTAACCTGTAGGTGGGATTAATTGGTACTTTTTCTACTATATGACTCTTCCAAATTACACAGATAAATCAAGAATGGGAACGCTTTTTCTTACAAATCAATCTATGATGGATTCTCTTTAAACAGAAACCCTAACAATCATTGTCTACTTAAAATTTACAACCATCTATTTCTAAGAGACCAGCAGTTCCCTTAGATAATCCTGATAAGATTATCAGGATGTAATACAACATTGACCTTCTAAGGAAGACAAAGGTAGAAAAAGCTTCTGGGTATCAGGGATAGGACAGTTACCACAACTAGACACTGAATTCTGTACTAAGTTTACTGACAGCTGACGCAAAATAAAAAACACATTATTTTCTGACACGAAATACAAATTTATATAGAAAAAAACTGTTCCTCAAACAAAATTTAAGTGACGTTGCATGACTTTATAAATAACAAGGACTAATATAAGAGGTAATAGCAAAATATGCTTGTATAAAAGATGAAATGCCATGATTCAAAATATTCACTGATTTACAAAATACTGACATTAACACAACTTCTTAAGAACCCATATATTACACATAAAGTGAAGTAAACCTGAAAACAAGAAATCTGATTAATCATTATTGAATACATCGTTAAAAGATTAATTTCTAAGTCTATTATAAATACAAAAAATACCTTTTCCCCAAATAAACTATGGCAAATTAAAAAAATCAAATTTTGAATACCTGTTAATTTCTTCAAAACAGTTTTCCAGAACAAGTCATCAATGTAAGTAGACCACTCTAGTCTTGAGAAAAATGTACTTCTAAACATAAAGAATTAATCTCCACAGCACATTTAATGATAATTAATAAGAAGTACCTGATCCATTATATTTTAAAGATGTGATGAGAACATAAATTGTGATATCAAACCTTAGAAATGAGCATACAGCAATTTTCACATATAAATACAAACATAAAAATTGGTATTATCAATAATTATAAAGAAATTATAAAGAGCATAATCAGGTGTTTTTTTCAAGTAACTTGACCAGTTAAAATTCATTGAAAAAAATGTGTCTCACTTGTTCGTTAACTTTCTTCTCTTTCTCCAGCTCTTTTTCCATGTCCTCCAATTCTCTATCTTTTTGTTCCAGTTGCTTTTCAAGTTGGCGAATTTCATCGCGTAAAAACCGGGTGTCACGTCCACCTGTAGACTGCAGTGCCATCTGGAAGTAGAAAACCAAAAGTATAAATCAAGTAATCACATTATATTTGCAGATTCAAATGAATCAACAACAAACAAATAATTATCTTGACTTTAAATATGTATTATAATCAGCATCAGATGTTCAAAATCATGTTAGCTTAAAAAACATTTTTTTTTTATTTTAACTTACTTAGGCTTTAGTTCACAGGCTGGCAACCCCCTAAGCTTTTCCAGAGACACCAGGAGCTATGAAGAATTGACCATCAATCACTCAAGCTCTATTATAGCTTCTGAGACAGACTAAACTGCAGTCACAGAACATAGATGATGAACTATCTAAGTTTCCCCTGAGCATCAGAGCTCTGAAACCAGGTTCCAAAGCACCTGAGCTTCCATCACAGTTACTGAACCCTGGTGCTCTTAACCTGCCCTTAATCTCATACCACAGAAAATTTAGACCAATGTTATTAAGAGGACTTTCTAGGATAATGGAAATGTTCTTTACATTCTCCAGTACAGTAGCCATTATCCACATGTGGCTATTAAGCACTTGAAATGTGGCTAGTGAAACTAAAGAACTGAATGTTTAGTTTTAATTATAATGAATTTAAATGTAAATAGCCACAAGTCATTAGTGCTACTGTATTAGGCAGCCTACCTGCAAACTGAAGGCTTCTGTACATATCCATTCTTTCTCCCTTCTTCCTTTTAAAGTCTGATCCTTCTATATCACATTCTTTCCCACATTCTCAGGAATCTCTCTTTATTCAGTTTCCTAATAATATGTTCATATTTTGACTCTTGGCTTTCTCAAAAGCTATTTCTTCTACCATACCCTCTGTCACTATTCCTCAAACGCCCATGTGCCTCACTCCACCTGTTATTAGTAATCCTTTGTATATCTTTCTAAACTATAGGCTCTATAAGATTATTGAATTTTTTTTATTTTGTTCCTATTGGATACTCAATTCTTAATAGAATTTAAGGTACATGATAGGCATATAAAATATATGCTAAACAAGTAATTATGAATACAATATCATTCTTGTGGTTTCCAGCCAATAATAATTCAAAGTGAAAATAATAACTCCAAATAATAAAATTAACAATTACACCCTAGAGAATAGAAAAGGACATACCTCCAGTTCATTTTCCAGTTTCATTACTTTAGTTTTTAATTGATTTTCTATAAAAAAAAAGGTGTTTCAATTGGTCAGATTTATCAAGATTTTAAATAAATTTCAATAAAATAATAAAGTTAATTCTTTTTAAAAACCCATCATGATTATAATAATAAGAAAAAGAGTATTCTATACCAGACCCATAAGTAGGACTTAGCTTTCAAAATAAATTGCATATACAAATTTTATAGACTATATTAAAGTTAATTCTCTATTGCTTAGTAAATAAATGGAACCCACTATCTAATATCATAAACTTTTTCCAAGGTATTTACCAAATTTTGCTTGTTCTTCTCCAGCTTTATCAACTTCTTCCAAAGCTAGCTCTACTTCTTGAGCTTTCATCTAAAGATTTAAAAAAAGTGACTTTAATATGCCTTTACATTAAAACGTAAGAACTGAAAATGAGAATTTATATTTGTTCTCCCAATATTTAGTGTCTGCAGTGCCTCTCACATGGAGATAATCAGTAAATAAGACACATTATTTTCTTTCCTAAGGTTATAATTTCTAGATTCTTAACAGTTTAAAACGTTTCCTCTTTTCCCTTCAAGCCTTATATCCAGTATTGCAACTTATCCCTTTGTAATGTTTCCCACTATCTCTTTTTTCTGTTTGTCTCTTTTTTTTCTACTCTAATTGTCATTACTTTAGTCCATGATTTTATGTCTAATCTCTTTCATAATGTTATGTCTAAACAACTTCAATTCCCTTCGATCAGTCCTATTAACATACCTAATTTATCTTTCCTAAGGCATATTTTTGTATCTATCAACTGTGGCTCAAAAATCTTTAATGAATACTCATTGCTGACAGCATACAATTTAACTTTAAGTCCTCAACAAGGCTATCAGACTGTAGATACCCACCATTTATTTCCTCTCCAAGCTGCTATAAACTTTCCACACTTCTCTCCTCAAATGTAAACGAATATGCACATTTTCAATCTCCACCTCCAGTCTCTCTTTAACCTTTTTCCACTGCCTTCTATTTACCTAAAACAACTACCAGTCTTTGAGGTCTTCTCACACTTAACTCTCTTCCCCCTCTAACTAATCCCTTTAAATAGTTATCTGCATATTTCATTTCTACCTCAGGATTATGCTAACATAATCATCACAGGACCTCCCTATGTTATTTTTAAGCATATTCATTGCTTCCCCTACACATTCTTTTAGTAACTTTAGAGCAAAAACTAGCAATGTTTTGCACACTAAAATTCTCAATCACATTTGAAGATACCTCATTTCTTGGTGATTGAGATATTACAAATTACTTTCACAGAGATTAACTCATTTGAATAACAGACATTTGAATAACTCATTTCTTTAATAGTTAAACTGTTTTTGAAATCTACTACATACAAACCTTCATTAATGACTGAGTAATTCTGAAAAGGTGTATCACATTTTCTTGACTTTCATTTTTCAGCTCATTTACTTCCACCTAAGTAAACAGAAAACCAACTATTTTATCACCCTTAAAACAAAACATAAAAATACTTCCAGTTAAACCACTCAGTGACTCAAGGACAACTTAATCATATTTATATGTACATATCTATGTATTATTTATCAATTATGCACCTTGGATAAGGAAAACAATAAATTATCTGCCAATTCTTCTTGACGAGGAAGGTCATCTGGGTCAACTTTTATTATTTCTTTCCAGTTTATATTAGGTGGCATCTTGAATTGTTTAACAATGCTTTACCTTCTGTAACAGAACAGGTGGGTATTAGCATTTTCAAGGTAAACAGCATTATTGTTTTCACAGTTTACACTTTTTATAGATTACATTATAACTATGGTGTTAACAAAGAGCTATGGCTCCTTAACTATGTAACAGATTAGTGGTTTAAATAGCCTTCACTAAAATTGTAACAGCTGAAACAAATTATCAGTTATTGTACTGTCTAAATAAACTATAACAGCTCCCTTCCTAAAACTAATCTATGCCAGAACTAAGATTTAGAGTCACCTTCTCCACGCTCTTTACCACCAAAGCGCACGCGAACATCTAAAGGTGCCAAGCGCCGGGATGCTTGGAAAGCTGTAACTGACGCCTGATTCGGAGAATCGGGAACTGGGGGGTGAGGCTGGGGGAGGGCAGAAAATAAACAACTGAGGTGAGTGCATTTGGGTCGGACTAAACAGGACTGAAGCAAGAAGGCAGATGAATTCAGGACCAAAAACTAAGGGGCAAGGAAGCTAGGCTATTGCACACGGGCCCTGAGGCTTAAAGAACCTGCGTGGGAAGAGGTTCGCTGCTCCCGCTCACCAGCATCCACCCACCAAGCCTTGCAAACGGCGGAGGCTTCTTATCCACCGCTTCCACCCCCGGCCCCGCAGCTACGCTTGACGGCTCCCCAGCGCCGTTCCAACCGGACCCTGGATCCCGCCAACGAGTTCCCAGCAAGCCACCGCGACGGCGGCTGCGGCAGCAGCTGCTAGGCGACCATTCCCCACCCAGCCGAGGCCGGAACAAGGTCCCGGATGCAAAAGGAGCCTACATTTCACGACTGTGGGTGATGCTTTACGTTTAGACTCCCCAGCCGGGTGCCTGGACTCTGTTTCAAGGAAGGGGAGAAGGCGTAGGGTTAAGACTCCGAATCCCAGGGTACGACTCTTCTTGGCGGCTGTGCATCCTGGGAACTGAAGTCTCTGAGAAGTGGAGGTAGGCCTTTCCCGACATGCAATGCGGGAGGCTGCGACCGTACTGGGGCAGCAAGGCAGCTACCCGAAGCGGGAGGCGCCGTAGCTACTCAGGCGCGACTGCACTGCTGGCCTGAATGAGGTAGATCATGACTGCCCCTTCTGTGGCGTTGCTGGCTGGCCTGCTTTTTCTGAGTTTTCTGTAAGCCATCGCCTGGTGGAACCATTCTCAGGTGAGGTGAGACGGTGGGTCTGCGGCGGGGGAGGAATTGAGGGGTGCGGTCCCGGTTTAGAGAAGCTCCTACCATTGGGGAGTAAAGGCCAGGTCTGAGTCTGAAAGATGGGAAGACCTCACCTCCTCAGGTGTTTGCAAGTTATAGTCCGGGTGATACTCAGTGTGAAAGGGAGGGGGAAAAAGTTTTAGGCTTTTTGGGTTCAGAATCTGCCTCCGTACCGTGGGAGCTGCGCAATCGAGATCGCGATTTGGGCGCGAGGAAAGAACTGAGAAGACGCTACATCCTTCGACCCCGCCCGCCTTACCTGTAACGCCTTGATCTTTGCGGATTGAAGGACTTGAAGGTTGAGGAGAGGAGTTAGCATGGAGTGAAGGCTCTATAGTGGAGGGGTTAGAACTTGCCTGGCCACTGCTAGAGGTGGAGAGAGAAGGGGCCTCGGTATTCACCATTCCTGTTGCTGTCACTTAGTTGGTTACCGAGGCCGCCGTTCTATGAAAATGCCTTCTCAGGTGTTTACAGCTCTTACTCCTGCAAGTTTTGCTCATCTCTCTGCTCTCAGCCTTTCTGGAGTATGATAGACCACTAGGTAACTTTCTCAAGAAGCTGTAGACTTTAACTCTAAATGGTATTTTCAACTGTTTGGACTAGTGCCTCTCATCTCTTTTCTTAAGCACTTTTTTTTTACAATAATTGATAAATTTTTATTGAAAGCAAGTAATAGGTTTCTTTCCAAAACACGCGGTTGGGCAGTAGCTCAGTAGAAATAACTTAGTAAAAAATCAAAATAAATACTGATTTTTGAGATACACGTTTAAAGACATGCATCGGCTTTGTAGGGATAATAATTTTTGTCTAATCCTTTACTGAAATGTGTTATGCCAAATACTATTATGTTTTTTTAAACCATGCTCTACATTATATCTGCAGAACTTAAAACTGGAAATTTGTAACTTTTGACCAGTCTGCCTCCCCCCCCAAGATTTCACATATAAGTGAGAGCATGCAATATCTGTCTTTATCTGATTTATTTCACTTTGCTTAATACCCATAGGATCCATTTATGCTAATGACACATTTTCTTATTTTTTGTGGCTGATATCATCTAATAGTCTATTGTATATATACACCACATATTCTTTTCTTTCTTTCTTTTTTGTTTTTGAGAAAGGGTGGAAGGGGAAAGTAAGAGAAGAAAAAAACCCATCAATTTGTTGTTTCACCTATTTATGCATTCATTGTTTGATGCTCCTATGTGCCCTGACTGTGGATGGAACCCATAACAGTGGTGTGTCAGGAGAGTGCATATCAGGACAAGGCTGTGAGCATTTGAGCTACAATAGTCTACAATAGGAGGGTGCACATAGCTCTTAGAGAGTAATGGTCATTTCTTTCTGATATATACCCAGAAGTGGAATTAGGTATAATATGGTAGTTCTGTTTTTAATTTTTCAAGGAACCTCCATACTGTTTTCCATAGTGACTGTACCAGTTTAGTTTCCCACCAACAGTACACATCCTCCCAACACTTGTCTCTTGTTTTTTGATAACAGCCATTCTAATAGGTGTAAGGTGATAGCTCATTGTGGTTTTGATTTGCATTTGTTTCCCTGATGATTTGTGATGAACAGCTTTTCATTTACTGGTCAGCCATTTGTGTCTTGGGAAAAAATTCCTCTGGCCAATTTTAATCAGGTTATTTGTTGTGTGTAGTAGTGGGTCCTTCCTTCCCTCCCTCCCTTCTTCCCTTCCTTCCTTCCTTTTGCTGTTGAGTGTGTGAGTTCTTTATATAGTTTGAGTATTAGCCCATTATCATAAATATTTGTAAATTTTTCTCCTATTTTATAGATTTTGTTTTCATTTTGTTGACGGTTTCCCTTTGCTGTGCAGAAGTTTTTTAGTTTGACATAGACCCACTTATATTGGCTTTTGTTGCCTTTGCTTTTGGTTTTAAATCCAAAAAAATTATTGCTAAGACCAATCGATGTCAAGGGGTTAATACATGTTTTCTTCTAGGAGTTGTATGATTCAGGATTTATGTTCAGCTCTTTAATTCATTTTGAATTGATTTTTGTTAGTGTAAGATAGTGGTCCAGTTTGCATTCTTCTGCATGTGGCTCTCCAGTTTTCCCAATACCATTTATTAAAGAGATCGTCTTCTCATTGTATGTTCTTGGTCCTTTTGTCTACTTTGGGACTCTCTATTCTGTTTCATTGATCTGTGTGTGTGTTTTTGTACCAATACCATATTGATCTGCTTACCATAGTTTTGTCATTAAATCTTGATAGCAGTCCATGAAATAGGAGCTTACATTGCCCTCATTTTTCAACTAAGTTAAAAAACTGAGCCTTGGAGTCGTTAAGTACTCTGCTCCAACTTAAATAATGTGCTTGAACACAGATCTTTCTGGCTGGAAGACCTGTTTGTGACTGCTACACTGCCTCATCAGGCATGCTGAACCAATATTCATTAAGTATGTGTACTTCGATCTTGCAATGTGTGTTAAATATTTTATATTCTGATATATAACTTTGTTTACTCAAGATGTTGAATTAAATATTCTTCATGTTCAGTGATTTTAATTAATTTAACAGAAAATAGGAATAAAATATGTTTCTTGAGTACATATAATGCCATTTAATATGGTGAAAACTGTATTTTCATTGTAGAAATCTTATTTCTACTGCAGCATCTTATTTTTCTTGTTTTTTAAAATTTACTGTGACTATTATTTCCTATTTATTCTTTTACTAGTTTTATTTTGTCTTTATTAGCCTTTTCTATCCTCTACTTTCCTCACCCTATTGTTCTTATTTATATTCCCAATGACTCAAGGTCCCTAATGGTAAGTTTTATTCTCATTTATCAAAAGTGAAAACAGGTTCAGAGAAACTAAGTAATTTCCTAATAATTAAGGAACCTAAGATTGCAACCTAGAGCTCATTTACAGTCCTGACTAAAATGTAAAATCTTGCTTATATTTTATTATTTTACACATTCTAAAACTATTTTTGAGCTTGAAATTAGTTAGCTATGGTCTATCAGGGGTGTCTAACCTTTTGGCATCTCTGGGCCACACTGGAAGAAGAAGTGTCTTGGACCACACATTAAATACATCATGACAGGCAATCACAAAAGAATCTCACAGTGTTTTAAGTAAATATACAATTTTGTAAATTTACGATTGGACCACATTCATAGCCATCCTGGGCTGCAGGTTGGACACCCCTGGCTAGGTCCTAATATGTTGTAGTATATCTGTAACTAACTCTGAATCAAGAAATTTAACTCAAATTCTAGTTCAGTCACTCACTATAATTTTGAGGAAAATTGCTATCACCCACCATTATTTTCCATTAAATTTTCTGCATTAGTCAATTTTCACCAAAAGAAGGGATTTATGTAACAATTTTATAAGTGGCTTAATTACAGGAACACTTGCCTAGACCTGCCTTCTTTCCTCTCTGGTTTTGTAAGCAGTTTTATCTGACCAAAACCTTCACAAGAAAGATTTGCCTTTTGTAATTGCTACTACCTCTGTTTTCTGTATCAACCAACCTATGTTCCTTAGATGTTACTCCCTTGCCATTTTGCTGCCTTATCAAGAAAATGAGTTATAGCTTACTTTTCCAGCTTCTAAAATAATGCAAGGCCATAAGAAAGTTAGTATTCACTGTGTAAATGTTTTGTTTTGCCTTGTTCTCAAGGAGAGGAATCAGGGTACAGCAAGCCAGTACTTGTCTTCTCTCAACTGGAAGAAACTGGAAAGATTGGTAGGAGTTAGTGTGAATGCAGACTTTGCAAACTTAGCTGGCCAGAGTTTTATGAACTATAAAATAGTCATAAAATATAGTTGATTATCCTTATCAAAAAAGGTATACTCATGAAATTATTGAAATGAGAGGACTTTCCTTTTCAGGCTAAATTTTCCCAGATTTACATAAGATTTTCTACAGGTTTATTATTTTTCTAAAATCATACTGTTTTATTATTAGAAAAAGTGAACAATTAGTACAGTTTTTTTGAAGGAATCATGTTGTTTTGTATGTCTATATGTAGCTCACAAGTGGTCTTCATTTGTAGTTGAGTTTTCTGCACATACATAGTGGCATCCTGTTCTTGTAAGCAGACATAAATCAACCATTTCATTCACTCAGACCATATGCATCTGTGTCAATATGCTTGTGTGCCTGGAAAAAGAACTTAAAGTTCCCTGCCTTAGTCTGTTCATGCTGCTTTTAACATAGCACTCGAGATTTATAAACAACAGGAATTTATTTCTCACAGTTCTGAAGGCTGGTTAAGTCCAAAATCAAAGCAGCAGCAGATTCAGCGGTGAGGACCTACTTCCTTGTTCATGCCTGGGTGGGGGCTGAGCGGGTCTTTTCTCTGTGTCCTGGCAAGGCAGAGGAGGCAAGGAATCTCTTTTATAAAGACATTAATTCTACTTATACAGGCCTTACCCTCATGTTGTAATCACCTCCTAAAGGTCCCACCTCCAAATATCATCGTATTGGGCATTAGGATTTAACCTAAATTTGGTGGGGGAGGACACCAACATCTAGTCTATAGCATTCCCACAACTAACG